CTCAAGAATAAGCTTTAAAATTTTAACACTGTGTACAAAGGGGGGGGGGGGGGGCCGCGGCTCCCACGGTTCCCCCCTGGATACGTCCCTGGTTCGAAATCCCACTTTTGACATCGGCGTTTTACTTACTTTTGACTCGTGTCCACGTTTTTCAAATTGTTGCGTAAAATGTGTCATTTAAGAAAATGGTCCACATTATTTGTATTTACGCGTAATGAGTCCACCTTGATATTATTCTGTACTGTTTGAAAATCCTGGCTGCGGCTCATTTTGTGCAGCGTATTATGCAAATACCGCACCGTTGTAATTACCATTGCACACTCAGTATGGTCTAGGAGCTATCCTTACTCAGTCTTTTCAATTTTGATCTTCAACAACATGATGAGGCGCCTACTTACGCCAAAAAAAAAAATTACAAAAACTGCCAAGTGATGAATGTATAGAAAAATGTTTATAATAGTTTCATAACCACCTATTAAGAGATACTGTAAAAATGTATTTTCCAGATGATTATAAAGGCCAACTCAGACAGCGTCGACCGACGCAGCCCGACCCGATTTATCGTCGGGGACAGTCTTAAGCCGTCGTGAGAAATATTAAACATGTTTAATATTCTACGACGTGACTGCCCCCGACGCACACCATCGCGTCTGCGTTTAACCGGTTTAACTCACACAGACCCGACGCGACAACAAATCGCGTCGGGCTGCGTCGTACGACGCTGTCTGAGTTGGCCTTAACGTAACAGTGTGTAAAGACTTTCGTTTCTTCTATTACTTTATAGAGGGCGTTTTTTTTCAATTTGGGTCAGCAATTTAGAATCCTTTCTGGCAACAACTTCAATTTTGCTGCACATCAGCCGGTGTGTGGTACACAAATTGTGAGAACAATTCTAGAATTAATCTTTTTTTACATCAAGAACTGTACCAAAAGCTGTTTGAAGTCATGAAAATAACGTCTGCAGGTATGTTAATTTAGAGGATTTTGCAAATAAAGAAAAGCTATTTTAATTTTTCTGAAAAATTGCCTTTTACCTTTCCCGTTTTGTTGGCCTATTTTCTTCAAAACTTGCTGAGTAACCTCAGTCGTCCTGCTTTATTAGCTGCATACAGCAGGCCATGAAAGTTACACTGGGCTATGTCCTCCTAGCTAGGCCCAGGCCTATGGGGCTATCATATAGGACTAGCCTAGACCTGTCCGTAGCAAGATAGGAATAGGTTACATCGTAGAACGTGAATTAAAAAAAGTTAGTATTATATATAAGGAAGTGGATATTTTCTTCACCGTAATTTTAAACGCTTTTCTAGGCTAGGCCTAGGCTAGGTTTAGGCTCTAGCTAGGTAGGCTAGGTCTAGGCCTAACCTAACTAGCTAGCCTAGGTCCCTAATTGGCCTAGCCTAGTTAAAACGGCAATAGAAAGGGTAGTAGTAGGGCCTAGCCTAGGCCTAAACCAAAATGGCAACACTTTTTGTCCAGAAACAATGGCAATGAACCAAAACGACAATGATCCAAAATGGCAATAAGTAAAAAGAAACAGTACTAGTAAAAAAACCATTTAAATTTAAAACGAAGTGTCTATTATACACCGAGTCGTAAACATTAATCATATGCTATGCTTACGCGGATGATGGGCTTACAGAAACGCAAGGCGTAGTAGGTCCAAGAAAGCATTGTTCACTGGTTATTTTATGTGTATTCCAGAGCAAACATTTATTTCAATAATTTTGTAATTCTTTTGGCGTAACCCGAAAGCTCATTGTGTTCCACTTATTGTCTGGAGATCTAAATCGTAATTACACACCTCACTCAAAATCAAGTAATTTTTCCCCATCTATCACTTACCTAGGCTTCGCTCGCATAATAACGTAATGCAAAGCGTCCTCTCTAGTCAACACTAGCATGTCATTAATCATCAGAATTACAATACTCGCTTCCTACGCATCAGAAAAGCTTAAAGGTATTTGGAATATTGTTTGATTCAATAAAATAATTTTGATATACATTATGCTAAAATATGAATTCTTTATCTTCCTCAAATACTGTAGCTGGATTACAGCCAATCTAAACTTTCAACATGATCTCAGATGTAGGCCTATTTTAATCATGTTACAGTACAATAATTGCTGTAGTATGGATTCTTTTTTGGTAATATTTCTGCCGATTTACGTTTCATCAACCAGCTGAATAAAATATTCAATAGAGCCTATAGCCATGTTTTATGTTTAGCAACAGTATTGGTTCTTTGCCGATCAATTCTATTGTAGGAAATATCATTATATAAAAAGAGAGCAATAAATTATCTGTACAACTATCCTTTAGGTCGATGAATAAAACATTGTTTCATTTGGCGACCCTACAATCTCTTTATGGGAAAAACGTTAAAATACAGACAAAATGAGGCTGAAACAATCTATGTTATAGAAGTAAAAAATGCGAAAAAACATAAATAAATAATAATAATAATAAAAATTATAACAGGCCTAATAAAAATATATAACAACATACAAATTCAATAATAGAAAGATTGGGGGAAACATAATTTAAAATATAAAAGCAGTAAACATTCAAATAGATAAAACTTTAAAATACAGACAAAATGATAATAAAACAATTTATGTCATCAAAGTAAAAAAACAATAACAAAAATAACAATGATAATAATAATATTATTATTAATAATGATAGTAATAATAATAATAATAATAATAAGCCTAAAACATTATAACAACATAGAAATTCAATAATAATAATAGGATTAAGGAAAACACAATATAAAAGCAGTAAACATAACTTAATAAAATAAATAAAACTTTAAAATACAGACAAAATGAGAAACCAATTTGTCTGGCAGCACGGCGCTTGCTCTTGGTATTGATTTTGCTCCTTTGTATATTGTCGTTTTGGTATTTGTCATTGCCGTTTTGGTATTTGTCATTGCCGTTTTGGTCTGTTGCCGTTTTGGTTTATTGCCGTTTTGGTTATTGCTGTTTTGGTCATTGCCATTTTGGCTTATTGCTGTTTTGACCAGCTGGTTTGTAAACAAATCAGTAAACGATACAGGCTACTGTAGGCTAGGCCAGGCCTAGTAGAGGCTAGGGGCCTAGCCTAGATAGAATAGTCTGATTTCTAGCTCATTATCACAATGATTCAACAATCTATTTAATGTTTGAAATACAAAGTACTGTTTTTTAATAAGAACGGTAAAATTGAAAGTAAGTAGGCCTACCTATTTATGAATTTCAAACCTCCCTGTCATAAACTGTTTACAAAACTTCATTCAATCAATTCCGGGATTCTCCATGTGCGTTGGTTTACTGTCGATTCCATCGTGTGTTGCTGAATAATGGCTTTTTAAAGAGTTAAAAACTCCTTTGTTGCTTGCATTAGATGATGTTCTATATTACAGTATGTCAAGTATACAATACTTTAATAAATCTTTAGATATACTGAAGTTGAATGAGGAGTTAAAATTTATGCCTAAACTAAATTCCAAAAATAGGTTCCCAGCGGAAGCGTGTGTGTCTATGTTCACTAATAAAGTATTCACATGGGATTCGGTTATCAGGAAATGTGTGGCGTTGTATTTTTTTTACTTTCGTTGAGTAATAAGGTACTTGAGATAGACACAAAAACAAAAAAACACTGGTTTCGCCAGAGCTGGTCACAGGTAAGTCTATCATTGATATATTTCATAAATTAATAAAGACTGAAATATGTGCTCTAAAATTTTTTTTTGCAGGTGGTGTTATATCCTTATTAGATGAAAAGGAAAGTGATTTAAAGGTTGGTTTTCTACTGTTCATTTGTCTTCTGCCTTCGAATTCAGTCTGATCGAACATGCTTTTTGGTCATATTTTCAAACTTCCACAACAAAATCTGGTTTTTTTTTCCTGAATCTGTTTTTTTTCCTCCCGTATTCAATAAAACATTTACTGTGTATTTTGTTTGTCTTGTGATAGGCACTTTATCTACATTGCTTCTCTCTCCCCACAAATATAAATACATCCGGGAGGGGTTGCCTGCATGTGTTGCGATTATGGGAGCAAGCAGCAAAAGCATGTGGACCCAGTGCCTTCGACCTGGGAAAAGTCTACTTTGTAACTGAAAAGAAAGGTGCTATGTAAATGAATAATAACATTTGCAAAATAAGTATGTATAATTGATTAATTTATGATTTATTGATAGAAAATTGTTGACCTCCAAAGTTCATTAAATCAATACTATTCAATACATTTTTCATTTGCTCTGTGACAGGTCTTTGCTCTCCAGAGATTGAATCAAATTGTTGATGATTTTTGGGCAGAGATTTCAGATGTAGTTGATAAAATGTAAGTATGTGTTTTGATTATTGTATTATTAAAGGCGAGACATTTTTATACCTTGATTAGTGAACCCACCGCCCGCTAATAATGAAGATTTTGAATAAAAATAAAATTTTATTTTTGGTTAGCACACTCACCACCATGAAAAATGGAAATTACAGAAAAAAAAATATTAAAAAGTTTTGCTTCTTTTTTTTTATTACGCCTGCGCAGTGTTAATGCTACCAATTTTTGCAAGTTGGTGCACTTTGCCCAACTGCAACGGTCTTCTTGTGGTATATGATATTTCTCAAGCCAATTGAGAATCTTTCTTGCATAGCACACTACCTGGTATTAATGAAAAGTTGGAGTTGAATAGCTTGGTGGTTAAGATGCCAAGCCTTCAATTTCCAGTGTTTTAAGTTAAATTCTAGTCAGTGTTGCAGGATTTCTTTTTAGTTTGTGTAAAGCATCATGTGTGTGTGTTTGCCTTGTGAAAGTAATTGTTGCGTACAAGTAGGACAGTGTTATATTTGCTATTGACAATCCTTGCTGAATGTGTTGTGTGTCTAAATAAATAAATAAATGAAATAAAATAATGCGACAAATATCTTTTTGCATATATATTTGGATGTGATGACATCATCACCCCATATACATTGCTGTACATTGTGAGCAAATCACATACATTTTTCATATGAAACTTGATAATGTAGAGAGAGCACTTAAATGAGGGATGTCACCACGCTGGTCGGCGGTGGACGGGCCCGTCCAGCACTCGACATTTCCGACCAGGATTTACAGGCTCCCGACCACCACTATTATTTCAACAATTTACAAATTGTAACAAAATAATTAGTTTACCTAAACACAATAGACAAGCTAAATTGATAGATAAAGACAAGAAGAATACAATAAATGTTTCCGTGGTTATGTTAATTGTAACAAAATACTGCACTGCCTTGCTATTCATCGCTAACTTAACAGCCTAGGCCCAGGTGAGTTATAGCGAACGTCGTGGGCCGGCATGACATGGTTGCTGTACACATTCAAAGGTTAAAGTTGAAATCGTGACCATTCAAGTGTTTTATTATGAGAGCATGATCCGGGGCAGGAAAATTATTAAAAATTTACGAAACCTGATTTATGTTTTATTTCTTTACTTTGTTTTCATTTTGCATTTTAAGTTTTTCACTTTTAGTTATAATTGATATGTAATGTATCCCCCCCGGGAAAATGCGGGATGATCGCCGACTGGCACTCCAAAAAGCTGGTGACATCCCTGTTAAATGCAATACTCATTAAGGCATTGATAATGTTGTTTTCTTTAATCAACCAAACAAAAATGGCATGGTAGAAGTGCTTGTTTTAAAAGTTTATTGTCACCCGTATCTTCTACCATTCAGTACATTCTAGTGATTGGCAGGTTATATAGTATAGCAAGGTTGCTAACTATCATATGTTTCCAATGCCAGAATAGCTATAAACAAATTAAAGACTAACAACATTTAGTAAACTGGGCACAAATGGATACATTTTCAAATATATATACAATGAATTTAATCATTATTATTAATAATTGTGTAAAAATATATTATTTTATTTTCAGAGAGGTACTCTATGAAGATGACAGCTTCCAGGAAAGAAAGCTGGCGGCCCTAGTGGCTTCTAAGGTACTGTGCATATAGTGAATCTCCAAAATTATCACCCCTTATTAAGCCCTGTCAAGATTATCACATTTTCTTTGACTAAAACTGTTGTATGCCCATATATAGTCATGATGTGCATATATCTGGTCATGATATGATGTCATCATGACCATATTTAGGCATGTCATGTTTTTGTCAATAAAATTTGATATTTAACAAAAATCTTGCATCCTACCAAAATATGCAATTCTAAAAGTTCACCTGAACATAAACATTGATTGATGTAAAGGACATATAGACATTATAAACTTACTAAAGAAATATATAAAATTTTAATAGCAGAATGCAAAATTGAAGATGAATTTTAAATTAAATAAAAATTGAGATATTTTGTAATTAAGGGAAGTTAAACAACAAAAGAAATTTAAATCCAACAAATACCTGTTGACAGGAGAGTTTTAAAAACCTTTTTACCAACTGCACCACACATTAGGCAAGACTTCTTTATATCTTGTTTAGTGAACCTGCCGCCCGCCAATAATGATGATTTCGAATATAAACATTTTTTTTTAATGTATTTTTTGGCCAATTAGTGAAAAAAAAATGGAAATTTCAGAAAAAAAAAGTTTTTCATTATTTTTATTATGCCTGCCACTGCCTTGAAATCTGCAAAAATTATATGTATAATTCCTTCATAATTATATAAATTTAAAGCATTTAACCATCCCATTACTATCACTGTTCATGTTCAAAAATAAAATTTCATTTTTATTTTCTCCTCCGTCTGGATATTTTTGCCAAAACTTGCTAAATGAGAAAACAATTTTTATTTCGGACCCCCTCTGACGATCTTTAAAAAAGTAAGTTTGCGAAACAAGGAATAAAAAAGTCTTGCCTTATGATACTTAATTTCCCTCGCTCTATCATTGTTGAATGTACTGTAAGCAACAAAAATAGTTATGTTGATGATATGTTGTCATTTTAGGTATACTATCATCTGGGAGCATTTGAAGATTCTCTGACATACGCTCTTGGTGCTGGAGAACTGTTTGATGTCAACTCATCATCAGAATATGTAGAGACAACAATATGTAAGTTTGATGATAACATGTTTTGTGTCCCACAAATCTCTATAAATCCAATAAGTCCTATTCCTATATGGATGATTTGTGTATATGATAATAGATATTATTGAAGTTTTTTTTAAACTGATATCATCTGTTCATGGTCAAAGTAATAGTATTATTATTATTTCATTACCACATTATTATATTTTGTTATCATTTTAAGATCTCATTATTGTGTTTTGGGCTATTATATTATTTCTGTTTTATTTTGCTAAATATTATTAATCTAATACTTTCTGATACTTTTAAGTGCCGTGGGCCAGTTACAATTAGTCTCAATTTACATATTTATTATTATTATTATTATTTTGTTTTATGTATTAGTATATTATTAATTATTTTAATAATGTTGACTTTCACTACTATGCACTGATGTTTCTTGTTTATATTACAGCAAAATGTATTGATTTTTACACAAAGCATTCTGTTCATAACTATGAGAACCCGGACGATAAGAAGGATATCGACCCTCGTTTGGAAGACGTCGTACAAAGGATGTTTGAGAGATGCTTCAGCGATCGAGAATATAAACAAGCCATTGGCATTGCCCTTGAGACCAGAAGGATCGATGTCTTTGAAAAAGCGATTTTGCAATCTGTAAGATGAAAACTTGGTCTAATGTTACACAGGCATCACAAAATAGTCCCACTAGAATCACAGTTATCTTCCCATTGGTGAATTTTAAGCAGTCGGAGCACTGCATAAGACTTGATACAATTGAGACGCACATATTGAAGATGCCACGACTGTGAAAGGTCAGGTCCACCCATTGAGGATGTATAATAAATATATACAGATCCATACTAAATTTTTCTTACATTGATATTACACAGAGGTGCCTTCAGACGTGCACAGTGGAACAGGGGACGCTTGCTACATTTTTTTCTAGCACACATCATATGTAACATTTAGCATAATTCTTATGATAAGACCAAATAATAAAATTTTTAATTTTAAAACTTTTTGAATGAAATTTAAAATATTTTATTGTTGAGAGAGAGCAGTTTAGCTCAGTGGCTAATCTGGTGGTAACCATTGTGTGTGCGCTCAACCGTGGAGATTTCTAGGTTCCCGTTTCAATTCACATCGCTGCCTGTCCTTGTATTTCAGATGGAGGGCTGAAATACAAGTAATAATAGCGCAAACTCTTTCGGATGAGACGTTTAAGCTGTTGGTCCCGTGTGCATTATGGCCCATGTGCATGTTAAAGAACGCAGTACACTCTTCGGAAAAGAGTAGGGGATTGTCTCCTGGTGTACTGCCCAATCACAACCAGAAGGACCCCACTGGAAATAAGTCTTCTTCTAGACATTTGTGGGCTATCCTTTGTGTTTACCTGAATAAATCCAATCCAATCATATTTAATTTTTGGAACAGTGTCTTAGTTTTGATTTACTTGGTTCATGATGTTCCAAATAGGATCATGCTCAGTGGAAATGTGTGAGTTTGTAGCCTATGCAATCCCAGCTGTCCTTTTAGGCATGTCACTGCTAAAGTAGCATCCAATCTAACACATATTTGTAGATTATTGATACTGCAGATTAACTTATAAAAAAGCCGCCCCTCCCCAACTAAAGTCATTTTGTTTATATGGTCTAATATTAGTCTTGTGTTAATTGTATATAATACGACTTCCTCATATTCATAATAAGTAAATACTATAATTTTAAGCCTACATTTTAATCTTTATGTGCATTTTGTACAGTTAAAATTCAAAGAGCTCTTTATTTGTTTACATTAATCTATGATAACCGAATGTATTGACTAATATGTCAGCTCGTAAAAGTGACAAGGTGTATTTAATGTTATGTTAGTAACTTAATCAGTTTAAAAACATATGCCAATTTCCTTTTTTACCCTAAATTATGAATGGCAACTAGGCCACCATATGTTATGATTAATTAACCTTCAAATCGTCTATATTTTGTTTATTAATACAACATTACACCTATGTTTATTCATTTACCAAATATTTTTTTTTTTTTTTCCTACTTTTTAGGACTCTCAAGCTGAGATGATGCAGTACAGTCTGAAAGTGTGCCTGTCTCTTATACAACACAGACAGTTTAGGAATACCGTAAGTTCACACCTTATTGTAGTACCAGGGTTGACTTTCTTCCAAATGTTCCATCAGCAGCGTTGCTATGGTCCTTTGTTTTCCCACAGTAATTAAGTTTTTCCCACAGCAGCAAATCAAGAAATTAAGTGCTAATAAATTAATTCTAGGCAACAGCCTGACAGCAAAATGTTTGAGCATGAATTCTGCTACAGCTGTGAAAGTTCGTTTACACACCAAATTCTGTCAGTTGCTGTGAGGAAATTCAACATAAGATATGCCTAGGTTAAGCAGGACACTCACTGCCGAACACTCTATGCTCCCTTTGAGCACTAGACTATGCGATTCCGTCTGATGATTGTTGACGGTCGTCTGAATGGATCATCATTAAAAACGATCCGTTGTGTGCACGTCATTGCGTTGTGTTCTTTATGGAATCGCATCGGCCGACGACCGTCAAGTGCAGTGCATGCCCAGCTTAAGTGTACACTTGGTTTAGCATCTAGTTAATGATGCGCCATGCTTAAAATTATACCTGGGTTAGCAAACATCTAGTGTAGATATGTTTATAAAGCAAAAACACTATATCTAAGTATAGTAAGTTTAATAAGACTGGTCAAGTAATTCACTCGTTTTAGTGTAGCTAGCAGACAATTAAGTTATTTCCTCTACAATCTATTAATATATTGCAGGACACAAAAATAGTGAAAATTTAGCTAACATTTCATAGTGTTTATCAACTCAGTCTTATGTTAAATTTAAGATCATCTAGAACTGCCATCCACATAATTCAAAAAGTAGTACATGGCATTGAAATACACATCGATTGTTCCTAATTACAAATAAATGTTTGCTCTTTTGTCAGGTCTTGCGTGTGCTAGTCCAGCTGTACACTAGTCTCCAAGTTCCAGACTACATTAATGTTTGTCAGTGTCTGATATTCCTTGACGACCCCCAATCAGTGGCTGATATTCTTGGAAAGCTAGTCAAAGAGGGACACGTAAGTTTTTTGTTGATTTTTATAAAAAATAGCGTAGGACTGAACTGTAGAGCTCTTTTTAAACTAACCTTGGATCGTGGTTCAGTTTCATCTGCTGCCCTCTTGGGGGGTTGAAATGCAATTTTTAATATCACATGGTGTTTCTGATGCTGAAGGCATTAAGCCATTGGTCCTGTAAGCAATATGGTTCATACATGTGTTGAAAACGCAGTACACTCTCCGGAAAAGAGTAGGGGAGTGTCTTCTGGTATTCTGCCATATTCACCACCAGAATGTCCCCACAAGAAAAAGGTCTTGGGAATTTTGTTGGTTGTACTTATATTATATTACTTTATTTATAGATAGTTATAATAAATTAGTAATACTAATTTGAACTGATCAGTGAAACTCAAGTACTCCACTTAAACTGCCATAGCCCATAAATATTTTATAAAAGTGTCGATGATGATTCTCTTTTGAAATCTGTTAATACAATGAGGAAAAAGGTGACCAGAAGCAAACCCAATCATGCGGTGACCATTATTGTAAGGAAAGAAGCAAACCCATTCACATTATTGTCTTGAATACTTTATAGATTCACATTGAATGAATTGTATGATGTTATTTAAAGTTCATTTAATTCCATAACCCCTGATGGGGTTGAGAAACTAATGATGAGTTTTATTTCATTTTTTAGACTGAAGAAGAAAAATCACATCAAGCCAAACTGGAGAAATTAGCAGCCATTTTATCTGGAGAAACAAGCATTGGTTTAAAGTTACAATTCCTAATAAGGAGTAATCATACAGATCTCCTTATCCTAAAAAATACAAAGGTAAATAAAATTGCTTTCTTAAATTTGTTTATTATACACAGTAAGGAAAAATATTCCTATTAATGATTATGAAATAGTTTTCGGGGAAAGATATGTTTTCAATTGAAAAGGAAACAAGAATTAAAGATAATTTAAAATATCTATGGTCTCAATGGGTAGAGGAACCGAAAGGTTGTTCAATGGTCTTACATACAGATTAAAAAAAAAATTGTTAATGTTTAATGTTAAAAAGTGCTCCATTACATAATTTGCCTGCCAACATGACAATCTCTACTGTGTATTACTCTGGTTCCTGTTGCGGGTAAGACAGCTATGTGCCCCATCCAGTACCGTGGTCAGAATTTAGTGGTTTAATTTAATTTTTTTTTTTTTTTTCAGGAAGCAGTAAGAAATTCAGTTTGTCATAATGCAACTGTTATTTCAAATGCATTCATGCACAGTGGAACAACTAGTGATGCTTTTTTAAGGTATGATGGACTACCTAATCCCTTTACACAATTTACGTTAAAATTTTACTATATATACTCATTACTGTTTGATTTTACATATCAGAAAACTAAGACAAAAAGATGAAAAAGTCAAGGCCATCACCTTGACATAATTGCTTGATTCTAGCTTAACATTGTCACTAGGTAAAATAAAAAATATATAATTAAAAATAATGAGTGTGGGATTTATTTTATCCAGAGACAACCTAGAATGGCTTGCAAGGGCAACAAATTGGGCAAAGTTCACCGCAACAGCTAGTTTAGGAGTTATTCACAAAGGGCATGAGAAGGAGGCCCTCAATCTTATGTCTACTTACCTACCAAAGGACTCGGGTCCCGGCAGTGCTTACCAAGAAGGAGGCGGCCTATATGCACTAGGCCTCATTCATGCAAATCATGGCGCTGCTATTACTGAATACCTTCTCAACCAGCTGAAGGATGCTAGCACTGATGTAAGCTATTTGTTGATTTTTTTCTCAGTTGATTCTCAGTTGTAATATTACTTTTTACAGGGGATTGGTGTCGGGCCGTAAAAAAAAAACTGTTTTATAGCCAAAGATGTTTGGTGCAAAAAAATCACTGTCGGGCCGCACTTTGCCCGCCTGTGCTCCAGAGGGCGCATCTTTCTAACAATAGGCATTTCCTTTTCAGTGTATACATTATCAAGTATTTATCTTTCACACTCAACTGACAAATTTACTGGATCTGATCAGACTTCCCAATTCATATCAAAACAGGATACCAGGGGGTGGGGAAATGTCTACTGACAAATTTACTGGATCTGATCAGACTTCCTTATTCATATCAAAACAGGATACCAGGGGGTGGGGAAATGTCTACTGACAAATTTACCGGATCTGATCAGACTTCCCTATTCATATCAAAACAGGATACCAGGGGGTGGGGAAATGTCTACTGACAAATTTACTGGATCTGATCAGACTTCCCTATTCATATCAAAACAGGATACCAGGGGGTGGGAAAATGTTAATATATCCTTCAATAAGCCTCCATATTAACAGCTATCATTTCCAATCATTCTCAGATGGTACGTCATGGTGGTTGTTTAGGCCTTGGCCTGGCTGCTATGGGCACAGCTCGCCTGGACATCTACGAACAACTCAAGTTCAACCTGTACCAGGATGATGCAATCACTGGAGAAGCAGCAGGGCTAGCTATGGGCCTAGTAATGTTGGGCTCAAAGTCTGCTAAAGCTATTGAAGATATGGTCAGCGTAAGTAAATTTTGTTGAATCAAACTTCCTGATGGTGGTTTGAGTTCTGTAATACTATCAATTATCACTACACAGGTAGGTGTCAGTGTGTTGAATGAAAAAAATACCTTTGAAATTGCTAACATGAATTAACGCTGTGGCTTGCACAAACAAAATGCAATCATTACCTCCAGTTTTATTCAACTACTGCTTGCTGCTTCCTTTAAACCCAAAATTTTATTCTTCACAGTATGCCCAGGAGACTCAACATGAGAAGATTCTACGAGGATTGTGCCTTGGCATAGCATTGGTAAGTTATACAAAATTGTTATGGTCTTAGTTTGCATCTGTCAATCAGATTCTAGCCATATTCTAAGCTATTTGTTATTAATGTTTATCATTATTATTATTATTTATTATTTTGTAATTGTTGCCCTTAGTATTCCAATTTTATTAATTTTATTAATATTATTGTCGTTAGTGTTATTATTAATACTATTCTTAATATTAGTATTATTGCTTATATCATCACTGTTATTATAGACAATGTATGGTAGGTTAGAAGAAGCAGACACTCTTATTGAAAGTCTTGCCAGGGACAAGGACCCAATCCTTCGACGTTCTGGTATGTACACCATAGCGCTGGCATACTGTGGGACAGGAAACAATAAGGCCATTCGTCGTTTACTGCATGTTGCTGTGAGTGATGTCGACGATGATGTCAGGCGGGCTGCTGTCACTGCACTTGGTTTCTTACTCCTAAGGTAAGAATTTTATTCTGATTTTAGAAATTTTTGAGAATTTTATTTTAATTTTTAAATACTCCAGAGGGCTGCATGATCTCAACACATTTGCAGGAATGACGATGGTCCATGCCTTTGGTTCATCATCACATTTGAAACTTCCTTGACTTTCATCCCAAACATGGGTAAAGATAGTTTAAACTTAAACTGGTAGTAGTTCCAGAAATTTTCTGACATGGATCCAATAAGTCCAACAAGGTGTCAGAACTATTGGGCAGTCTAGAGCCTTGGTCTGGTTCCAAGCTTAAAATCCCTGGTGGGGTTCATGTGGAGGATTGCCCAAAACTTTACTTTTTAAACCACAATGTTAGGGATTGGCAATCACAGGCAAATTTAGTGACTTTGTTGTGGCGTGGAATGATGTAAGGGGGTAGGGGACAATGCCGCTACTGACTGGAAGGTTTGTTACTTTGGCCTAATCAATGTGATACTCCCAGAGTATTATTGATTATTTAGCAACATCCAATAGTAATCATAATAATAATTCTTTTTATTGCAAAACTATTTGCTATTATAAATGAAAAACCAAAATTTTATTTGATCTGATGATCTTTAAAAAAATAATTATTCTAAACAAGGTATAAAAAAATGTCTCGCCCAAGTTCTCGCAATATGACAGTAAGTTTCCTTAACACTCCAGAATTCAGTGACGAAAACACAAATTGAAAACTACTCAAGATCATTGCCTTTGTTTCCTTGTTTATTCAGCATCATTATACAGTACAAGTATTCCTCTTCATAGTAAAGCTAAGAAAGGAAGCTAATTTCTTGGCATTTGAAGGCTGATCTAATCACAATTGTGTTACATTGCATTTTATAATATTAATGTTCTTGAACAAATTGTTACACTACACTCAATGAATAGTTTTATATACATTTATTTCAAACACTAAAATTGTACATAAAATATTAAATAACAAACAAACATGCTAAAAGCTTGGCTGGAATTAATTATGCCATCTTTAGGAGCTCAGCTGTTTTCTCAAACAGACAAACCATTAGCGGTTAGTGCTGGGGTGTTGCAACCTACATTCATACTATTAGCGATGTTTCGAATGGCACGCTTGTCTATGGTTCTGGTGGTGGAACACGTCTTCTCGGATAAGGACTATAACCATAGGCCCAGTGTACACAATTTTGCTTGTGTGCACTTAAAAGAACCCAGTACATCTTTTGAGACAAGTAGGGAGTTACCCCGGGGTACTTGTCCATGAAGCCTCTGTTGCTGACAGATGAGAGTAGCTGGTACCGGTTTATTGGGTAGCTCAGACATGAAGAGACCCTTAAGGGAGAAGAAAGTTACTGTACGAGCTAGTTCACACTCAAACTACGTTACATTACATTAGCACATACATCATCTGTTTGATTTTCTTATCAAATTTTATCAGAAAAATTCATTTTCCTTTTTTCTGAGCATAGAGGCTGTGGATTGCCTTGACAATACTAAGTAAAATATTATGAAAGTGTGTAGGGAAAACTTAAATGCCATTATAATACAATCATAGTCATAATTGATAAAATTGAGATATTGGTCTCATTTTATTAAGATTTTAGTATACAATTTTGATTTAAAATATTTAAAAAAAAATGTGTATCACAAAATTGCAACAAGGTTGTAAGGAACACGTCCAAAGTACTTCATATGCGTGTACCTGTGCGAAAACAAAGGAAGACAGACTTAACGTTAGTGCACCAAAGTCATATCACTCTAGATACTACCTTTCATAAGGTTATTTGTTGGATTGGATTGGATTTATTCGGTGTAAACACCAAGGATAGCCCACGAAAGTCTAGAAGAAGACTTATATCCAGTGGGGTCCTTCTGGTGGTGATTGGACAGTACACCGGGAGACAATCCCTTACTCTTTTCCGAAGAGTGTACTGTGTTCTTTAACGTGCACATGGGCCATAAATGCACACGGGACCAATGACTTAAACGTCTCATTCGAAAGACGGTGCGCTATTGTAACTTGTATTTCAGCCCTCTAGCTGAAACAAGGAGAAGCAGCGATGGGAATTGAACCAGGGACCTAGAGATCTCCACGGTTCAGCGCACACCCAGTGGCTAACACCAGATTAGCCGACTGAGCTAAGCTGCTCTCTCAATGTTAATCATTTGAAGATAAAAACAGCAATGTCAAATTTAGAATACAAGGCCATCAATGACAAGTCAGTTTGATAAGTGTTTTCTAGGTTTGCACATTAAAAAGTTATTACAGTATATTGATATTGCATGGATGCATTGAAGTACTTGTATTCATACATAATGATATCACCAAAGGCAATTCAACATCTAAACGGGCTATTTTCTCAAAATGGCAAAAGTATGTGACCTTTTTATCAAACACAGCAAATTGAACTTTTTTTTATCTGACAAGGGAAGGGTTTTCCATTTAGGTTTCATATATATTTTAATATACCAATACTTACAAAAATATCATTATATATTGCAATAAAAGTTAAATTCATAGACTTACCTCCTTATCTCATCCATCCATAAAAAACAAAATAGAAAATATGATAAAAAGATACAGACAACAATAATGATAGGTAAACGAAAGGAGAAAATAAAACCATACAAAGATTTCAGCAATGTTAACACATTGTATTTCCAATATTAAATTTTAAATAATTTTGTATGTTGGTTTAAATTGTTAAGCAAATAATGATGCTTATAATATTTTTAATATATATTTATTTTATCAATTGCTTTTCCCTTTTGAGCTTCTGCCCCAAGATCTCTAATTACTGTTTTAATATATATTTATTTTATCAATTGCTTTTCCCTTTTGAGCTTCTGCTCAAATGCAAATGCATACAAGGCGCATTATCAGTGGCCTTTCATGAGGCTGTCACTATCATAATGTTCAGGTAATCAGGCTATTTGAAGCCCGGTAGACCAATAAGTAATGCCATAAATACAATATTGTATTCTAAGTTACAGAATTGAATATTTCTGCTGACAAACTTTTTAAAATGAAGAACAATTTCGAGTCAATAATTTTGTTTAACTTTAAGATCAAGAATGCAATAAAAAATGGATCATAGAGTACACAATGCTAAAAGTTGTGATAGATGTAGACAATTTGTTGCATACTCTTTAAAACTTATTGACTTATTTTGAGGTTAACATTTGGGGGTTAACATGGACACTTTAATACAATATTCTGTTATTTAGTGAACATATATGTCTTATACATCAGTGGCACTCACTGAAATGCTATACTTGAGTTTCCTATACTGAATATTTCTGTGTTACTTTTTAATGTACTGTACTAACAAACTTTGAATAATGAGTTCTCGCGTGTGTTGCTTTTGTAGTGTGACAACTCCTTGTTCAGTAGTTTGTAGGTTCGTGTTAGTGTAAAATTGTTGTTTTATCATATATTTTATTGACATAAATAGGAAGTTAGAAAATGTCCTGAATGGTAAGACACCCAAAAGCTACAATACATATTTTATTTTATCCATATTTGTGCAGGCACCTGGGGTAACAAACATGTAATAGTGTATATGGTGTAAACATACTAAACTTGGCTCTCTTGACTACTATTGCTTTTCTTTTTAACAACTGAACTTTTATTATAGGTTTCCAGTTCTCTGTCTGGTAATTGTATTTCTTTGCCAGATCCAACCTTCCAACAAAGTAGATTACGAAATGCATTCTGAAAGTCTTTACTAAAAATAGTATATATAATTGGATTGACCATACTTGATGACCAGCCAAGCCATGTAAACAAAATAAACAACATATTATTGGATATGCATAAATTACATGTTGCATTAATGACATTTGTGATGAAAAATGGTGACCAGCCAACCACAAATGAAACAAATATTATTCCTAGGACCTTCTCGGCCCTCTTCTCATTATAACGTTTTGAGTTCTTCCGTAGCATGGCGTACATATTGTAAGGAGATCCTTTCGATCTTCTTCTGCTATCGTACTTTGAACAAGTAATCAAAGATTTCATTTCCGTGGTGTCATTTATCTGTAACGATGATGTTTGAATTGCGTAGTCCATGCTGTTATTCCGTGACAATGTGACGTTCTTATTACCTCCATGCATGATTTTCTTCATGTGTACTGTATTTCCGACAATGGTTTTTGACTTCGTCTCCACATCGGTAAGAACCCTAAAAATTGCATTAGTGTTATTGTTCTTAGAGGGTTGTGCTGATAGCACTTTTTTGCGAAGTATCAGCGTAGTTAGGGAGTATGTGATAACAACAATAAGTAATGGAATAAAGAAGGCAAGCACTGATCCGTAAATCACAAATGCTTTCTTCATCGGTGCGCAAACGCCATCATGGAGAACTTTAGTTGGATCGACAAGTCCAACAATAAATAGCGGCAATGATATCATTGTGCTCATAATCCAGAGTATTGTTATTTTTGTTAGTGTCTTGCGCAGTGTTTTACGCTTCACTGAGTACTTCAGTGGGTTTTGAATTGCTAGATACCGATCAACAAACAGGCAACACATGTGAAGTATAGAGGACGTGCAACAGAGAACATCAAGCGAGACCCAAATGTTACAGAGCACAAGACCCATTGACCAGTAACCTGTGGGCACAGAAAATGAGAACCATAAAGCTCTGACCAGACTATAACATTTTATTTGACAAGAAAACTGTTGTATGTCCATATGTCATAATGTACCTATAGCTGATGGCCATGATGTGATGTCATCATTACCATATATAGCATGCCACATTTTTTTATCAAATAAAATTTGAGTATTAAGAAAATGCAATTAGTGAGCATTATTAAACTAATTTCATATTAATTTAAATCTGTATGATGTCAAAGGACACTAGGAAGTAAATAATGGGATTTGAACCCTGACCTCACAAGAAAGGCCTTTAAGGATAACTGCTGCATTAACTATAGTATTGTATTAAAAATGTATCCTATTAATCATTTCAGGTTATGACATCATAACAATAGTATGCTATTATAATATGAAGGTCGCTTTTTTTGTTAATATTGTCTATGAATAATTGCATAAATTTATAATTAATAACCAAAGCCTTCAATACATTAATGCATCATATCAGTTGATTATTCAGTGTTGTTAATTCTTGACCTTTTTCACATGTAGAGATAAATTGTTCATAGGCCAAATATAAATAGAATGTTTTTTGTCCCCTACACGTCATCCTAATTTTGGGCTACTTTTTTTTAATTCATGTCAGACAATACCCAGAATAGCCTACTGTAAATCCATATCATCAAATGCAATGAGTACATGTGTTCGCCTTGGCATGGGGATAAAATCTTTAGGTTCATACTAGTATCCGTTAGGAGGTTTCTACAGAAAAAGAGGCAAGGTCCAACGTGTGCCTAGGAGCCCTGGTGAGGTCACTCAAGGTGAGAGCTCTTGTGGTGGTTTTAGAGAGCTCAACTTGGATGGGTTGAAATAGGTGCTCTGGATTACTGAAGTAATGCTTACAAACTGGGGTAAAATGGGTGTAACCACATTTTGCCCCAGTTTTTAAGTATTCAAAAATCTGTATTTCATTAATCACATCAAATATCAAATTTGTGTTTTTTCCTTGCTATTAAGGTCAAACTTTTTTTATACCTTGTTCAATAGCAAACCTGCCGCCTGCCAATAAGGGTGATTTTGAATAAAAATACAATTTTACTTTTAACTAATTAGCGTAAAAAATGGAAATTTCAGAAAACCGTAAAAGCTTTTCTTTATTTATATATATATTACACTTGCCGCTGCCTTGAAATCTCCAAAAATAGGATATGTATATTTCTTACTAATTGTATAAACTTAAAGCATTTAATAACCATCCCATTAGTACACTGTTTACAATCGCCAATAAAATTTAAATTTTATTTTTCCCTCCGTCTGGATGTTTTTGCCAAAATTAATTGCTAAATAAGAAAACAAAATTGTATTTATTTTTTTAAGTTTGTGAAACAAGGTATTAAAAAAATCTTGCCTAACGGGTAGAAGCATTTAGACCTTCTCCTTCTGTTGTTGTTGTGTAATATCTTTTTTATGCCCTTTATTAAATATTTTTGAAAATAATGAAAAAAAAAATACCTTACCCATGAAATTATTAACAACTCCAAGAGGCATAACTAGCACGGCAACCATCAAGTCGGCGATGGCAAGTGAGAAAAGGAAATAATTTGTAATATTCTGTAGCTTCTTGTGTTTCATAATCGACAGACAAACCAACATGTTCCCAAGTACAGAAAGGAATATAATTGTGCACAAAGACAACATAGGCCAGTTGTATACCACCTCACTCTGTTCTCTGGTTTCATTCTCACTTGCATTCCAATATCGGCCTTTGTCCACGTTTCCTATAAAGATTTCCATTGCAAGTTCAGAAGGCATTCAAAGGATGCTAATATTACACACATACATGTAGTCTTCCAATTCAAACTTTTAACAACAAAGACATTTTTCTGTTTTCAGTATTTGCTGTGTCTTGTTTTCTTTTAATAGGGCATGCCTATTTACAGTTGCTAGAAACTGTTCTTGTTGAATTTTTACTGATTGCCTCTCCACACTCATTTTAATGCTGTCTTATTTATGGTATCAGGTCAACAAACTATCTGTTATGATGGCAGGTTCTGTTTTATAAACTATCTTCAAAGAGTTTGCTGCCAATTTGATGGCGTGCATATTATTGTTAAATCCGACAAAATCATCCAACGTTACTTGTTTAAATAATTAAGAATGGACCAATTACTGAAGAACTGCTCCCTCTCATTGTTTGGAAAGAACAATAAACAAGTTGTCCGTAATGGTAATGTTGAGTGCTGAACATGGCCTCAGCAGAGTCAAGTAATAAAGGACCCACGCACTTTGCGTATAATTTCCTCACAATTTAACTGTTTTTATGATACTGTAGTCCAAGGGAAAAATATCCCTTTTGAAATATACTACAGTTCTACTACTTCGTGAAGTCATTATGTTTTTTAGAGCAAGGATTGTTTTTGTGTCTTGATCGCTAAAATTAGTTGCAAATACACTGGTTGATTGCCATCAGCTGTGGTTGATTTTAGTGAAGTGTTGTGAAGAAATTGCATAGAACTGACGAGTGCATTTGTAGCTCATTCTCTGCTCTCTTCGAGTGATAAATCGACCTTGAGAACTGGAAGTATTGTGTTATCTGAAATACTGTAATGACATCTAAATTTGATCCAAGTTGTACTCACTGAAAAGAAATTTTTCAATCATTTGATGACCATTTGTATTAATTTGTGTTAATAAAAAATAAAATAATGTTTGTATATGTCATAAAGTATTCTTTTTTTTTTTCTAATTCCTGTTGTCAATCTCAATATCACACAACTACAAAAAAAAAAAAAAATAATATAAAAGAAAGTTGATCCCACTACCTTTTTAAATGAATAAGATTATGAATAAACCTAAGATTGAATTAACATGTAGGTTTTTTTAAGGAGCTGTTTAAGACCTATACAATAATTATATTGGTAACTTGTAATAATACATCTAATGGTAAATAGAATTAAACAGCTACGTATTAATTTGAATGGTGGTACTAATTAATTAAATTAAGTTGAGCTTGGTTGTTAACATTATAGCTTTGCATTGTTTCTTAGCCGTTCTGACCCTATATGTTACTATTAGTCGTAGTGGTAATGAAATAAACAAACTTATTATTACTCAACCGCTGCACTCTATAGGATATTTCGGCTCCATTATGATAATGCAAGGCCAGAGATGAACAGGGCTCCGGGGAATGGAGCCGAAATATCATACAGTGCACCGGGTGAGTAATGGTAAGTTTGTTTACTTATACCACTACGACTAAACATATAGGGTCGGAATGGCTAGTAAAGGATACAAAGCTAATAATTAGATTAATTTATGAAAATGAATACAGACTACCTCAGCTGCGATGCTGACAATCAAATAATAAACGCAAGGTGAAATATTTTTAACCCTTTTTAACAAACTTATATTTTGAAAGGTTTACAGAAAAGTGTGAGAGAAGATAGAGGTAACATTTTGATTTACTTATCTAGCAAAATATTGTAGGAGAAAATTAAAATTACAATTTTATTGACGAAAAAGAAAGTACATAATAATAAATTTAAAAAAAATAGTAATAATAATAAAATAAAATAATAATAAAAATAATAATAATAATAATAATAATAATAATAATAATAATAATAATAATAATAATAATAATAATAAAACAAAGTAAAGTAAAAAAAAATTATTTTCATTTGGCCCTTGTTCTCTGACATGTCATGCAAAATATATGATGTAGAAATCTAATTGGACAGATAAATGCAGTTTATTTACGTAATTCTGATAGGCAGGATAAAAATTTAAAAATTTATTTTATATTTACTGTATTAAAAATAATCATCGTCCAGCAGTGGGTTCACCTCCTGAACTAATTTTTGCATACTGTAGGCTCTATAGTTGCCTACATTAATTAAGTAGGTGATTAAAATTAAAATTAGTCGAACTGATACAGAACTGTTAATTGTATCCATCTAATTGGAGATATTGAATAAAGCAGTTAATTAAATATGTCAACTTATGACCAGCACCAATACAATACCAGTGCCAGTATGCAGGTATACAGTGAAACAAAGATATTGGGTTGTATGGGTATTATAACATTTACAACACACTAAAATAATACTTGTAGTACCCTGTCACAAATATTTTAATAATGTCCAAGAAATTTTTTAATAATGTCCAAGAAATTAATTTAATGCATTATATTGTTCTCCTTTATGATAATGACAATGTTGCTGTTGGTTCGCTTCAATTTAATTCAATTTATTTAGTTTTAAAAACAGTATCCTTCTAATGACAACCTTAAATCAATGTCTGCTAAATGTCTTTGAAAAGACATCTATTTGTACCAGTACCAGTATAATGTTATTCTAATTTTAAATCGACAGCTTATAATTTAGCCTACTTTAAAACAAAAGAAAAAATTAAGAATTCAAGTATTAGATTAAATGCTCTCGGTACACCAAGTACGGTAGATAGTTCAGTTTTTGTTGAGAATATCTCAAAGTTTCGATTAAATTGCTTGTCATCAGAAGAATCTTCATCAGGAGAATTATACAGACAAACCACCAAAAACAAAAAAACATCAAAAAAAAATTCACAGAAATTTACAAAAATTCATATCACAGCAATACATTATAAAAATTAAACCAACCAAACAATGACACAAAAGCGTAGAAAAAACAAGCTCACTCTTGACAAACAATTCTGTAGGCCTAAATTTCTAACAAATTGCATTAAAATCAATTAATTCATAAATTTAATATTTCAAGTTTCTGCCAAATTGTATACAGCAACAAATGAAAATTCCTTACCTGCTTCAAAGTATTTTTTAATTTGAAAATGATGAAGTACTTTCAATCAATTTTGCCTTGAGTAATTATCCTAAAATATCCTATACCAGAAAAATGGTTTGCAGACTGTACAGTGTATGCATCCGACCAAAATTGACAATGTGGAGAATATAATGTCTTCTACAGTTTTTGCACTTTCCTGGCACAGTGAAGTACTACCTTTCAGCTTCTACCCTTGTTTGCAATAGTGCTGGAATATCTAAACCAAGGCTAATTTACCTTCATCAAAAAAGCTAGGCTATGATTGGCTATTGGTCAGTTTTACTGTACTGTTTAAATAGTTATTTCTGATTGCATAAGATGTTTTATGACATGATCCTAAGGGGTATGGTATAGTAGCAGTGAAGATGCTACCTTGGGTACTAGTTCTTTTTTCTTAAGCCAATTGTATGTAGAAGTGTGATTCCATTTTGATGGCATCAAACCACATAGAAACAGTATTGCTATAGTTTTTGTCTTTATCATTAAAAATGGTGCTGTCTTTCATGAGCTAAAAAAGAAATAATTCCCTTTCTTAATTACCCTTAATTAAACTGGTATAATTTACAATTAAAAATGTTAATGAGAAAAAAAAATCCTTGTCAGTTAATACTGTAGTGAATACCATTACTGTTTTATTTGCATAAATCCTTACTGTTTTATTTGCATAAATCCTTTAGAGTATTGACCAGTCATTAATGACTTTAAGGATTTTTGTAGTTAAAATGTCTTTAAATCCGAAAAAAACATTTTTCAATCTTTTTCTGGTTGGATGTTAATTAATTAATTCGATCCCTTTTATCCTATTCAAGATATTAATTGAATTTTTTATGTTTTCCCTAAATTTTGTTGGCAGGCAGTACATCTTAAAGCTAGACATAGTACCAATAAAAGTGTTATAAGTTTTTAGTATTATCAGTAATTATGAAATTATTTTTATTTTCTATTAGAATAGTTATTGAAAATGGCACTGGTAAGTTATAGCTGTTTACGTTGGCAATTGGTTTATGTTGCTGTATTCTCATTATTGTTCATATTATTGTTGCTGTGTTATTAAAACATTATTCTAGGATATGTTGCCATTGTTTAAAATAGTAAAAAAGGTTAATTGAGAAAAAAACAAAAAATCTATTTTCAAAACTAGCTGTGTTTTGAAACATGTACCAAGTCAAATTTACAAATTTTTTTTTTGACTGTGTACGTGTCTTGATGTTGTAGTTATTTGGTGAGCAATTAACTGATCAACTTTGAATCACTAGTAATTATCCTAAATTTCCAGATAATCATCTCAATATCTTTTGTACAAGATTAGCTGTACAACCATTTAACCTTGCTGGCAAATTTCAATTCACATGCATGCACTTTAGTATTAATGAACCAATGATGGTTGTATAGAGGTGCCATTAGCTGTATCTGGCAAATCCAGCCCAATTCAAAATACATCTTCACACACAAGAACTGAAGGAATTTATGCCTTCATATTTAGTGGTTGTTTTCCCCATCTATATTTCATTAAAAAAAAGTTTTGTCTTAAATTCCCACTAATCTGGAATTTTGTTGTGTCAGTAATTGAATTTTAAGCACTTAAAAACGTGTTTATCTACATTCTGAAGATCACAGGGTTAGGTTACCGTTTGCTGAAAATATTAAAATGATTGTTGTCATATTTTGTTATTTTCAGAAATTAATAAAATGATGATTGTTGTCATTTCAAGACCATATTTTTTTTTTCATTTTCATGAAAGAGAACATACACTGTTAACTCCTTCTCCGCATTGGGTATGCTTTTTATTCTTTTGAAAATGATGAAACAAATAGACACCAGAATACATTATATAACATTAACAAATGTACAAGAAATAGTACAGTAAGCATGGACCTCTTCTTGAAGAAACAGTAAAGTATGCAGGCCTGGAAAAAAAGTATTAGTGCCTCCAACCATGAAGTTGTTTCAATAAAATGCTTCCAGCACCAAATGTTGTTTATAACTATATACAGATTATTTTTCAATTTTTTTCCCCCAAAATGCCTCCGGGACATTCATGTTGCCGCCGACCGCCGGTCGGATCCCTGACGTGACAAATTCTCATGGAAATATTTCAAAACATCCTGTGTGAAAATTTAGACGAACTAAAATCACAAAAAAAAGATTTAATTAAAGAGTTGGCAAACTAAAGGTAGATGAGTAGATTAAGTCAAATTGAATAGATACGAAGGCTGATTAACTTTTGTTATGAAAGGATAAAAAAGGCCGACCCAGTTTTGCATTTAATCAAACCCAACAGTTTCTTTTGTCTGTATAGGGACACTTTAATTATGTAATCATGGTTTAATAATATTCGTTTTGGAACTTATCTGAAATTTGCAAATAACCAAGAAATACGGAAATATACAGAGCTGCATGAGGTGAAAATTAAAAAGAGTAAAGAATGAAAAAAAAACTAAATGAAAGTACAGCAGCACTCTAAATCTAAGAAACTTGTTGATTCTGCAGTGCTTATTTAAGTACCATTGGTGTTCCCAGGAATTTTAAGTAAGGTGGTAGATTTTTTTAATAGATACAGCACATAGAAGACTAGAAATACACTCTTGGATTTAAATTTTAATATAAAACTTTCTTCTTTTTATTTTCTCCATTTTGTTTTTGAAATTTGGGTTAAATTTTATTAATTCTTTTCATTTTTTGTTTTTATAGAGGAATGTATTTTGTTGAATTTTTAAAACAATCCATATCATCCAACAATGTAGTTACAACATGGTTTAGTATCATTTATTATAGAGTAACCTCATGGGTTCAGTTCTTGTGTTAGTCACTTAAATTGGGCTGGGTATAAACTGTAGTCTCCAAAAAGATTCTGTAAACCATGATTTAAACAATGAGTAAATTGTTTTATTAATGTTCAATTCAATTCAATTCAATTTTTTATTACAAATGAAAATGCATCATTTGGATAAATTAATATAAAAAGGTAAATATTAAAAAGTGATTATATATACTATAGAACAACATATAAAAACTTTAAAATTCAGAATAAAAAATTAGTAATATTTCAAGACTAAGGAACTACCTAATGAGATCAGAAAAGTGTGCACAATTTATGTGTGTATATTATTTGAACAAAATTTAACAATTATGTTGATTTGATTTGTGTGAGATGCATGAAGCTTTCTCCTTGACTTTAGTTTGTCTTGATTAGTGATGGGCTTTACCTGTATAGCACACCTGTAGTTTGTCCTTTAATTTCTTTGAGCTTCAGGCTAAGAGCTATCATATCAATTCTTTAGGCCTTGGGTGAATACCTGAAAATTATCTCTTTCTAAACACATAGATAAATCAGTTAGGTGAATTTACATTTATGTCTTTGAAGTGAGATAGCAGTTTGTAGTTGCAAGCAGGAAAATGTACATGGTTAATGGTTTAGTTTTCATTAAAGTTGCAATTTTATACCTCCTTGCAATAAGTTACTTGTTCAAAAGACCTTTATATACTTCACTATTTGGCCAAATAAAATTAATTGTTAGTTTCACGCCCGTGATATATTTACTATTTTCAGAGAGTTACAATTCACACGTGCGGTACGGCGCAGCCATGGCCCTTGGAATCGCATGTGCAGGCTCAGGAAACAAAGTAAGAAAATAATTACTACACCTGATGAGTTCAAATCAGTTATTCAGACATAAAACTGAGAGAAAAAAAGATATGCATGTATCTGAGGAGGGGTTTACAGGATTTGTGCAGGTTCAGAAAGTTATGGAACTGTCTCTTATACACATCTCTGTAAAGTACTACAGAACTTCCATAGGCTGTCTCTTATACACATCTAGATGTGTATGTTGTGTAACTGTATTTGTTATTGATTCAATTCTTGCTTATTACAGTATATAAATATTTGAAGATTTAAAAAAAAAAATATCATTTCTATTACTGAATTTTTTCATTGGGGCCATTTTTACCTACTTGTCATTTGGGGCCATTTTTACCGGGGCCATTTTTTCCTGGGCCATTTTTCCTGGGCCATTTTTTCCTGGGCCATTTTTTCCTGGGCCATTTTTACCTACATTCGTACTACGGTACTGTAGTGAGTAGTGGTACAGTATATTGAATTAGAGATGTAGCTGGTGGTTAAGATGCTTGCCTTATTAATAATAACAATATGAATAAATTTTTAACACGCCAATTCAAAAACATTATAAAAGGCGCAGTGAACAATTAAAGCGATTTAAAATGACTAAAAACGTTTCCCCTTATTTGTCAATTAATAAGTAGGTGGAAGCTATTATAGTCCAGCATACTGATGCTGAGGTGCCTAAGTGTACACAGTAGTCATAGGTCATAGTAATGCCATTTCATTATCGGGGAGTGCACATTCCCCCCCTTCACATTGGAAAATGCTTTGTTTTGTATTAGCCATCATCTTTTCAAAAGATAATCATAATTATTGTAGGTTTTTATGTTTGTTAGTTTAAAAAAAAGTGCATTGAGGAAAAGTTTAATGTGAATTTTAATTGCAGTTACCATTAGGCCTAGAGGGAATGAAGATTATAACATTGTCAATGACATGACCACTAAATTTTGACAAGACCAACAGGCTCTCAAGTAGCCATAAAGTACTGTAGCTAATATCACTTGCCTTGGAGTATTCTCCATGGTGCCCCTCTTAAAATGTGTTCAAATAGTTCTGTTGTTGAATTATAATGAATTTCCTAAAGTAATAAACTAGAAAGAGTAAAGTTGGGGCTAATACCAAGGTTGTATACTGTCGTATGATATTCTTATTACAAATACGGGTACTGTACATGCTCATTGTAACAAAAGACGCATTCCTCGCTCTAAAAAGGCAACCAGGATTTATCTATTGCCCTATACCAAATGGCTTTGTGTTGTGGTGATATTTTCTAATTGTATTATAAAATAAAATCTTAATCAGTAGTAAAAAAAATGAAACAGCCTGACCATCTATATAACATCTACAGTGAAATGAGTCAACTGTTTTTTTTTAACATGCTAATTTGTATTGTGGCCTCCCTACTGTGTATGTTTTTCAAAGTGCAAACTAAATGCCTAAGTAAACAAAACTGTGACCTTACTTTCGTTTTATTACTGGTACCTAATGAGCACTCTTGTATTCTAATTTTCAGTAGGAGTGTGTTTTCACAAAAGATAGGGATTTTAAAAACCATTTATCTTCAGTATTCTATTATTAACATAAAAGCTAAGATCAGTGTGGGTGATAGCTGTGCATTGTATCGTCGTAACAAGTCGCTGGTTGCCTTCATTGCTAGATCTTCACAAAATGTGTTCATGGTCATCACATGGTCGGTCATTGCTCCCTGGTATTTTGTTTTGTTGGTATTCTGTCTCTGGGTATAGAATTATTATGGAATTTTTTACAACCCCCAATGTGTGCAAAGAAAATTGGAAAGAAAGACACGTTGAATTTTCAATTTTCAGTTATCAAAACTATTTACTCTATTGTTTCAAATATCCATTGCATAATACCAGGGAGTTGTTAATGCTCTTCTCAAGTACTGTAAAGTACTACAGAACTTCCATAGGTAGGCCTATTTTCTACGGAAATTTTGCCTAATTATGGACGTACGGAAATAGAAAAACATACTACAGAAATTTATCATAGGCCAGAACAAATGTCTTTTCCATCAGGATCTTGGGTATACAGTATTATCACTTTTAGACAACTCATACTTGTCAGACTAGCGATACATTGTTGTGATAATTAAGAAAAAGTGGCTGAAAATCTTCACAAATATAACTCTGTGCTTATATCTTGCACTCAAGGCAAAAGGTGGTGCTACAAAAATTTTTCATTTTCTACAGAAATCTAAAGACCCGTTACTGAAATGCATTTTATGAACTTGAAAAGAGTGTATACCTAGATGTGCAGGTAGCAAAGCTCCAGTGATTAGGTATTGCCTGTCCAAAGACCTAAGCAAGTGTTGAAGAAAGTTATGAATAAATAAATAAAGTGAAGTTGACAGCTTGGTAATCAAAACCCTCGGACCTCATGGATAAGAGCTCTTCTCATTATTCGGACTCAGTTTGGTGTAGGACAGAACTACAAGACATTCCCTGTAGCACTCAACATGTTTTAACAATTTTTTTAGTAAAGAATTTAAGTTTAGCAGACATAGTTGCCAAAATTCATTCACATGCTGTGTGAACGCATCCTTGATGCAACACTAGTCTGCAGTCATGAGGTAGTCTACACAGATTGTCGTTCATAACAACCCGTCGCATGAAGCGTTGTCACTTTGCAATCTCATTGTCTTCTTGTCTATTCTTTTGATGTATTTTGGTGTGAATCACACCAAGAAGAACCCACTAAATCCAAAGACTTGTTTCCATTTGGGTCCTTCTGGTGGCGAATTGGGCACTATACCGGAATCGAAGTGTGTACTGCGTTCTTTAACGTGCACATGGATCATATTACACACAGAACCAACAGCTTAAACTTCCCATCCGAAAAGACAATGCGCTAATTTTGTAAATTGTGTTTCAGCCTCCAGCTGAAAAACAAGGAGAGCAGCAGTAGATGGAATTGAACCAGGGACATAGAGACCTCCACAGTTCAACACACACACTGGCTACCACCAGTTTAGCCGACTGAGCTATGCTGCTCTCTTGCATGTGTTCATTCTTTTGAATTTATATAATCACTTGTCCTTTGGGAGTTGTTTTATGTTTTCGTATTATTGAAATAATTGTGTTTTCGATTGGATTTATTTGGTGTAAACACCAAGGATAGCCCACGTAAGTCTAGAAAGAGACTTATTTCAAGTGCGGTCCTTCTGGTGGTGATAGGCAGTACACGGGAGACAATCCCCTACTCTTTTCCGAAAAGTGTACTGCATTCTCTAACGTGCGCATTGGCCGTAAATGGACACGGAACCAACTGCTTAAACGTCTCATCCAAAAGACTTTGCGCTATTGTAATATTTCAGCCCTCCAGCTGAAACACAAGGAGAGGCAGCAATTGGAATTGAACCGGGGACCTAGAGCTCTCTACGGTTCAGCACACACATAATGGCTACCACCAGATTAGCCGACTGAGCTAAGCTGCTCTCTCACAGGGATGCGAGTTCACATCCAAAAGGGTTCGCTCGGGGCAACAAGGACATGAGTTTACGTCCACACTTGTCTATACATACCACTATTTTATTGTACGTTTACTTGTTGGAGGTTCAGCTAAGAACACAGAAATAATGATCTAAAAATTACCACCATACGTTTGTGTTTCATTACTGTTGATAGGAATGAAATTCATTATGGTAACGTCCTTTATGCCTTGGAGTATGGGATGAAACTAGGAAAAAAGGCTTGACAGTCAGGGTGTTAATGTTTATATAAATTGAAATAACCTACAGTAGGCTGTTAAGGGCCACTCAGTGTGCATCAGGATTAAACCAACTGAAGGTATAAGGAGAGGGTAGCTGTGGTGGGTCCTGGACAATCTTAAAATACGAATTGCCTTTTGTGAAAGAATAAATTGAGTGATTCAATTAAAAAAAGATTTACTATAAGCCAATTATAGATTTAAGCTTAGATGTATAGCTCACAGTTCTCAAAGAAATACTTTTACTGCCATTTTTTAAAAAGCCTTGTAGAAATATTCTCACAGTACATCAGACTTTTTGATAGCTCATTTGTTTTGTTCTTTTCCTGCTATGAACTTACCTTGTAACAGTGTTTCAACCCTAAGAAAAAAAAAATGTAGATTAGAATTGGATTAGAATGCCAGCTTTATAAAGCTGCATGAGATCTTATTGTTCCCACAGAGATACTAGACTAATTTTGGATCAGCTTAATTAATGATAATATGTTCAAAATCAACACACCTGAGATTTTCTTTAGTTTTGGCCCTGAACCAATGTATACTTATATTAGATCACTATCAAAATATATTACTGGAAGGTAGTATTAATTGTTTTAAATTTCTATAGTGGCTTCCATGTAGTAAAAAAATCATCTCAAGGTGCTTTTAAACCACTAAAAACTACTGTACTATCTAATATAATAATTATTGGATTAACAATGACGAACACAAAGAAAAGGAAGAGACGCGCACCCAATGTTGAGATGGCATTGCCATTACTACTGTACCTTGTACCCATTTATTGGGTAAATGACACAATGTAACATTCATTCATATGAAAAATATTTAGTGGAAAAATATTTAGAGATGGTCTTCCATGGTCCTCTTTTAAGCAATTTATAAAATGTTTTCCCTTTAATTTCCTCAGGCAACCTGAACAGTGTCCAAGTGTTGTGTCCCTGTTGTCAGAGAGTTACAATTCACACGTGCGGTATGGCGCAGCCATGGCCCTTGGAATCGCATGTGCAGGCTCAGGAAACAAAGTAAGAAAATAATTACTACACCTGATGAGTTCAAATCAGTTATTCAGACATAAAACTGAGAGAAAAAAAGATATGCATGTATCTGAGGAGGGGTTTACAGGATTTGTGCAGGTTCAGAAAGTTATGGAAATGCATGAGTGATTTCCATGACCTTTTAAAATCATGGAAAAGTAATTTGGGAAAAATTTAATGTTGTACTGAATTAATTTTCAACAAATACACATACAATGAGATTGCAGCACAGCTATGGTTCTGTGGTAAAGGCAGTCACCTTCTATTGCAAAATTCTTAGGTTCGGCTCTGTAAAGAGGTTAGAGCATCGAAGGTCACTGAATGATCAGCTCTCCACTCCACAAGCCTCATGAAGAGATTATTATAGATCATCAAGCTTCACTGTTCTAACCATCCTTGTATAGTAAAAATAAAAATATGATTAACAAGCAAACAATACTGGTATGCATAGCAAGGATTTTCAATAGTAAAATATGATTTTTTTTTTTTCTTAAAGTGAACCTTCATTTGTTTTTACAAAATAATGGTTTTATTTCATTTTCTGTTTTTAGGAAGCCCTTGGTATCTTAGAGCCAATGTTAAATGATCCAGTTAATTACGTACGACAGGGTGCTCTAATATCTTCTGCGATCATCCTTATTCAACAAACTGAAGTTACTTGCCCAAAGGTAATGCCGCATTTTTTGTTCATATGTACAATGTTAGGTAATATATGTTTATTCATGTAATAAAAGATTGAAAGAGTGGTATGCTGTATGCAAGATGTGCGTAAAGTATTCCTATGATTCTATTATATATATATATAGGCAAAACAAACCATAAACTAAAACCAATTTCTCTAATAGGTTAGTTTGTGTAGAGCTGTATAAAAGACTCAAAGATTAAAAATCAAAACACTATTTTAATTAAGTAAATCCCTGCTGTCATTTGTAATTTACAATTAATGTACCAGACAAAAGACTGAGAAAGCTAAATAGTGATGCTATAATTTTCCCCTATGTATTATGAGGTTGGCAGTCGATTTGTTAAACAGCTAATATGCTGGTCAAGTATAGCCATCTTTTAGCATAAATTACAGTAGCAATGTAATATAATTTCCAAAATCATTAAGGTACTTCATAGACTTATCACTGTCTGTACCCAAAACTATATTTCATTTTTTGGATTGTGTCTTCTGTAGATATGATTGGGTGTTGGTATTCTTTACCATCATGTGGCATGCTTTACCTACAATACAGTGCCTTTTACCTGCACCAACTGCACATTCACCAGCTTTCTTATTCCTTTCACAAGTGTTTCTTTATTTAGAACCTGTTTACTACTACCTCTGCCGGTTTTTCATTTCTTTGACAAAAATACTTTTCACTCTCATTATAGTTTGCATATCATTTATTTTTTTCTCATCAGGTGACATATTTCAAGAGTGTTTACAGCAAGACCTTGGCGGACAAGCATGAGGACGTGATGGCTAAATTTGGTGCAATCCTTGCACAGGGTATCATAGATGCAGGTGAGATGATTGACAGCTCACACCTGAGATTATTGTCCAATAACAAGGATTAGTAGATAATTTAATAATAATTTAAAAGCCATTGAATGCTAAAACAGTTTGCATATGGGTATACTGCAAATTTATGAGAGTGATCAATCAGCATTCAAAAATCGATGAACAGAAGTCAAAACTAAAATGTGCTATCAATCAGTAGATCTACAATTTACAGAATTGTTATACAAATGAAGTATAGAGAGAATTGGATAAAGTACAGGTCTCCCTCAAATTAAAGACCACTTTTGTGACCGGGGTTTCCATGGTCTTTAGCAGTTTTGGTCTCTAATTAGAATAATAAAGATAACGTGACTGGAATCAACTCCCCAAGCATATTATTGCAATCCAAGACAAGGATAAGTTCAACCCCTTTTCGCTTTGCATCTTTTAGGGGCGTTAAGGAGTACCTAACCAGAACCAGAAATACATTTGTTAGTTGGGACCACAGAAAAGTGGTCTTTAATTAGGGGGAGACCTGTACTTACTTTATTTGTGTACATTTCTCATGTATATTGTGGACCCTGATGTGTAGCTAACTGCACATAAGACACAGTTTTCTGTAAAAATTGAGTCTCATGTTAATAAAGAGTGAAGCTATTTTTTGTAATGAAAAATATTCTGTAATTGGATAACATTTGAACTCTGTGGTTGGAGGGCAAGCATCGTAACCAGCAAGCTACAGTAGACCAGCATTATATTTCAAAGTCACCTCATTTTAATCATTTGAAATTATATTTTGAAATTTAACAGGTGGTCGAAATGTCACCATTAGTCTGCAGTCACAGAGTGGTCACATGCACACGCCCTCTATTGTTGGCATGTTTGTGTTCATCCACTTTTGGTACTGGTTCCCTCTGGCACACTTCCTCTCGCTTGCATTCTCCCCAACTGCTGTCATCGCACTGAACAGCGATTTGAACATGCCCATCATGGAATTCAAGTCAAGTGCCAAGCCATCAACATATGGATACCCACCACCGTTGGAAACACCCAAGGAGAAAGAAAAGGAGAAGGTAACAACGGCTGTGCTGTCAATCACCGCAAAGGCGAAGAAGCGTGAAAAAAAAGAAGACAAAGAGGAGAAAATGGAAGTGGTAAGAAATAAAAATCTTGTTGCCAGAAGTATGCTCTATTTAGCAGAGAATTTATGCGTAAAACCCTAACCTTTGTTTTCTGACAATTGAAACATTTTTACTGGTAAATTGTCTATAAAAGTTCAGCTATGTGTGCAGTGTGAGGTGTTACCCCTATTCAGTGGTGTTTAATGATTTGGGGGATAAAAACAACACCACATTCAGTCATCCTAAACTTAAACTGGAATGATGACTACCTAGGGCTATTAGATCAGTGTTTTTTTTAAACATTTTTAAAGGTTGGCTGGTTGTTTGTACTGGTAAAATTGATGGCTAAAACAAATTTGAGAGGTCACTGGCTAGCTCTACATCAGAAGAAAGTCTCAGTTCATATTATGTTAAAATATTGCTATGTCAGTAAAGTTGGTTGAATAATATTATAAATGTATACAATTTGAACAAGTAATTGATTATGTCTTGTTGCTCTAGGATGATACTGCTGAGGCTACTGTCAAAGAAGAAAAGGATACTGAGAAAAGTGAAGCAACAAAGAAGGATGCAAAGAAAAAGGAAGGAGACAAGAAGAGTGAGAAAAAGGAAGGAGAAAAGAAGAGTGAGAAAAAGGAAGGAGAAAAGAAGAGTGAGAAGAAGGAAAGCAAAGAAGACACAATTGAGAAGGCTGAGAAGAAAACTGGAAAAGAAAAGAAAGAGGATAAGAAAGAAAAGAAAGCAGATGATAAGAAGGAGAGTAAAGAGAAGAAAGTTGAGCCTGCCTTTGAAATAATGTCCAATCCTGCAAGAGTGATGACAGCCCAACTGAAAGTTCTGTCACTGGAGGGCAGCAGATATGAACCACTTAAGCCGGTATGTAGTGTTGCTGTACATTACTGAACATCAAATGTCCTTCACCCTCATTTTAGCTCAGTGTGTGAGGTGTGTATAAATGTTTTGTGATATAAAAAAATAATTTGCTATTAATAATTTGTTTGGACTTCTACAGTTGTCCAGCGGAGGAATTGTATTGATGAAAACCAGCCGAGCCTTCACAGAAGAAGAACCTGAACGCTTTGTAGAGTCCGTGCCAGGTAAGACTAAATACTCCAGAGATTTGGAACTAGATCCTTAGGGTCCCGGAATAAAATTTCTGGTGGGGTTCATGGTGAGACATTTTGTGGTTTAGGATGGCCCAGAATTGTGCTTTTAGACCACAGTAGTAAAGATTGGCAGTCACAATAGCTTTGTGTGGATCGACAAGTTAATATTTTTAGTCACCGATTTCATAATCATGGCACAACAGATAGGTGGGGGATCCATGCTTGTCCGGAAGTGGGGAAATTTCTTGCTGGCCCACTGGTGCTGCCACTGATTAGTTCATGTGTATTGAATTCATATTAATGTTACAGCCTCACTTCCAATTTGTTACATGTAAGGTTAGTTCTCACTGTATCTAACTATGTGACTAACTCATCAAAAGATTATCTCAATATTGTATTTTCATATAGTTTTTGTTCCTCTTAAATGTTTTTGTACAGTTCTGTTTTATTATGTTTTAACATATTTTACTGAAGTTTTGTATTCATATTATCATGTATTTGTATGTAAGTTTACCATGTAATTAAGTTATTTCTCTGCAGTTGGTTTTGAATAAAAATTCTTATCTTTATATTAATATTTCAGCTGGTGGACCATCCCTTGCTGAAGAAGAGAAGGAACCAGAACCACCAGAGCCATTTGAATATGTAGAGGAGGAATGAGGGCACTGTTTAATTTATATGCTACAACTCTTACTGTTTTTGAAGCCTAAAGCCCAGCCCAGACTATCAATTATATTCGACAAAAACGTGACATTCTTAAATATGGTCATGATGACATCACATCATGAACATATATAGGCACATCATGACTAAATGTGAGCATGCAACAGATTTCTTTTGTCGCAGAAAATTTGGTAGTCTGGACAGAAATTTAAAATATGGTATTTGAAGAAAAAATGCATTATTAATCGAAGTACCTAATGGCAACATTTCTTTTACTACCTGAAATATATTAATTTTACATGCATAAGAGCCACTTAGACCAAATAAGCCAAATTGTATGTAGGCAAAGGTATTTGAAATCTGTTCTCACAATGTTATGTTCTTTGGCTGTGAAAATATATTAAAAAAAAGTTTTTATAATGCAAGATAATTAAATATAATGATGTGGACTTCTATGTTAAAATTTATTGAATGGAATTTGATATTTCACTCATATTTATCTCTGCAAATATTAGTGATGTATTCATCACATTTTTCTGTTACTAATTAACAGAGTACCTCATTGTACCCCATTCTGAGTGTTGAGAGCACTGACAATTATAAACAGAATAAAGCATTGAAAGCTTAAATTGTGGTATTGTAATTGTGTTTATTTTCAATTGATAGAAAGAACACCACTACTGTTTTCAGGAAAGAGGGGAACATATAGGAATGACTTTTCTTTACTAACTAGGCTAGGATGACCATATGGTATCTCAAGCACCAATTGAAACCCAGAACCCTATCTTTCTGATTCAAATAAGCCAAGCTTATTTTTGCCTTAGCACAATTTTTTGTCTTCAAGTTATCATTATTATCTTAAAACAGGAGTGACATGGTTGGTAACACAACATACAATGCTCTGCAATGGATGATTCGTTTGTCATTTATTCACAAAATTGCATTGCCAACTTCATTACTGTACCACCATAGTTTTCCCAATGATGGCTGCATATCTTGTTCATCCAGTTTTCAATTTTGGAAGTAAAAGTAGGCAAAAAAATATTTGTTGTATTATTCATCAGTCTTGGTGCAGAACAATTGCTTCATTTGGAAAGGCTTAACAGTATCTTTTTATCACACTGATCTAAAATGATGAACACATCAATATTAACATATTAATTGGAGGGTTCTGTTATGCCTGTTTCCATAGAATTGCTACAGTGTTTTCACTGCAATCCTTGCACTGCGTACCTTTCCCAACACAATCAGGACTGCTCCCTGATTCAACTGACCAAACGACGTTGCCAGCTTGTAGCGATTTTTATGGAAACCAGGCTTGAGTTGCACAATACAATACTAATAAGACACAGACTATAAACTTTATAAATTAACCTTTTTTTATCTTTAATAACAAGGTGAACATTAACATACATATAAGGTAGTGCTACTTAATGCATACCAAATCAACACTTGTATTTTAAAGCGTATACCTATGGAAGACATGCAATCTAATCGCTTTTCCTTTTTTTTAAAGATTTCTACCTTCAAAGAAAGAGGAACACTGATTAATTACTACATCATCTGTATGAACAGTTGTGTGTCGGACGACAGGAGGTCCAGGCCTGTCCGATTCCCCTGCTTCTGCTGGCACCACCACTGCCTAGGCCCTGCTTTAGTAAAAGATATTGTAGAGAGGATTACAAGTATATTATTAAAAATGCCAATTGTGTATTTAATTTGACCAAGGAGAATGCTACAATACATGGTTAGTTTGACCAAAATCAAAACCAATGTGAACACAGATCAAGTGATCAGAAAAAAATGCAGGGTTGTAACTTCAACAGGCAAGAATCCACATTGATCCTCCACTGTTTACTGCAACTTAGTTTAAAGCTGATAGCTAGGCACTCTGGAATATGTAAATATAAATTTATTTATTTATTTATTGAGCTAAATATTAAATAAATGTAATTAAATATTAGAATTTGTACTCGATGCTAATGGTAAAAACGCTGAACAGAATAATTAAAAGATGTACCGTCTGTCACGAGTTGAATTTTTGAGGTCAAACGTACAATCAACACTTTATTCTATTCTAAGATAATATATAAATTAATGACATCAATTCACTTGTTGAAATATTAATTTTTATTTAATTTATTATTAATCAATTATTGTTGCATCCTGAGTTACACCCAATAGTGAGAGTACAGTATTAGAAAAATCAAATCAAGGAGTTTTAATTATAACTCCATGTTAATTCTAAAAAGATACACTTAATACTGATGAGGTATTGCATTAATTTTAAATTACATAGATTGAAAAATTCTAGATTGTTCAAGCAATTGACAGCATCAGATATATTGGCCCTTTATGCTCCTGATCCTCTTGTTAAATTTTCAATTGAAGATCTGTAAGACAAAAAACCCCAGAAATTTTAAAGATATACAGTATACACATTAATATATTAAGTTTACAAAAATTGCAGAACAGCGCAACAAAAAAAACCAGAAAAACCCCAACATAAAAACACAAAATATAGAACAGAAAATATGTATTATTAATATTGAAATAATAGTATTTTTGTATATTGTACTTTCCTTTTTCTGAAGTGGATTTTTATCTAATTTTCACCAAAAAAAAGACCAGCTTATCATTCTCCTATGTACGAGTAAAGGTACATTCACACTAAATCCGGATTTTCCAGATTGGAAAACTTATTGAACCGATAAGAAAATCAAAACGGTATGTAAGAATAGGGATGATGGCATTCGGTGCATTAGAAACATGGTCCGAATTTCAGTTTGGATCCGATATATGAATGCAGCTTTAATCGTTTGATCAACGTCAATGGCCGCATAGGAAGTTCAGGATTTTTACACTATGAACAGGCACAGGATGAATGTGTTCTTACTACATTTATGATGTGAAAACTCAGGGTGCCTACTTTAATTCCTTGACAAATGTATGCCATTATTATAGTACCATGTCATTATTCAAGACTCGTGTACCAACCCTCACATCTACCTCCACCAAATCTCAAATTTGTAAGCTACACAGAGAAGGTGGTGATATTTAACACTTATTTATAATTAATGGATTGTTAAAATTAATCACTTACAGGATACCATCATAAATCACTTGTCTTTGTCTGGCTCGTAAGCAAGTAGATGCCGGTACGCAAAGTATCCAAAGGAACCGACGGCCATGCACCATTTGTAAGTGGCTGGGCTTTCAAGACCTTTATTACTAGAAGCAAAATAAAGAGATGGAATGGAAAATTAAAAATTAAAAAGGCCAATTATTGGACAACAATAGCCAAAACAGTCACTCCTTCCAAATCATGTTTCGGAGATAATGGCTAAAATATGTTGAAATGTCAACATTTGTTGAAACCTACTTTATTGCACTAAACTACTGTAAACTATATAGCTATACACCATGCTTGTTATTTTCAACATTAATACAACATTTTTTAACACTAGGCTATTTGAATCACCTAGTGATTCAAATATCTGTAGTATGAATCATACTCTCAGACTCGAGAAAATTTAATAATCAAATACTGTACAACTCATGTACAGTAGTTACCAATTTAAGCCGATAAAAGTTAACAGACACATTTTTAAAGAATTTGTCTATTACACCTTGTTTATCGTGTCTCATTAAATTGCAACATAACCTAAAGCCTTATAAAGTATGCATAGAATACCACAAAATAGACATAGGTTTATATTGGTTGAATATAATTCAAGACACAACACAACTTGGATGTACTTTTGAGAGAACAGCTTAGCTCAGTTGGCTAACCTGGTGATAGCCACCGTATGTGCGCTGAACCGAGGAGATGTCTAGGTTCCATCACTGCCTATCCTTGTATTTCAACTGGAGGGCTTAAATAAAAGTTATACTGTAATAGCGCACCATCTTTCGGATGAGACGTTTAAGCCATTGGTCCCGTGTGCATTTATGGCCCATGTGCACGTTAAAGAATGCAGTACACTCTTCGGAAAAGAGTAGGGCATTGTCTCCCAGTGTACTGCCCAATCACCACCAGAAGGACACCACTGGAAGTAAGTCTTCTTCTAGACTATCCTTGGTGTTTACACCGAATAAATCCAATCCAATACTTACACTGCAATATAATACGAAAAATAAGCCTCCACTGCATGGCTTAATATTGTAAAAATCACCCTGAAAAAAAAAAAAAAAACCAAGATAATACAATAATTATCAAATATATATATATGACCTTGCCAATCAATATTCTGGTTTAATTGTATTCTGGTTTATTGTTCATATCAAAACATTTATACCGTATAATCATGTATAAGACGAGGCTTAATAAATTTGCAAATTACAATCGAAAAACAAGGTCGTCTTATAGGCGCAACATACAAATTTTAGGTCGCCATATACGCGAATACTGTATATATGGTATTGCACCATCAGCCTTGTAATGTCACTGAAATATCGAGACCAACGGTAGCACCAGATTTTTGAAGAATCAAACAGCTCATAATACAAAATTCTTCTGTTGACTACATAAAACAAATAAAATCAATGAATTAGTAAAATGTTAGTTATAAATAAATGTTTATTAGTAAATAATAGTAGAACTCACAAAATATTAATTACGATTGGCCAATCAGTAACAAGGTACTTGACAAACACTCCGAGGGGTCCAAGATAACTGTACGGAATTACATTCGGATCAAAGAAGGCACACTTGAAGAAAACATATGGAATTTTTATTACAGTAATATAATTTTTTTAAATTGTGTTACAATTTTACTTTGTTTTCTAGTAAAATGACGAAGTATCACCCTCCATAAATAGGCCTAGGCCAAGATTTTTTTTTTTATTCTGGTAGTTAATTGTTTATTTTTCCAATTTATTAACTCCCCTACTAGATTAAATCACATAATTGTGCAATCCATAATTAATTTAATGTCACTTGTGATGACAAATTTTTAACCAGATCACTTTACTTTACTACAGTAATAACAACAACAAAAAAATACAGAATCAACATTAATTTAGTATCAATAATAATATTAAAAACAATAATTATTGTAATTATTGTTATTGTTTTTAATATTAAATTAAAACAATTAACAATAATTTCAATAATATTATTATGCTGATATTGCAACTTACAAATAGTAGTATTAGACCAGCTATTATAAAAGCCATCAGGGGGAAACTTGGCAATTTGAAGTATTGTTTATCGATAGCCATATTTCTGAAAATAATAATAATATTAATAATAATAACATTTATTTGGCAAAAAATATACAGAATTAAAATAACATAAATTGCCCAGATAGGGAATAGCCGAAAGCCCGAACAAGATTTGCTCCCTATCCTTTATATTATAAAATACACAAATTAAAACAAAAAACAATCAGAATTATTCACAAACATAAAAAGATATAAAATGCTTAATTAAATTATTCTTAAAAGAGAAAACATTTTTGAAGTACAGGATGTAGTTCTTCCAGAGTCTTGGAAAGGACACAAAAGCAGAGTTAAGAAATAATAAGCCTGCCCTCACAACGCTCACTCCTCTGAACAAACTCTGTTAATGTACGACACAAATTTATGAAGAACTTTGAAACCAAGAACAAGCCGGTGATATTTTAAAATATCTTCTAATTAAAGATGTCAAGCGTTTCCAGCCTATCTTGATAATGTGTGTCCCAATCACCATATATTTTAAACATAATTATTCTGGTGGATGCTTTCAATTATATTAATATTAGTTTTGTCCACATTGCACAACAATAAGTAATAATCGGAAGAATCAATGCTTTATATAGATTTAACATTACAGCCCATGACATATTTTTTTACTACACTTATTAATAAATCCTAGTAATTGTGATGATTTAGAGAGCAAATATAACTTACTTGTGTATGGCATGAAAGTTTTTTATTTATAAAAACACCAAGAAATTTAAATTCATTTACTTTTTCTAAGTAAAAATTAAATCAAGACAATTTTTGAATACCATTCCGAGGCAAAACAACTTATCTTCATTGTTGTAGATACGTTGTTTTGACCCGTAATTTTATAGTTACGTTGTTTTGCAACGGAAAACCATTGGATTTTAAGTTTTGTGCTTAAAGATAGGTGGTGCTATCTCTGAAACGACACATTATTGAGACCTGAAATTTTCACAGGTAATTCAGACATGTTTGATATACTATGATATTATCTCAAAATCGAAAAAAAATGTCAGTTACGTTGTTTTGCCGTGAGGACAAAATAGCAATAGAGGCCGAATCGACTACACTACAGTACTATCTAGGCCCCACCCAGCTAGGCCTACTACTACTGACTGACTGACTGACTAACAATAAAATTTGCCCTTCCACGACGCAAATAAATTAGGCTATTTAGTGTTACCGGCCGGTGGTACAGAAACCCAATCCACGTCAACAACTCAATCCTGCGACGCTCAGCTGAGCATGAGAAAGGCTAGGCTAGCTAGCTAGGTCATCAACAATCAACTCGCCAACGGAACCCAAAAGCTTCCCCTGATTTGAGCAACACAGTAGTCATCGGCTAGGGCCTAAGCTATAAAAAGGTTAAAAACAAAAAAATACCTGAATTATATAAGAGATAACCACAGAATATTTCTGGAGCTGTAAAACTTACGAAGTTTCTCAAATGATACGCACCCGCCACACCACGGTAAAACAAAAGTTTACTGTTCAGTTTTTTTTTGGTTTATCATGCTTTATCCATTTATCCAAGAACACTGTTTTGGCCAGCGGTAATGTGCATAGCTGTGATTGGCTCTCAGTATTGATGGACAGAAGGTCAGCCTGCATATTATTACCGTACATAATCGTACCAGCAGGAGGAGCAGTCATTATTAAATACTGTAATGTAATATGATTGCTCCCTGGTTTATGTCAAGGTTTAAATAATTTCTTTCTTTCTTTTTTTTTTTTTTGGTTATATTTTGTAAAAGATATAACCTAATACTGTACTACATAGGCTATAGGCCAAAATTAGAAGCAGGCAGCAGCAAAGGACTCGAGATACTGTCTGCCAAAAAAAAAAAAAAAAAATAGATATAAAAAAAAAAAAAAATAATAATAATAATAATGTTAAATCAATCAATTTAAAATGATCTAATGATACTGTAATGAATTTTAACCAATTTCAATCAATAACAAAAATAATTAAAGGTAAATAATAGGATTAAAAATTGTTTTGCTGAGGTGTGTAACATGTGAAACTCAGGTGCTTTCAGACTTTCAACGGGCTGTTTTTCCTTTTTCTTTTTCAATTTGAGGATGGTGTAGTGTAGTCTTGCTGGTTTAAAAAAAATTGTTTAGTCATATAGTTTATTGGGATTTTTTCCCTATATTTTAATTATTTGAAGTATTTATAAAATTAAATTCACAGTATTTTAAATTTAATAATAATGGTGATGACGTTTAGGTCTAATTGATTTTTTTTCATTCAGGGCGTCATATTCCTAATTTGGAAATTGAGTCTGTGGATTTCGTTCTTTTGCATTTTTCTTGTGTTGTTCTTGATGAGATGTAAATTGAATAAAGAAACCAGAAACAGATGGAAAAAATAGTTTCCGTTGAGTAGGCCTACTTTTTAGCGTACGTGACAAATTGTGACGGGGGCTTAAGTCTTGAAATGGGGTCGTGCTTATGGGAGGGGGAGAAGGTGAAGGGCTCGATGATCGGTAAAACGCTAATTCACAAAATAAGGCGATTTTAGGTGATTTTTAACTAATTGGCCGTGATTTTTGGGGGAGTAATTTTTGGAGCGTGCGCCCCCACCCCAGATACGCCACTGTGACATCCTTCATACAGTCAATAATAAAACACAGAGTGATTGGCATAATATATTTAGGTTTCCTTAATAATTAATAATAACGGCAGAATTTGATTAATCGTTAAAATATTTTAAATTACTTACCTGAAATATCGGCACCTGAATGATTAAAACAAAAACAAAACAAAAAAACTGTCTGCCGTGAATTTTTTAATTCATGGCAGTAACGTATACTTTTAAGAGTAGTAAGAGCATGGCGGTATAACCTCCATGATAAGAGACACTAGACCTTTTATAAAGGTTATGACGTTATTGACATTGAAAATAACGGTGTACATGTTCTAACTTTAAATCTTGCCGAGTAATTAAATGTTAATTTTTTTTCTATTTTCTTGAACCTTCAATAGGCTGAATAAAGAAATTTAGTAAAAAATGGTACAAATGTATTATGATATAAGATCAATGCAGACAAAAAGACTAGGCCTAAGGGAAGCCATAGTGATTCGATATTTATTCGAATAGGGCCTATCATGAATTAAAGATAATTTTGTCCAAGGGACCATATACCAGAAATGAGATAACTTAAATGACCAATCAAATAACTTAACTAAATTAAAAGAGAAACTCTGACTATTTGTGGATATTACAGAATAAAAGACAACAGAAAGAGCTTGTATGATGTGGAAATGAAAATAAGAGAATCAAATCTACAAAAATGTTTACTATTATCGGGTAGCCTATACGGTAGGTAAGACTGCAGCGGAAGATTTGACGAAGATTGTACGCTGAGACCGCCTAAAGTCTTAGGCCTAGAAAATATCAATCTGTGGAAAATCTTTCCCCACATGCCCTTTTCACCCCATGAAAGTGCCTTAAAATCTCAAATTTCACACGCTTCGCGCACATGTCTTGTTAGGATAGGCCAATTTCCTAAAAAAAATTGCACTAAATTTTAGGGAGTTTTGATTAAATGTCGACGAAATTAGAATATAAAAACACAACATTTTTTTGGCGCGCTTCGCGCGCGTTTTTCAGGTTTTTTTTTTTGGCGTAGCCTTCTAGGTTAATTAAACACATAATAAATAGTTCCAAACTGAAGAAAAAAAAATTAAGATAGATCGTTTTTAAAAGAAGGGCCTCAATGTGTAATGATGGTGAAAGAATATGTTTGTAATAAATAAAGCCTTAATGAAAATGCTTATATTCAGTTTAAAAAAAAATGTGTGTGGCCATATATAACATTAAGCCCTAAACTAAAAAAAAAAAAAACATTTTTGAGGGTGAGAACTGATGCTTGTCCTCCTTTGCCATCTAGGTTAATTGAACACATAGTCCCAACTCAAATAGAAAGAACATTTAAGATAGATCGTTTTACCTAAAAGAAGGGCTTCGATGTGTATTGATGGTGAAAGAATATGTTTATAATACATAAAACCATGATGAAAATGCTCATATTTAGTTTGAAACACACGTGTGTGGCCTATATTATACATAAGATAAGCCCTATGTCGTATTGTTTTCTATATGGGGGGGGGGGTGGCCCATGATAAATTACTAACCGGGAAATGTATTATTACCTTTGCCCCCTGACCCAAGACCCAGTGTTACGCGCCTGTTAATAGCTTCTCCTACTCTCCATATATGCTACATATATATTGTAGATTATGCCACATGTGGTGGTGGAAGAAAATGTTCGGAATGTCTGACGGAGGGGTCTGAACCAAGGGGCCGACTAGAGCCTCGGTCGTTAAAGTCTAGGACATGGTCCAAATTGTGCTTTTAGACCATAATGGGATTGGCATTCAAAAAATAACGTTATTTCAATAGGCAAGTTTTAGATCCGACGACCTCGGCGTGGCGTCGGACGACCACCACTGAGTGCAACCTCAGCCTTAACATCAGGGAGGCTTTTGGCCACACCCACTTACCCTACGATCAGGAACATATACCCCCTGCTCGTCGAGCAAATCAGAGCGCCATCGGGCTAAATTTTAAAGTATAAAAAGTGCTGAAAGTTGATGGTATCCTTTTTCCTACGGTTTTGCATTTGTTGCTACTTTAGTTTGTTGGTAACAGTAATGTCAGTTAACTGAGTATAATAATACTGTGTACGACATTTTATAAAAGTTGATTGTTCCAGCTCTCAAACTGGTCACAATATAATTACATACTTTAATAAGATCCTCCTTCTTTGTCTGATGATAGTGACTGACCAAATCATTTAGGCATTTTTAATCGAAATACATACATTTTCCATAGGGAAAATTTTCATGAAAAAATTAGTTGAACGAATGGTGGGTCAAGTTAGCTATGCGGAAGTAGGGTCACCATATCAAAAAGTTTGAATACCTAGGGTCTACACCCTCCATTTCAGCAAAATACTCTCCCTGGTCCCGTCTATTTCTAAACTCCTGGATCCGCCACTGAGCGAAGTTGGGGAATCGGTGCTGTTCTCAAATTTGAGTTTCGTTGCTATAATGTTATTCTTGGTAATTCATTCATATACTCATTCGCTTTATTTCGAAAACAAGTTCATAAATATACATCAATGTTAAAATTATAAAGTAAATATATAGATTATGCTGTATATATAAGTGACATAATACAGCACTACCATAATATATCATATATGCTCTCAAATATTATTCTCAGAAGTTCATAACAAAGCTATGTATGCAGTAAGAGACATCCATTTTACATATAAGATGCTATCTTTGACAACAAAAATATGTCCGTTAGGGTCCAAAGACTAGAATATTAGGGATTGGCAATCAAAATTATGTTATTTGGATAGGCAAGTTATTATCTCATTGTGGAGTCAGAGAGTGAAGGCTTGTCCGACAGGGAAGGGGAAATATTTTTCAATTTCAATTTTATTATTATAATCAAATGGCAGCATCAGCTGAATTGCATGATATTTACATAATACATTAATTAAATCGCAGTACAGAAAGTAAAAAATAATACAAAAATATTATTTAACTACAGTAAAATGAAAATAGATTATATACAATTGTAACATTAACTAATAATGCCTCACCCCCTCCCCCCTTGGCACCACCACTGAGTTCAACCTCAACATCACCGGGCATACAGTGAATCTTGTTTATCAATTGTTTTTGCTATCATGTAATGGTATTTTTATTCACTTAAAACGAATATAAACCTTGACAAACATATACATAAAATATATTTAAAAAATATTTATGGATATTGTAGTAAAACCTACATAGTCTATCAGTTTATTTAAGTTGTATCAATACATTATCATGTATAGTAAAACCTGCAATCATAGTAAATCAGTTGATTAAATTTGCATCAATACATTATCATGTAAAATTTCTAAATATTGAGTACTGTGCTAGCTTACATACAGCACTACTTAATTCTTCATTCATCTAAGCAGCGTTTCAACGAACATTCAGGATGAAAGGCGATAATAACAGTGATGTATCCAAGGAGTTCTCAGAGTGCCTGAGCACTACCACCCACCCCCCACCTCCATTCAAATGTTGAACAAAAATAAAAGGTGGTCGATTAGCAAGAATGCTATAGTTTCGCTGTCCAGTCAACACACTCTTGATGTCTTATTTAAACACTGCTGTATGCTATACCTTCATACCTATGTACTAATACTAACTCACTGAGTGACGTCCCGAAATTACTTTGTTTATTCATAGTTTAAATGGGTTATTAAGGAGGTCTTGTATAAGGCATTCAAAGCTTTGAAGTTTATTGTATAGCATGTTTGAAGTTTCATGCTTCTATTTTATATGACATATGGAAAGCACACTCAGTGTATGACCTTCATCAAGACTCGGGAGCCTCACGGAAATTGGGACAGCCTCCAGCACTCCCACAAGCACCAACGAACCTCTCAGAAAATGAAGCATCTTCCGCAAATCCATATAATATTTGCATGTTTTTACTACTTTATTTATCAACTGTTTCACAGAAATCGGTGACGATGGGTATCACCATGAGCAGAATAATAAAATTGGATGTGTTATTGAGAGAAAGCTCATTTAACCAGATCTTCCCACATGGAATGACTTCATCCGACTTGGGAGCCCTGTCTTATCAACAGCATTTCCAACAGCATCTAAACCCCTTTCCCTCTCCATTTCACCATTTGAATCCACCATTAAAATTCACCATTAATGTCCACCATTATAAAACTAATGCAAGATCTCATTAGTTATAGGCGCGAAGTCTGAAGGTTAAATCGTGATATTTTGTTGTGAGAAATGTCAAACGACGGTTTTCTTCCTGTTGCGAGATCTGACAGAATCTGTCCAACCACTGGCGCTAACTTAAACCCATGACCTGCAAAAATAGTTTTAAAAAAAACCTTGATGTACCTTAGCAATTCATGGTCAAAAAATAATGATCAATCAAATTCTACATTGTGTCAAGAAATATTATGGTAGAGTTACAACATTATCAAGGTTTGTCCCAGCTGACAGAGAAATGCCAAGATTTTATTCTATTTATTCAGATATAAGTTTATATAACACCTTTCTTTGAAAACAAAGATACAAAGTGCTTCTTTCTCTGGTCCTGGGTCCACATGTTTAAGTGTTGCTGCTGTAAAAAGCGCAGGAGCAGGTAATCCAACCAGATACCAATTTATACAGATAAAGTGTCTTGCTTAAGGATTCAAGCGCAAAGCACAGCGAGGGATTGAAACCGTTCCCACTACACCAAATTATTTCTAAGATTGTGCAATGACATGACTACAGCATCACTGTAAGATGTCAGTAAAATGTCAATATGACTTAACAAGATGCCTGTACAATTTAATTAATCATATAATTGAAAAAGGAGCAATGGGTGAAAATGTTGATGTTATCACAGAATAACAAGATTGCACTAAATTTCTAGGCCGTCAGTAATCGAAATTCAACACACAATACAAAGACACAAAACAAGCATCACTACAAACAATGACTAGCGAGTATAATGCCCTGCAAAGACAAATTCTATTTGCAAAAAAACATGTGACATGCCTAAATATGGTCATGATTACATCACATCATGACCATATATAAGCACATTATGACTATATATAGGCATACACCAGTTTTTTTTCGGTCAAATTTGATAATCTGTGCAGGGCTTAATAGAGAAAATTAAGTGCATGTCTGACTTAATAAACAAACCTGAGAATCCACAGCCAATGACAATATTAGGGTAGACTGGATGTACATCCAAAACAGGCCCATCATCAGGAGTAACCTAAACAAAGCATGATGAAAAAATGAATACTATTATTGATCAATCAAGTTATATCACTTACTTCCATCATCATTATTATCAACAAAATCATAAATCATATATATCACATATATATCCTGACAAATATCACCACTATCGCAAAAAAAGTCATCAACTTTGCTATCAAAAAAACAAAACATCCTTATCAACATAATCTTTCAATCAATCAATAAATTTATTACATAAGTTGTCGTCATCACCACCGCTACCACTATCAATGTAATTGTCGGATGGATGGATGGATTTATTCTGGTGAACACCAAGGATAAACCACGAAAGTCTGAAGAAGACTTATTGCCAGTAGGGTCCTTCTGGTGGTGATTTGGCAGTACACCGAGAGACAATCCCCTACTCTTTTCCAAAGAGTGTACTGCGTTCTTTAACGTGCACATGGGCATCTTGCACACAGGACGACGTCTCACCGAAAGATGGTCCGCTTTTTATTTCAGCCCTCCAGCTGAAAGACAAGGAGACCACTGATGGGAATTGAACCGGGGACCAAGAGATCCGTACGGTTCAGTGCACACACAGTAGTTGCCACCAGTTTAGCTGTTCTCTCTGTCATCATCATCATCATTATAAAGTGACTTTCTTGACTCCACACCACCACAAACCATCTTCAAATATCTCATTCAATCACAATCATTCCTACAACTTATTTACCTGCAGCAATAAATTGTATTATATTATAATAATAGGAAAAAAAACACATTCCATCAAATATATATTATTTTATTATGCTTTATAATTTTCTTTTATCAACACAAACTTACAGTATAAATGCACGTCTCAATGATACTTGGCTGTGGCTCTAAGCTTGGAAAGTGCGCCCTCACATATTCTTTCAAGGTTTCAATATCATTTTGTCTACCACCTGCTTTTAAGTCCCTCAGTTCAGGATCGTTAATTTCGTTACCAACATGATAGCAAATCTGTTATAAAATACCAACTGAACCATAATAACGAAACACAATGGATATTAGATTCATGTCACAGTGCCACATATAAAGGTAGGAAAAGTAAAGGTAGCATCATTGTTCTGAATTGCATATGGGCGTGGTCTGTGACTACTGTAGCAGCTGTAGCTAGGCAATCTCCCGAAAGATGCAATGGGTTCTTTTATGTGCACACGAGTCAGATGTGTACATTAGACCTACATTTTAAGTCCTTATCCGATAAAACTTGGTTCTACCCACCAAATCCTGGGCGAGGATGCAGCTCGAACCAGTGCCAATGTTAAGGCTCTATTTAGCGGCACACCTGCCTTACCGCTTGACCACTCGACTCGCCCAAACAAAAATTAATCATAATTCATGCACACAAGAGCTGTGTGTACCAATTGTCACAAATGCACATCATAAATTGCCAGGTTATATAGAAAATCATATGACTAAGCACAATCGTCATTACCCCTCAGAATAGGCCAATAATACTCATCTTCCTGAGCAGTATTCCAGAATTCCTATTCTATAGAATTCATAAGAAATGACCATACTGCACCTACCTTAACATGACCAGGATATTCCAAGCAAGGCAATCCATAGACATGATGACTACCGGAATAGTCAATGAACACTGGCATATTCCTAAGTTCTTCCGGACACTTCATTTTCCAGTAGCACACATTTATACGCCAAACCTGTGTGAAAAAAAAAATATTTAAAAAAAAACAGTATTAGTGTCTGCACTTCCACCCACAAATGTAGTATTGAGTAGGTGCTAATGTTTCACTTGTTCGCAAGCCTGCTGAGAGAGCAGACCTGGGATCCAGGACAGTCGGGATCCCAATGTTTTGAGCCGGCAAAAGCCCCCAGCTAGTGCCAATATATTATTTTTTGTGTGTGTTTTTAATTTTTGAATAAATATACCTTGAGCACCATGAGTAATTGGCAAAGATATTAGGAGCTTTGAATGAAAATTACACTTAACTGAAAATCTAATTTAAACCTGTTTTTTATGATGCAAATTCTTAACAAATTCCACTTAAAAATAACACATACCTTTAGAGGTAGATGCAAGCCCAGTGGACGAAGAAGCTTAGAGGCCCATGCTCCTGGGGTAACCACAATATTCTTGGCTTTGTAGGTTGCCTCGTTTGTTTCCACTGTTACCATGGTCCCTGGTGTTATTCTTTGTACCGGCTCGCTGTCTTGCAGTACTCCTCCATATTTTAAAAACATTTCCTGGAAAAAAGCAGATGCAAGGATTAATGACCTCATCTCTGGGGAAAACACAAGAAAATGTTTTCTTCCTTGCATGGTTCATTAGAACTGTTTATTTCTTGGTTGATTTTGCTTATTTTAGGTACAAAACTTGAGGCCTGGAAAAACCGTTATGATTAATGCTTGATCACACTTAATGAGTCATGTCAAAGTGTCTTTTTAAACATCCTTGGATCCTAAGTCTCCCAGAAATCGGGACGGCCTCTCGCACACTCCCACGAGTAAGCACAAATCTCCCTAGAAAATGCCCAAATTCATGATTTCTGTGTGAGAACGCCTGATCGGTTAGCACTAACCGTTACCAGGATCCGGATACGCTAAGGTTAGCGAGTGCTATCAGTTAGCAAGTTCAGCGCATTTCTATCATCAACCAATCACACGTACGCGTTTCCAATTTCCTATTGGCCAGTGATTCGATCATCATCTTCTTTGGATCAGGATTTGCCCGTATGAATGCATGGCAGCTAGCGGTTGCAAGCTAGTGTCTCCCCCCCCCCCACTTCAAGACTCCTAGATACGCCACTACTTTCATGACACAACCTAACGCAGCAGGTACACTTTATGACGATGATGGTGCCTTCCATCATTACTAGGGGAGTTATGTTTACAAACAGGACTGTTCTCTTTCTTTTCTATACTCTTGATAGAATTTTGTATACATACACGGAAAGCTTCTAGGCAACGGTCTGCTTTTAGAATGCCAGCATTTTGATCCAGAAACATTCCGTGGCTAGGGCTGTATCGCAGACCTGGCCATCTCCTGCATGCATCAGTTGCAGTAATATCAGAGAATTTCAAGTTATTCCTCTTTAACAGCTCACGGGATGCCTTGTATTCATCTCCAAAACCATCTTGTATGCCTAACAGTCCAGTTTTTCTTCAAGATAATAGAGATTTTACAGTAAATTTGTTATACCATCAGACCAGATGATACTACGATATAGTTAAACTGTCACAAATGCAATGTAAGGAAAAACAACATTAATCGTTAGTTTCACTTTCAGGATTTGAAATTCTTTTTTGGTGAGGGTACTTACTACAGTATTTGCTATTTACTACCGTACTAGTGGTAAACAGGCTGGTAAATAATAAAAATTAGGTTTATTCCACCTATTTTTAGGCTTTGCCAACAATCTTTCATTTTATCATTATGTTTTTATTCTCCATGGAAAAACTATTGGTTTTTTTTTTTTTAATGACAAACAGTACATTTTTTCATGAGGCTCCAAAACTTGATGAGACCAGGGACTACAACTAGCTATTTTTTATTTAGCCTACAATAATCAATAATGATAGGTGTACTACTCTGTGAGTAGCCCATGAACATGAAACTATATAGGGGGTTAACAAAATGGAAATTGATATTGCTCCAGCATGCTGCTAGTGCATTATGTGCGACACTGAAGTTTAGTTAGGGACACACAGCTCCACCAATCAACACGGAACTATTATATTCACGATGTTAAAAGATACCCTGTTAGGGTAAAAAATGCTTTGACTGTGCCAAAGTTTTATTAGTATTGAAAATCCCAGTGGCGTATCTACAGGGATGTGCACGCCCCTCCAAAAATTACTCGTACCCTCCAGTTGCGCCCTCACCCCCCCCCCCCCCCCGCCTAAAATCCAAAATAATTTGCAAGTTTTTAAAAATCACCTTATTTTGCGAGTTAGCTCAACCTTCACGCCCCCATCAGCACCCCAATTTCAAGACTTTTAGATACCCACAAGAAATTCCCACAAATGAAGTCTACCTTTTTGTGGTGCAAATTTAAGCCCTGTCTAGACTATAAAAGTTTACACAACAGAAACATGTGACTTGACTATATTTGGTCTTGACAACATCACATCATCACCATATATACTGCAGGCACATCATCACTACGGGCATACAACAGTTACTGCTTAGTGTTGCAGGTCATTAACGTATCTCATTAGGGAACTTGATAATTTACAAGCTTTGTTTTACCAAAACCTTATGATGCCAAAAAAAAAAAAAAAGCACTGTAGCTACATAAAACTGCAGAAGTGCTGGTAAATCGCTGTTGTATAATGTGTGAAAAACACTCTTGCTGTCAGTCAGGCCTGTTTTTAGTCCGGTCTTAATTCAGGATACCTCCTTGAATATTTATACAAACCTGCTCAAGAAGTAGTACGACTTTATTGTTTTTTGCAAGTTGGTAGGCTGTCGAACAAATTCAGCTATTTTAGTCTAAGCCTAGCCTAGGCCTATCTATACAATTGATAAAAATGTCTACAGTCTAGGATCGTGGAAGTACACAAAGACCCAGAATTATTGACATGTGCATAGAGTCCACTAGAGCGCGACTAGTTTACTATCCAAAACAAGGTAGTGGCTATCAACTGCAGAAGTACTGGTAAATCTCTTTCCAAGTCATTAACCAATTATATGGCGAATCCACCCTAAATTTTTCAAAATTATTTTTAAAAAATGGAGAAAAAAAAAAATTAAGTTCTCTATAGGGATGAAGCAAAATGTTGTGTGTTTTATATTAGGACTTTTAACTGCACAGTTAAATTTCCTTGATATGACATTTTTAGCAGTAAAATGTTTGGTAATTACAGTCACCCAAAAATTTAGAAAAAAACATTGAAGTAGAATTAAAATGTGCAATTGCTCTTTTGAACAGTATGTGTTAATAAATTTTGATTTGAAACAAAAAACAAAATTTTATGATTGTGCATTTTAGAATTATATGTACAGTATCTGTCCTAGACAACAAATTCCTTATTCAATCTTTCGACAAGAGCAATTCAAGATAACTTCAGTTTATATACAATTATTTATAATTTTGAGGATTTTTTACCCCAGATTTTACAAGAACAATGATTCTCTATGTAGATATGTTTTACTTACTTATAAAGCTCTTTTCCAACTTCATCTTCCAAAACTTTCCAGCATCTGAAGTTCTCGGGCATCATGGCCATATAATGCTCTTCCGCATAAGTATACCGGGTGATCCGTGACTTGCCATGGGAGCTTCCCCGTGAGTGGGGCAATGGAAACTACACAATATTGAAGAATATATCAACTATGTTTTAGTAAAGATTTGTTATTAAAGTATACTGGTAAAATAATTATAATAAGGATGGGGGGGGGGAGTGGTTACTGTAATGTTGTACTAACTGTAGATTCTAACATTATCGTTCAGAATGTTCGCAAACTTAAGTTTAATAATAATAATATATTTTGTGTTTGCTGGGGATATTTTATTACCGCTTCCAATAATCTTCTCCATTTTCCCAGGGGTGGTGCCAGGATTTGCCTGATGGGGAACCGGATGTATTTGATGAGAAAAAGTGGGCGGAGATGGGCAACACTCAAAATGTCTCGAAAGTGTTCCAGGGGCTTCAAAAAAATATGACAATTTTGGGGTTTCAAAGGCTTATTTAATAAATTTTAGACCCTACTAATAATGTAGAAATATATATACACCATTTTCGCCAAATTCCATCTATGCATTTCGGAAAATAAGGGGCGAATTTCTGCACAATTTTTCAGAGTTTAGGTTTTGACATACCCTCTGCCCAAACAAAATACATTAGTGTAGCTCATTTCCACATTGGGAGAGTATATCACACATATTTTGACATCATTAACAAAAATTACCTTGAACAGAGATATCCTAGACCTAGGGCACATAGAAAAAATTGTGAGATTATCACTCCCGCTCACGCCAAAAAATTGGGAAATATTGATGCAGGAATATTAGAAAAATATTTTTTTGCCGCATCATTTATTTTAACAGCTTATATTCTTTAAAAAACAATAAAATTAAACCAGTTTTTATACAATATTAACAATACTATTGCCAAATAAAAACAGTCCCTCCCTCATCAATAAAAAAAAAGAGCAATATTCTATTGTTTCACTTAAAAAAAAAAAAAAATGCCTGCCCTCATCACTTTTTTTTTAAAGAGTTATAACCTGATCATTTTTTCTATGTGCCCTTAATGTCAATTTTCAAAATTCAGATCAGATAAATAAAAAAAAGTGGTGGCAAAAAGTTAAAAACCTGAAAAAGCCTAAAAATAACTACAGTAGTTCGCCCAGATTTATTAAAAGCTATATAAATAGGTTCAGCAGCTGTTACCTACTACAGGAGTGCAGTAGTAGTAGTAGTATTTACTGTATTTTGTAAAATTTAAGCCTACTTTAGCCACGTCAGTCTGCAGCTGTGTAAGCCTAGGTACAGGCTCACCAACACTACATTTTTAGCTCATTTTATCATTCATTCATTCATTGTTTATTCACATAAACAAGTGAATACAAAACAAATATGAAATTTAGCAAAAACTTAAGACAATAAATAACTGGCTCGGATCTAGACCTGCTGTATAATGTGTGAAAAACAAGTGACTCTTGCTGTCAGTCAGGCCTGTTTTTAGTCATACAAACCTGCTCAAGAAGTAGTACGACTTTATTGTTTTTTGCAAGTTGGTAGGCTGTCGATGAGCCTTCTATTCCAGCACCTATTACGATATGATCAAAAATACGTTGGCTTCCAACAAATTCAGCCATTTTAGCCTAGCCTAGGACTATCGATACAATTGACAAATGTCTACAGTCTAGGATCGTGGGATCGAGATGAAGTACACAATGACCCAGAATTATTGATGTGTATTGAGTCCACTAGAGCGTGACTAGTTTACTATTCAAACAAGGTAGTTGCTATCAACACTGCCGCAGTGCCGATTTGGCACTGCGAAAAAAACATAAAAGCTTCTGTTTTCTATCGGCACTGCCGCGTTGCTAAAAAGCTGATGTTTTCTATCGGCACTGCCACAGTGCGAAAAGCTGCTGTTAATTAATCGAATCGATGTTTTTATCGATAGATGACATTATGGTATCAATAATTGATTAGGTCTAGCCTATATTATTGTTAACATTATATTATATATGTTTTACAATTAATAATTATAATTATTTCTAATTAAATTATTAAATAAATAAATTATATATTAGGCCTAGGCATATATTCATGTATACATATAACAATAATAATAATAATAATAATAATAATAATAATAATAATAATAATAATAATAATAATAATAATAACAATAATAACAATAACAATAACAATATAATAATAATAATAATAATGTTACGATAGTTTGGTTAATGAGATAATAATAATCAGCATATTAAATAAAATTACGTCCATGCAAACCTGCTTTTAACTTAAAAAGTGTATATTTGATTCTGTTTTAAAAAATAATCTTATAAATTATAAGTTTATTTTCTGGGATATTTTTATCCACATTGGCGCAGCTAATTCATGTTTTCAATGTTACTATGGTTGATAAATAATATATATATATATATATATATATATATATATAATATTATTATTATTATTATTATTAATGAAGGTGCTATAAAGAATTATTAATACTTCATACTTCAATGAAGTATGCCTATTTACGATAGTGTGATTAATGAGACATTTGTTGATTAATTTATAGATTATATAGGCCTATATTCCATTAATAATGATTCAGCATATTAAATCAATTAAAAAATTAGTGACGCCGGGGCAATAGTTGATAGTAAATAACAGTACAATGAATATCCACATAATTGTTGAATGCAGGGACCTATCTCTAGTAATACATTAAAAATACAAATTGTAATTCGGGACAAATAATTATCTTTACATGATATGACCCATGTCATATCATGTAGAGGTAAAGTAGTACGTACCGTCCAAATGGGAATGACGCCGGAACCGTATTGATAATAATTAATAATGGCTACGATGAATTTTCATTTGAAACATCTCACTTTTGTACTGTGTATGATGATGGTGATCAGGCATACAGATTTCAAGAAAAACACAAAAACAGCGTGGTGATTAATACTGGTGTGATTAATCCTGGTGCTTTCTAAGACAGAGTCGACGTTAAGGTAAATAAAACTAAAAAAAAAGAAGAAAAAAAAATGTTCCAAAGCTCAGTTCAAAGGCATGTTTGCATCCATTTTTATATCATTTGAAACATCTTCCTTGAATCTATTATAATGTGTATGATGATGTTGATTGTTTATTCATAGTTACCAACCTGAGAGATTTGAAATGCGTGAGTGACTATAGGCCTACCAGTTGGCTGAGGGGTCCAAGCGGCAGGGGAACCACTCCCACCCCCACACCCCCCAGCAGCTCTGACGATCTGAGCAATTTTTAAGCTCTTTAAAACGATTTCAGGGTGTGTTTGTTGATAATACAGGTACATAAGCAAAAATATTATTAATAAAGCCAATTTGAGTTTCAATGAAAGGCCTATGTTTAATTTGAGCACACGAACTAGACATACACAAACATTTCATTACTGATCAATTTTTAGTAACTCGTTAGTGAGATAAGGGCCTTCAGGAAAATACTGTACTCTGTAATGACTCAAGTTACTTCATTACTGTTTTTATAGTTTAATACAACCAATTTCTTTTAATTTTAAATACATTTTCCCCTGAATTTGTGATAAATCGTTATCACGTACCGTCCGATTCAAGGAATGACTCCGGGACCTTATTGATAATAATTAATGTCTACGATGAATTTTCATTTAAAACATCTTACTTGAATCATTATACTGTGTACATACATCATACAGATCTCAGAAAAAATACAAAAACAGCGTGGTTCGTGAGTGGATTTCTCGTACGATTAAAAATCGTAACGGTACTGGGTTTGGTCTACAGATAGGAGTTCGTGCTTTATTAATTTATTTAATTCCTGATGATGACATAATTAATGTCGAAATATTGAATCCCAACACGATGGCGTGTATTTCAATACTTGGAGTATGTATTATACTTTCTTATAGGAAAACATTTGTTAGTGGTAATGTATAGATTTTGAATGGGAGAATGCCTGAAGGTCACAGTCTGGTACCTGAGTCCTATGTCGGCACTAAGGCCTATAATGCATCGTTTAAGATTTAAAATCGTACACGGTACTGAGTTTGGTCTACAGGAGTTCGGGCTTCGAACAGGTCATTCCATTCATAAAAGAAACCTTTTGATGGAGAAAGTGTAGTACTTTTTAGCAAAGGTTTGCCTAGGTCGAAACTAACTCCGGCTATATAGTGATATTATGAACACGTTTAAATTATTGTTATTTATTTGTTAACGTCATTATATTAACATTTAAATTTAATGTATTGTATGAATTACTATGTCCATGTAATAATATTTTCTATTAAAATTGTTTATTTTAAATAATATATTAATATAATAGGCATAGCCGAGGTCTAGCCTAGGGTTTTAATTAATTGTTTTTAAGTACTGTAAATATTTGCGCTCTACATTCACGTGTATTGAGAACTGTACGTTGCTATATATATGTATATATATATATATAATTATTATTATAACTATAATAAAAATTATAAACTAATTATTATATGTTTATCATATCAAATACGAAAATCGCGATTGAAAAATTACTACTTTTTTATACCAATTTCTGACCTGAAAAATTCATTGCAGGATCCTTGTATTTATAAATTAAAATATATTAATAAGTTGTACTTATTGTCACAATGTTTATATCAATCTATTAATTAATTAGTAATTAACTAATTGAAGATATTAATTAAGATTATATTAATTAAGATATTCGTAAAGTTCGTGTGGAAATTATTTACATAATTGCAGTTTATTTATACGGCATTTCGACGGATATTCGTCACCTCGTGTGAACCATCATGAGCTCTGCTTACCAAAGATACGCGGTAATCGCGCGATAGTATTAGCATTTACATACACGAAAACACTTTGTCGATGCTTTTGTTTTTGTTTTTGCTTTTGTTTTGTTTTACATTTACACCCAGTGTTAGGCCCATTGAATTGTTTAAATGCTTAAGAAGTATAGTTGAAAACATAAATTATGTTGATTAAATTCTCATAGGATTTACAATGAAACAGAATAAAAATAGGTAACATTTTATTGAAAAAAAAAAACAGATTTTACATCTATTTTGATTTAATATGCTGATTAAATATTTCTATAAATTAATCAACAAATATCTCATTAATCGTAAATAGGTATTTAAGTATTATTGAAGTATTATTAATTCTTTTTATTAAATCTTTATTCGAGCACCTTCATTATTATTATTATTATTATTATTATTATTATTATTATTATTATTGTTATTATTATCATTATTATTATTATTATTATTATTATTATTATTATTGTTATTATTATTATTATTATTATTTTTATTATTATTATTATTATTATTATTATTATTATTATTGTTGTTGTTGTTGTTGTTATTATTATTTATTATTATTACGCTTTTCGAGTGGTTTTTTTTATAGAAAACTGCCGTGTTTTGGCACTGCGGCAGTGCCGAAAAAAAAAATCGGAGCTTTTTTCACACTGCGGCAATAATGCCGATAGAAAATAACAGTTTTTTTTCCGCACTGTGGCCGTGCCGATAGAAAACAACAGCTTATTCGCACTGCGGTAGTGCCGATGGAAAAAACAGATTTTTGGCACTGCGGCAGTGCCGATAGAAAACAGCAGCTTTCTCAGCCGTCAAATACTATTAAATAGGACGTCATAAACATTCTGTTTATTATACATCCTCCCCCTGCACAACAATGTCTTTGTCGATAATACTTTGAATTTTGCACATTTTTACCCGCTGTATCGATGTTATGCGCTGTTCATGATGAGAGGATGAAAAAAATGCCTCATAAGTAGAATGATGACTACAATTTGTGTATAGATAAAAAATAAACTCTGATATTTTTTTACACTAACTCAGCCATGTCCCTATGACCAAGGACTATAGGCCTAAGTCGATTCGACGGTGATCAATTAATAATGAGGATTCGGGCCATTATCGTCTTGAGGGGGACATATGCGAGTGCAATACCAATTCACGGCAGGGAGGTGTTCGAGTTGTGGAGTCGGTTGAATTACCATAGAGCGATTTTCCTCTCCCTGAAATATGTATCTTTTGTGCACCTTCTGCCTATAACCTCACTACCTCGATATTCAAGTTTCTTTTCAAAATTAGTTATTGGCATAACTTGGTGGGGAGGGGGATTCAGGGGTCCTGGGCAAAAATAAAAAAATTTAAATCTGAAATTTAAAATTGAAAAAACGTATATGTAATTCAAAAAATAAAAAGAAAGAAAAAATTCTAGCCCTACCTTTTCATGGCTTGTTAGCTGTTTATTTTTTATTTAAAAAAAAATAATTTTTTTAAATTAACAATAGGAAAATTAGAAGCCGGGAAAGCTCATTTCCCGCCATCTAGAAAAACATTTTCCCCGGGGACAACACCACCCCCTTTATTTTTGGGGTTCTATTCATGGAAAAAAGAATAGCCTATGTATGCAACTACTTTTTTTTTTTCTGTATGTATACCGGTCATAGTATAATAGGCCTAGCCTACCGTACTGTAATAGGAATGAGAAAAAATTTACCTGTCTGTTTTAATAGAGGAAAACCTTGAGTTTTAAAGAACTATAAAATCATTAAAATACACCTCGGAAGCCTCTGGAACTCATTTCCCGCCACTTGGAAATTAAAATGTTTCCGGACTCCATTTCTTGTTCCGGGTTTTTTTGGAAACATGACACCGCCCCAGATTTGAACTGAGATCCGCCCCTGTTTGTTGTACAATTATCTGAGAGCATTTGTATAGGTCTATGTCTAATCCGGATTATTCATATGGCGCCTTTGATGCCTTTTAATGCCTATATTGATATTTAAAAGGACCGCCGCCAGCGGTGTAAATCTATGATTCCCACCTGGTACTATTCCGTTGGGGAGGAATTTAACGCAGTTTCGGGAAGAAACAAACATATATATTTTTAGATATTATTAGACGCTAAAATTGATTTTAAAAGCCTTTGAAACCGAAATCGTCGATAGTTTCAGGGGTATACCTTGTGTTGTTAAGTTAAATTTTTAGCTTTACAACTCTAAAAACTTATAAATATGATATACAGCAATTCGAATATGTTTTACATAGCAGAACATAGCAGTAATGTTTGCGGTGGGGTGGGGCGGGTTGTTGCTGAGTATGATAACCCACGAGCGGTGGGGGTACCAATGATAGGTGTATTTTCTGTTACTAAAAATGATCGCTCGTGTGTGGATGATTGCGTATTTTGAAGGCGTGTGTACTGTTTGGGCGTTGAAAGCGGCCAGTGAAAGCGACTTGTAGAGCAGGTCGAATACAAAATATAATTTACACTTCTGTAAGTAAATGGATTTTACATTTTATGATTTTTAATTGAAGTTTACATTGTCGTACTTTTTACAAGATGATTTTCCTTAAATGTTTCAGTACAGGGGTGCTGAAATGAGTTTAAGCCAAGAGGCTCTAGGCCTAGGCCCTAGGCCTAGATCTTATCTTTTTAATGTCCCTTGCCCAGCGTCAGTGCAGCATCCGGGGTTCTTATCCCACAGTCACTCTGACACTACTGAACTGTGCTACTGGACTGCCTACTTTTTTAAATACAGAGGGTCCGGCCCAGGACTAGGCTAGGCTAGGTAGGCCAAGAAACCAAGCACATTTTTAGCTAAGATTTTTTTTAATTTAGGGTAATCTAACTTAAAAAACTTCATATCCTACACATCTACTACTAGGTCTCAGGTTTAATTTAGGCCTAGGGCCTAGCCTACCTGTAGGCCTAGGCAAATTAATACTAAATTATTATCTTAAAATAATTTTATTTTTTTATTGGACACCATACCACATAGTGTACTACTAGTACTAGAAATTTAAAAAAAGGTACTAAGGGCACATAGAAAAAATTATTAGATATCTCTTTACCGGCCGTGACTGTAATAGATAGTAAATATTGTATAAAAATTGGTTTAATTTTATAGTTTTTTAAAGGAAATGTATTTGAAGTCACAAAATTGCATTGTTATTTTATGCTGTTGAAATAATTGATGTGGCAAAAAAAAATTTGTTCTTATTACTGCATCAATATTTCCAGAATTTTTGACGCGGGCGGGAGTAATAACTAATGAATTTTTATATTTGCCCTGAACTAGCTCCTCTAACTACAGTACTACAGACGGGTCAGCTTAGACCCTTGGCTGGGTAAATTAATTTGATATTACTTTATATTTGATCCTTACTTTGTATTTTATCAACTTTAAAAGTATTTTTTATGTCCGAGAGTGTTATGTATCTGGCCATTCAGAGGGCCCTATAAAAAAAAATGTCATAGGGAGGGGACACCCCTTCCCAAACCCTCCCCCGGCTCGGCCAGAAGGCCCTCGGATGGCGATGCGCACTAAAGTTATCATTAACTCACTAGGCACCCCCGCCCCTTCATCAGACAAATTAGCACCCCCCCTCCAGAAAATATATCCTAGACTAGAGCCGCCTGTTTCTTATTCGACTTTACTTGCCGTAAGGCTCTAGCCACCTGTCAAGTTGATATCACAAGTGTCACCTATGACATAGTCATTATGCATGCACCCATTGGCATTTAAGTCTGAATAATGAATTCTGTTGATTCTTCATATTGTGGCATGCAAATACAGTACTTGCCTGATCTTAGCCATTGATCTTTTTCAATGAGTGGATGATTGCTATTGTTCAATTTAATGTTTGATTGTAAATAAACATTTTTATGAAGATTTATTACCACTCTGCAAACTATCTACAAAGAGATATTCTGTCTTGTTTTAATGAATTGTTTTATTAGACCTGTTAGTTTAATTTTAGATGGCTTGTTCTCTTTAGTAAGTTACATACAGACCATCAAATAATAACTATATCAAATTTTAAAAATGAGCTTCAAGTGCAGTATTGTTCTTCTTGATACAGTAGTCAATCTTAAAGTAAGCCAATAAGCCAGAGGTGAGTGAGCAGTTGCTGTGTATCTATTGTTCAATAATTTCCTTTTCATTCACTTCTTCACAGAGGAATTTTTTGAAGTCTTAAAGCAAAATGACAGAACAAGGTTAGTGCTTTAAACCAAGATTCCTAGTCACTTTTTATCAGCTAGCAGGGTTTGAATTTCCTCAAAATGCTCCATCACCAATTAGTTGCTGTGGGTTATGGCTTTTACTGCAGCTCAATTTATTCTTCTTCTACAGCACCAAGCTTCATAATTTTTTTTAAAGAATTAGGCCTACAGTTGTTCTATAAATGTATGGGTATATTCCATTGCTGGATCAGGTGACACAACCGCAGAAAGCTTGCTGTTTGCTGTTGAGCCTGGGATATTAAACAGGAGTGGAAGGCTCTTCCTACAGCAGTTGCTGTCGGTGCTGTGGGGAAATTCGAACTCTGAGCTTATTAGGAAGAAAAAGTTTCTATGATGACTGTATAGTGGAACCTTATAAAATGCAATCACAAGATACTGTAGGCTAAGTACTGTACCATGTAATAAAAAACAAGAACAAAAAAGACCCCCCCCCCTTCTCAAAAAAAAAAAAAATTCTCATATTTTTTAAGTAGCTGAGTGCTGTCACTACTCATGGAGCGGTAGCACTAGCAAAATGATAAGGGGTCTTATTTTTTCACTCCATTTTCAAACAAACAAAATATATTTTTAATTTGATGCTAGTACAGTAGTCTACAATTTATGCAACAAAATCTATTGTTTTTTAAATTAAACTGATAGTTACATGTATCAGCTGGTTGATGAAGGATTTGAAGGGCCACCGTTAACATCTCTCTTACGCCTCAGCTCAATATATTTATGATTTGAAATGTTGTTTACATAGTAAAGATCTACTGTATTGATTATACATGCAGCAGAATTTAAAATCTAAACCAGCAAATAGTTTATTTATTTAAAATTAAAAGTAAAAAAAAGAAATAAAAATTGTTTGCCTCCTTTACAGGTATTGCATGTATGGCAGTGGTAGCACCAGCAAAATGATAGGGGTCTTATTTTTTGCGCTCCATTTTCAAACATACAAAATATATTTTTAATTTGATGCTTGTACAGTAGTCTACACAATTTATGCAACAACCTATTTAAAAAAAAATTAAACTGATAGTTACATGTTTTAGCTGGTTGGTGAAGGATTTGAAGGGCCATCGTTAACATCTCCCTTGCACCTCAGCTAAAATATATATATATATTTATGGTTTGAAGTGTTGTTTACATAGTAAAGAACTATTGATCATAAACATACAGCAAACTTTAAAACCTAAACCAGCAAATTTAGTTTATTTATTTAAAATTAAAAGTTAAAAGAAATAAAAATTATTTGCCTCCCTTCATTGCATGTATGTTTTCATAACCATTTTATTTTTCAACCATTGTATTTCTTTTTCATTCCATGTCTGTGAATCTCTCTCCATTCATTGGTAAGTAACATTCTCATCTTCCTAATTCATGAATATTCATTAATTTTTTTTTTCATTAGCGTAATTTGATTGTCATAGAAACCAGCATTTTGAAAAACAGTGTGCCTGTAGTTTAATCAAGTGCTTAAATTGTGCTTGATTACTAGTGCTATTATGTCAGTATTCTTTCATCATTAAAACATAATAATTCTTCATTAATGACTATTTTTGTAATCATCACAGTCAATCATAATTCATCATCAATGTTATTATTATCATCATAATGATCACCGTCACAATCATCACCATCACCATCATCAACAATAACATCATGTATACATGAAAGTGTAAATGATCATTTTAGTAATCAGTTATAATATAATACAACATTCTTTTTCACTTTCATAATGGTAGAAATTAGAAATACTGTTTTATGGGATGACTTGTAGATTTTAATTCATTTGGTTTTGTGTGAACACGCTTCTAAAGTTGATAATAAAATTCTATTACCTAGTATTATCAGTTATTTACTGTACCTTATAATTTTTGTTACAGGCTATGGCTACCCACCTTCAACTGCTATGCAACCTTACCCACCTAATACTGATGTGCCACCTTATCCACCAGTGCAACCAGTAAATGTGAATCAGCCATACCCACCACCTCCTCAAGGAAATCAACCATACCCCCCTCCTCAAGGAAATCAACCCCAGCAGCCGAATCCTTATGGTCAGCCACAGGGCGCCGGACAGCCCCCTGCACCACCTGGCACTATTGCCTCAACATGGATGGCAGCACCTCAACAAGTCTCCAATTGTCCCCCAGGGCTCGAGTATCTCACCCAGATAGACCAGCTTCTAGTCCACCAGCAGGTAGAACTTCTAGAAGGTAGGTAAATCAAGTTTTGAACTGAAAATTATAATTGAAAGACACATACGGATGACATAATATAAAAAATAATACACCATTGCATAGTAAATCATTTAAATTGGCTGTCAGCCAATCAGCTACCAGCAAATTGAAGCATTTTGTACTTTTGTACTACACTGTAGTAAATTGTTAAGTCATACAGTATTGAAAGTTGATAACTTTACTTCTGGTGATTCTTTTCAATGTATACTTATTGATTTGTTGTGTTCTTTCTATTGACTTTAACTTCATTGACATTGTATTCTCTGCATTTTCTCAGCATACAGTACAGTACGTGTGTTGTGGCATATGTACATTATAATAATATAAAATACTTAGTCAAATACAAAGTCAAATATTATAGTATAGTCAATATTACTTTATACATTAGTGTCTGTTAATGTGAATTGTACTGCATAATCTATTGATTACTAAATTCACTGTTCACTCTTGGGCGATAATTTGTTACATAATTGTTACTCACCGTATTGAGGAATAGACGAATCTTTAATCATCAGGCTTTAAAAGTTAAACCTGACTACGAGAACATCATCATTTGTTACAGTCTTGTGTAAAAAAAGATAAAATCTCAAAACATTATTCTTTATTTTATTCTTTTTTTTATTAGTTTTGATAAATAATACACACAGTATTCAGCCTGCTCATTAATTTGCTTGAATTGAAGACAATTTCCATTTTTACCTTGTGTGTTTGCACTATCGGTGGTTTTCGGGTAAGCACTCAAATATTCGATTCAATTCAGTTTATTGGTCAAACTCATAAAATGGCTTGAAATTTGCTTTGCTTGTCACAGATTAAAATACAAATATGAAAAAGGGTAAAATATACACATTACAGGTCATACAAACACATGTGTAAAAACAGATGGTAAAATGGAACACATACAGAGAAAAATTTACATACGGGTCATTCCATGCCAATTCAACGTGGCCGCGGAAGTCACCGTCTCAGATTTTCAGGGTTTGTTGTAACTTCAGTAACTAAGAAAAATCCAAAATTTCAGCTCAATCGGACCAATACTTTCCGAGATACCGTTGCCCGAAAAAGTGGGCGTGGCACCCATTAGAGCTTTAAGACATAAAAGTTAAAAATTTACCAAGAATAACAAAATTTTGCATTCAAATTCATTCATGCATAGGTTCATTCATTCATATGTTTATTCATTCATATCATCCATAACTCTGGCATGAGAGATAATTCACCTGACAAAGTTTACATTATGTACTGTAGCCACATGGCCGATGGAAGAGAAGAGTTATGCAGTTGGTTAGTTTTCACAGGAAAACAGATTCTTCCACTCCTATTGAACACAAAATATTTATTAAGTGGATGGTTTTTATCGGTTTTAATTATAATGTAATTACTATATGGATACTTTTACTTTCCATATTTTTAATACCATGATGAATTTTGTAAGTATATACAGTAGAGTAAACAAAGATCTAGTGCCATGTAGTTGAGATAGGGAACTCTTCTCTACAACAATATACCCACTACACTAAATCATTATGATGCCATTTAAGTTGAACACTGAAAACACCTGAATGTCTGTGGCCGCAAAATTTTGGTTGTTTTGTTTTTCACTGTCACTCTCAAATGAATATTTAGGTGAAATTGTTTTTTTGATGCAAGTTCCTTATCTTAAAGTCAACAGCAACTCATAATTATTTAGTTTTAATTAATTTTTTCAATACAGTGAGTAAATAAAATCTACAAAAATATAAACAAACTATAAAAGTACAGTAAATTTGGTATCATTTTCATATGTTATTTTATTAACTTTTATTTTTTTTTTATTTGTAAAGTAATATCATCTGTGTTAAAATGATAGTCTGAATAATTAGAACAAGTTTTAACACTGTCAGTGTCAACATACAAAAAAAAAACTGCAAAAATATAATAAATATTAAAAATTGCTGGTAAGGATAGGACTACTGAAGTGATGATTGGAATAATATACAGATCACGATCATACCAATTATCTAAGTGCTTTTATGTACTAATGATTTTTTTGTGGAATTACACATGAAAAGCAATCATGCACCAATAATACACTATACTGCCGTACAATAAATATTTATCATAATTTGTTTCCATTATTAATGTGATGGATATACTGTTTATAATCTATCTGGGTTTATTTATATTAACTCGAGGAAGGCTTCATGGACTTTGGTCTCATTATATTCATTTCAAATATGGAAGGTAACTAACAACAAAAACTTCATTCCAAGACAAATATTTAGATAAACAAATCTATTAAAAAATCGCTCTGTAGTTCAAGTTAAAAATCAACCATTTTTTGTTCGCTGTTCGGCATGAAATAAATTTCATATCAATGAAATTGAATCTGCCATAATATACCAGCATCAAAACACACTCAGTTGATTTTGAATAATTATTGCCCAGCCTACATATGATTTTAGTGACAATTCTTTATTCGGCAAGAGTTTTTAATACCTTGTTTAGCGAATCCGTTGCCTGCCAATATGATGATTTTGAATATGTGCGAAATTGAGGTTTGGCATTTCAGTTTTTTTTTTGTTTTTTTTACTACAACGAAAAATATTTTTTTAATGAGTTGAAAAGGCAGGAATAGGCCTATCTTGCTGGACGGTAGGTGATGCTACATTGTTATGCGATGGTCTTGCTCTGCAATATAGATTTTAATATGGCCTTTGTTGTATTTTTGTGTATTTTCTGCTTTTTAGACAAACACAATATTGGTAAAAAAGTTTAAAAAAAACTTTTCCTACCGACCTACCCATTTTTTTATTTATCCAAAATTTGGCCAACACAAGAATTTTTTTTTGCGTTTAACCAGCCAATAAATACACTGTACATTCACTGGTAAAATTTTATTTTTATTTTCTCCGTCTGGATGTTTTTGACAAGACTCTTTGCTAAATGAAAATTGTTTTTGACAAAACTCTTTGCTAAATGAAAATTTATTTATTTTTTTTCTGCCCTCCTCTGATGGTCTGTAAAAATTTAGTTTGCGAAAACAAGGTATAAAAAAACTCTCTTATTCATAATTTATTACTGACATTTATTAGTTATTTATTATTTATTTTTGGTGTGAAATTTGGAAAGTATAACCCACCTGGTCTTTTTGAGTTGAATTAGACAGTACACCGGAAGACAATCCCCTACTCTTTCCTAAAGAGTGTACCTGCGTTCTTGACGGCACGTGGGCCATATTACTCACACGACCTGGAATGTGGAATCTAATTTTAAAACATCTATTCAAGTATGCATGAGAGATAAAACAGTTTCGTTTCTTAAAAAAGACTACAGGTACTCTGCATACAAGAATGTCTAGCTTTGTAGTTATGTATAAGCTGAGATATTTTCATCTTTGAAGATTCTGATTTTATAATACACAATACTACAGAAACATCCTAATGAAAAATATGCTTTTCTCTTAAGTAATCAAGATAATATATTTTTTATTAATTACTAATTTTTTATTTTTTTATTAATATATAAGGAATAGACTTATGGAATTAAAAAAAAAAATATTTAAAATTGTGTATCTCATCGAAAATTATGAGAAAGAATTCTTGCTAAGTTACAGATGTGGGATGGCACAGTACAGTATACTGTTTAAGTCATTTTTTTTTGTGGTAGGTCTGCAAAAGTAGGAAAAACTTGATTTTTTTTATGTGTTTTATTGAGATTTAACATACTTTTGATACTTTCAAAACAGGCTATTCCACATTTTAAATAAAGTTTTTATATTTTAATTACGATAGAGGATGTTATTATCATTATTAATGTTGATATGATTCCTGTGTGTTTTGAATCCTCTGGATAAACTCCAACAATATACTTGTAGTTTAAGTAATTGCTTGGTAAATGTTTATAAAGGTAAATGTAGTATAAACAGTATAACATTTTATTGTGTATACATTCTAAATAACAAATTTTCATTACACACTTTACTAAATTGAAGTATGCACTTGTGAATTGATGAATTGTGAATAGATTACAGTACTTCAAGTGTTTCAACTCCTACTCAACTCCTACTCTAAAGCATACTGTCATGCCAATGATCTAACCAGGGAGGGGTATTTTTACATCTTTCTAATGTAATCTCAGTATCTACTTTCATAACTTCGTACTGTAAATGTAATCCAGACTAGCTATTTGAAGTATGAAACATGCCCTATGCATCCAGAATTGAGGAAATTTAATTACAGCCATAAAGGAAGTGAATGCATCGGCTGTTGCCTGCCAACGCGACCGGCCGGCTGGCTACTGCCGTCTTTTGTCCACAAAGCATGCCTGCTATGGTACCTGCCGATTTCACTATGCTAAATGTGTAAGAGGGGACTATGCCAAATTGTCTTTAGTGCTAGGGTATCATACCGTATGGCCTGATAAATGTTGGTGAAAATTACAGGACTCATTAAATTTGCACAAGTTCAACATTATTACCAAAAACTAGGCAGCAAGACCTACAGTGTAATTACAATTTGTTCAGCCATGGTTCAGCTTACTCACTGTAATACTGAAAAAATAACCCAAGTGGGTGTTCAAGGTTTTCTTATTGAAATGTTTTTAAGGAAGTTTAATTTTTGTTGAGCTCAAACCAGAAGTGTAAACACCCACACAATATATCCCACAATTCCTGTTCCAATCTGATTGCTATATTAAAGTTACTTAAATTTTTCAGTTCTGTATTGAAAGAATTATAGCAATTATAATAATATCATATGACAACTTCATTGTCTACATCCTATGGAGATACTGTACTGTTAAGTAGGCCCATTATTCACAAGTCAGCACTGTCTAATTCAGTTAATGTGTAGGTTTACAAGTCTGTAGCTAGGGTGGTTCAACTAGGGTTCGAAGAACCATCCTTCCATTTCCGGACATCTGAGGTGTTATATCTTTAAAATTTACACCAGCCATGATGGGTAAGGACTCAAAGTGCATTTTTGTGAAAAATTAGAACCCTCCACACCCCCCCCCCCCCATATTTCCTTTAAAAATCCTGCCTGTGGGCTTGGTTTATATTATATTTCCTTCAAAAATTATTAATTTTACCTTCATCCATTTGGAGTTATGGAGATAACACATGTATTCCATGCATAATGCAGAGGGTATAATACCTGCCTGTATAATGCGGTCTCTACTCGGTATGATTCTCTAGTGTACTAGCAGCGCTAAAAAAATAAAACGTCGCAGAGGGCCTCTTGATTTTACCATAGCAATTTTTCTACAACAGCAGATTAAGGAATTAGGTGACTGACACTGACAGCAAAATTTTGCTACTGAGCATTGGGGTCTACTACAGCAGTGAAAGGCCCTTCACCAACAATTTCTCTTGGCTGCTGTAGGGAAATTTAACCCCTGCTATTAATTAATAACTGCACACCATGTAGGGAATCATACATAGACATATACTGTATAGCATACTGTGGTTTCATATATTAAGCATGACCTCCAGGAGGACTGTTTGTTTTATTTATGGCTTTGTAAAAATGTCACCCCATATTTTGTGCAGATTCCCTCAAGCTGACCATACTGTGTATGCAGTGTAATCATCTTCCATTGTTACCAAGTAATTAGTTAACCCATACTAAACTCCAATATTTGCTTAATCTACAGCTTTTACCAGTTTTGAAACAAACAATAAATATGTTGTCAAGAACACGCTGGGACAACAAGTATACTTTGCTGCTGAAGGTATGGCAATGTGTAACTGTTCACCAGTTGAATTATATCCCCTTTTGTAACGAAATTAATTATCTTATTATTTTTTATGAATTTATTTATGTCTGTTGTTATTTAATAACATTCTTTTTTAACGGTTAATGATTAATTAGGCTAAAAGTAGCCATTGTGCAGTAAATATTGTACAGTTTGCTGCCCTGGTTTTCAAATTTTTTGATAAGATTGTGCTCTACAGTAAACTGGTTTTCCAACTGTGGCTTGTGGTCCAAATTTGTGTTGCAAAAACATTTTTTGAGTGTTGCAAGGCTTCTGACCAAGACAAAAGAAATGTATCAATTATATAACTTTTTTTATTTTGTTTATTAATCATTGCCTGTTTTGAGTCAACAAATTTATTATTTAAATTGCTTTACTTCTAAATATTTTATTGACTTTCAATTAAAAATTAGATTAAAAAATATAAATATTGTTCTCACCAATTATAAAATGTGCATAAATAATGCCATTCTTAATATCAGTATATTTCTATGTATAGACATTCTATCCAAGGATTTACATAATTAAAAAGTCTAAATCTATATGTAATCACATTATAAGTTGGTAAAATATTAAAACAATTTTAATGGCCAGTCCCATGATTTAATTTGATATTTTGAGGGGTTTTCCAGATTCTTGAATGCAAAAGAGTTTGTAAATACATCGAGAATTATAAAAGACCATAAAAAAAATTGTCTTATTGTCTGCCTGATATCTACTTTGTCTACATTTCGTAATTTGTTTCTGTCTAAGATTTTTTTGGTTATCGATTGTTTTTTCAATTAGATACGGATTGTTGTACTCGTAACTGCTGTGGAAATGCTAGGCCATTTGATATGAAGATCTTGGATAATGGAACCAAAGAGGTGATGCACCTGTCAAGGCCTCTTCGCTGTACATCTTGTTGGTGTTTCTGGTATGTTAAAAAAAAAAATTGTTTGAGATAGTGGTACTTGTTGATGTCATTGTGAGCACATTCATTTTCTATGCCTGTTAAAATACGCCATAGTTTCTAGGGTATAAGCTCTCCCTCCTGACATGACATTGAGGGTGGGAGTAGGCTTTAATACTATATATCCAGGGACACTGAAAATGCAAACAATAGTGAGCCTGATGACCTAAAGCTACCTACTGTAGACCGTCACAAGTTCTAACACTAAGACTCTACTAATATGTAGACCAGGGCAGCCTGGCTAGTATATTTCTTGTTGTTTTGTTAATATTTATTTTACCAAATAAGAAAAATGGTCAGAGAAGCTTTAAAATTAAATGAACCGAAACTCTTTCAAGTCATCTGCCCCTTCAAGCATGAATTTGTGTTTCTACTGCACTATTCCTATATTAAATTGATATGTAAAGCCTTTTGAAAATAGAAACATTTGTTCTGCTCATAGCCTTGGATGTGCTGCTTACCATACCAATGTATGTCATCAAATCATGAAACAAAAATCAAATTAACTTTTTTGTCCACAAAAAAATGTATGCTTGGTCAAGAGCATTACTGTACATATAAATGTGTACTATATGTGTATAAACATGAACACTTTACATATAAACTGCAATACAGTACTGATAAGATATTGAAAGATTATTTAGTAATTAAAAAGAGGAACTGTTCATATAAAGCAAGATTAAAACGTCATTGAATTATTTCAGTGCATTGCGTAATAACTTGTTTACTTCGTAGCTCAGACACGATTTCATTTTAGTTTATCATAATTGGAGCAAAATGTTTTCATTCTTCAGATATTGATACCTGATTGTCAGTAAATTGGTAAAAATCTTGGCAATTTTTGCCAGCTTCATTGTGGGATTTTTTCAAATGTAGAATGAAAGTTTAAAATTTTCTGTTGAGATAAATAAATAAATGTAGTTTAAACAATTGCAATTAATCTACTCTGCATGAAACTGTAATTAAACCCTTCAAGTATATGTGTATTAAAAATTAGGCAGGTGTCTATGTGCAAAATAAATTTATACATATGTGTACTGTATATATAGCTTTAACAAACATAACATATGAGAATATTTTTGTCTGTCAATTAACTGTCATCATGAATGTAATAACTATATTTAACGTACTGTAGCCATTGATTATAAGGCTGATTAATATATTTTTGTCTATGATGGTTTAGTTAATACCATGAATTTTCAGGGTAACACATTTCAAAGCGATACAAAATTCAATTACAAACTATAATTATGGTCTTTTATTTTGCACTAACATTTGAAAAATGAGATCTAAAAGCTTGAATTTTTTTCCCAGTTTCTTTTTGCTATTTATTATATTTGAAATAAAATATATATATTATTAGTAAACCAATTATTGCTCTGCCTATCTTCAAATTATTGAATGAATAGTTAATACATTTTGACCACATTACATGTTTATATCATAAAGGTTTTCAATTATTTAGATAATATTTAATATGCATAATATTTTTTTTATAATAATGTGCTGGATAAATTAGCTTTTAGACCACTATTAAAGCTGCATGTTTATATCTGTTAGACTTAATAGTGTTAACTAGTCTGCTTGTTAAAACATTCTACCAAACTAATAATACTTACTGTCAATCACCTTATTTCTGTAATTGGCATCTTTCCAGTTGTTGAATGAAAAGTTTGATAAATAAATCTTTCCACCTATTTGTACCTACCTACCAGTCAACATCATGCATTATCTGTACTTGCTGCCCGACGTAGGAAGTGTGTCCAGTTTCTGCGATCTCTTGCAGTTACTTCTACAGTCCATCCAAGGAGTATGGTGTTTATGTCTCGCCTGATCTTTTTATGTCTTGAAACATGTACAATAATGCTCTACTTCATCGGACAAAAATTTGATCAAAGTGTTATAGAACAGTATACCAAGCTTACAGTAACATTCCCTGCCATTTACAAGAATACTCATCTCTAGGGTGTTACTTGCTACTTGGTTATCCTCCAAATATCCCAGTGAGGGATTTAAACAGGAGGCATGGAGAGATTATTATTTTTCGTTGCTTTGCTGTGTAAGTGCTGATTTGAAGGGGTCGGGGTAGGGAATTCCAGTCCTTGTCTGAGGGATTTGGAATTGTTGGTTGTGTCCTCGTCTGGGTCTGGCTGGTTTTGGTGTAATATAGCCATGGTTTTTTTTATGTCCATCAGGCCGTTGAGGATTTTGTGAAAGCATGAGCAACGGTGTTGTTTCCTTCTCTCTTGCAGAGGGGTCCAGCCCAGAGTATTTCATATTAAGAAGATAGATCACGTCTGTAGGTGTTGGTAACAAATCTAGCAGCTCGCCTCTGGATTTTTTCGAGGTGTTCGATGTTTTTCTGGGTGTATGGGTCCCAGGCAGCTGTGGCGTATTCAAGGTGTTGCAGATATATTCACACCCATATTTATTATTTTTTATTAAAGTATCTATACGACACCGGTAATGCTGCCAGGCCCACAACTGCACAAGCACACTTGAGCAGCAGCTCAAAAATATGCATAATATTTTTTCTAAAAATACATTTAATATTTTGTATCTTGTTATAATGTGCAAAAAAGGATATTTCTATTTTTTTTTTAAAGAAACTAGCTGCTGTGTTCTTTAGTTTATTTATCTATTATTATATTATTTTTATTCTATTATTTTCTATCTTTAATTTATATTTTTTCACTCTTGCCTCTTTGATAAACTGTTTGTATCAAACGTAGATGCAGGGAAATGGGAACAAGAAACATGACTACATTTTCAGAATATATTTTAGTGACAAAAGTTTTACCACAGGTTTTACTGTCAAGTGAGGGTTGTCTAGTCTGGTAGTGAATGTGTCTTAACTTTATCCACATTGTAATTCCTCCAGTATGGCTAAACATTACAATTAAATATTTTTATCAATAATGTTGTTTATTTTATTAGCTGTCTTCAGAAACTTGAAGTGTGTGCGCCACCCGGGACCGTTGTTGGCTACGTGAAGCAGTCGTGGAGTGTGTGCTATCCTCAGTTCACAATTGAGAATGCCAATGAAGAAACCATATTGAAGATAAGTGGTCCCCTCTGTACTTGGAACCTGTGCGGTGATGTTGAGTTTGATGTAGGTTAACTAGATCATAAATTTTTTAACTAATAATACTAATGAACTTTAAGGCACATATTGTCTTGTCCTCTATGCGCATCACAATGTAAATAATAATGTGGCTAGGTAACAAACTAAGTTATGGCATTGAATCCAAAGAGCTCATCCACTCAGCCAGGCCACAGGAAAAAAAAATTGTAGATACAGTATGTTGTACAACAGTGCACCACTGTTCATCAAACTCTTTCCTCTGTCATTTTTCTCTTGACGAATGTTGTGAATTTCTTGTAGGTTTTATCCGCTGATGGCAGTACCAAGGTGGGCAAAATCTCCAAACAATGGACCGGATTTGCCAAGGAAGCATTCACCGATGCGGATAATTTCGGAATCTCATTCCCAATGGATCTGGATGTGAACATCAAAGCTGTGATGTTAGGAGCGTGTTTCCTGATTGTAAGTAGAACTCCACTTAAATCTGGAAACTATAAATATTCATTTAAAACATTCAACTGCCAATTAAAAAGAATCAAAGAAATTATCAATTTCCAATAAAATTCTGATATACACACAAAAATGTGACTGACTGGTAAAAATTAGGCGCTTTTCATCTAAAATGAAATAATTCGAATCAGCTAAACTCCCCAAGTATTGACCATCTTATTGCATGTTGGACTGAAAATATCAATTATCATATATCTTCGTCATTTATTATCCGATAACAATTTTGCATCAATTATTAGCTTTTCACCTCTAGATTGCGAGTATGTAATAATGTCCTTTTTTTTTTTTTTGAGACAAGAACCTGTTTTTGCTAGAGCAGGTCACAAAAGAACATTTGCATGGTAGCCTGTATTAAGTCAGAAAATATTTACTCATTGTAATTTTCTAATTAGGTATTTTAAAACTAGGGTACTTAGGTTTTCAGAGTAAGCAATTAAAATAACTAAATATATTGTTTATGTTATTTGATCAACACATTGTATATAGACTGGTATTTTGAATATTTAATGAATTCTCAGTTCACACTATCAATATTTCTTTAACAAATTACAGTCTTTTTCGCATATATGGGCATGATGATGGGCATATATGAGTGTATCACAGGTCAGATGGCGTGATTAAAGGCTTAGAGCCTAAAGTTGGTTTTAGTCATATAAGAAAAAAATCCTAAAACTTAAAATCTTTTTTCACGACTAAAAACTCCACACCGTAAGCCTAATAAAGAGCTTTCGCTGATAAAAGTGTCGGCCGACCTTCTAGGATATGCTGGAATTGTCCACCCTCTATAAATGTGGTTTAAAAAAAGAAAGAAAAGGATTTCAACAACGTACAGATCTGAAATTGTATGCTTCTCATACAACTTACTAAACATGTTTTTTTTTTTTTTGTTCTCTGCAGGACTTCATGTTCTTTGAAAGGTCAGGCAACCAGAAGGATCAGAACAAAACTGGATTCTATTAAAGAAAAGAAAAATCACTATGGTATGCTGTTGCATCACTTCAGCGTCTTTCAGCATCCGCAAACTTTACAAATATGGCGCCCTCATGTCAGCTTTGCATCAGTTGTTGTTAAATATCCCACTTTAATGGGTAACTTATAAAGCTGCAATTGTAACTAGAGTTATAGTATATAGTCTGTTGACCAATTAACTAATCCTTATCAATTCACGTTCACATAAATTGTATTATTAATGTACAGTACAGTACTTAGTTTCATACAGGAGTCTTCAAATGGCAGCCCTCGTGTCAAATCTGCTTTGTGGACAATTTCAAAGTTCCATTAAGCCATTCCCTTTAGATACTGTTGCTAAGCTCCCACAAAATGACATCCATTCGTAGATAAACATGACTGCTGAGTGCTTGGATTGTGGGACACTTACATACTCCTGGCCACACCTATAATAATACCTTTTGATTGGCCAGATGTTAACTTTGATTGACATTCTGAAAAGGTCATTTGAGGACACCTTGTTTAATATTACTATTTTAAGATACTTTTATATTTTGCTATTCTTCTATTGAATGAATTGTCTAGTAATGAATTGTCAATAAAATATCTTGGAATGATGCTCTTTGTACTTATGCATTTTAATTCTTACTTCATCATAATTATATATTAATCGGTGGGGGTCTTATAAATATTTTCTTACCAAAAACATCTGTTTTGTATTAAGTAATTACTATTTCTTTTAAAAATATACTGCCATTATATCTACAATTTTTTTTTTTAATTGAACCTTTTACATTATAGTTATTAGCTTTTAACAGAAGAATGGTCAATGGTCGTGCACTTGTATAGTGCATATAACATTCATCTCTATGCACTTTCCATGACAACATAAAAAAACAAAACTGGCATAAATGGTTGAACCAGAAAAAGAAAGCAGTAGAAAAAAAAAACAACACAAATAAAGCAGAGTGAAAAAAAAGCCAAAACAGGAGAGTGGAGGATAGTTAGAGATGTTTAGTTATGCTAGGTGTCATACAATCACTACACGCTACCACCGACAGCTTTCAGTGTTGCTGGTTGGTCAGCCTTCCTTTTTGCGTCAGGGACTGCTAAGCAGTATAATGATTGCACTGAAAACACGGTAGCAACTGTGTAGCGATTGTATGAAAACCAAGCTTAAGAATGATTTAAGACGGTGCTTGAAGATCATCAAATTGGGAGAGTCTGAATAGATTGTAGGACATATTCCTCACCATTTGAATAGATATTTAAATAAATACTGTCCCTATAGTCTTTGCATGTAACCTCAAAATTTAAAGGTTGTCATAGTAATATGTCTGTAATTAAATTGAGTGTTGTTCTTATTTTGAAAATTTGTGAATGGTTGAAAGCTAAATAACTTATGCGACTCATTTAAATGAGCAAGTAATTTCTGAAGGTTTTTCTTCTATTTTTCTTGGTGACAGTATATTTTTAATATATATATATATATAATATTTCATGATACTTTAATGTACCAAAGTTTATTGGTAGTATTAGCAAAGAGTATAGAATTGCAAGATGTCCGACTGCGGTGATTTCGTTGGAACGTAATCCTATTTCAAAAAGTACTGCCACAAATGGGCATGTCCTTAAAAGATGCATTTCAAGCTAACTCTATTTGGCAGTACTTTTTTAACGTTTCATTGCATTATGTGCATACAAAATCAGGGCAGTAGGACCGCTTGCAGTTCTATACTCTTTAGTATTAAGAATAATACTAATACTTATCATTTTTTTATATAGTATTTTATTGTTTTATTAACGAGATGTAGTACTATAGCTTCACAACCTTGATCTTGAATCTGTACCCTGTGAATCTTAGTAATTTCTAGAATATTCTGCAAGAATTGACAGATATTTCAGAGCTTATTGTTAAAATATCGCCTGAGCAGTGGATATTTGTTTACATACCAATGTAACTGAAATTGAATGTTTATAATAATTAACTTGACTTTTTTGAATGAGGTACATTGATCACATTGATATTTTCATATAATAAATATTTTGACCCTTTGTTGGTGGATTTCTAAAGTTTTTAATGATTATGATATACTGTATCATTTGGATTAAATCTTAGATATTTTCTTCGGTTGTGTATCTTTCCCTTTATACAGTGAAGAATGATTAAATACGGTACAGGTATTTCTGTTTTTCACCGAATTTTACTATGGTTCAAATTATAACCTTTTTCATGACAGCTTTTATCAAATTGCACCTTCTTTCAAATTTGAATAATTGTGTCAAAATGTGGGTGTTCATTTTTTGTAGTTGTTCAATCAATATTTATGTAATTAACTTTTTTTTTGCTTTATTCAAATTGTAAAGCTTTTAAGAATTTTAAAATGTTTTATTTTTGAAGCGAGTTTTCTCAAAATATATTTTGTCATACATGCTTGTTCTGGCTTCTAGTTATTAAATTGGACCAATCATCAATTATGTTACAAAAACATGTTGTATTGTGTATTGTATTATGGTTACAATCTCATTTTTGGTCTGTGGTGCATGAAGACACTTTGGCTAATTAAATCAGGCCAGTGACAATGTATGAGAGAAGTCAGATAAAAAAAAACTGGTGTGTATTAATGTATAATTTATGGTCTTCCTTCATATCAATCCCCAAACATTGTTTCTTATCACTAGGTGGTGACGATGTCTCCTTATCAATATTTTTTGTTTTTTTTGTTTAATATCCAGGAATTGAAGACCTCCCTCCTTATTTTTGGGCATTATATCTCTTTATTAACATTTACTGTATTTATGTTACTGTAGTTTTTTTTCCTCTTTACAATTGAAATTAAATTTAATTGAACATCAACTTCTTTTGAAATAATAAACATATAAAAAACACAATTTATCTGTCATTTTTTTCTTTGCGTATTGGATTATTGTCAGTGGCGGATTCGGTGGTGGGGGAGCCAGCCTCCCCCCAAATTGTCAGAGAGTGCAATTTCCGGCCATGTAGAGATGCCATAATCACACATTTTCTTACCTCAACCCAACCATGGTGGGGCTGAGGTGCTATAAATCCTCCATCTGTGAAAGTACCTCGCCCGGGCCCCCTCTATTTTGAATTCCTGGATCCGCCAATGATTATAAATATCATTTGTATCGTAATTCAACGTTATCTGCAATGTGCAATTTCATATTTGGTTATTACGAATATATTATTTAAATCAATTATTATTACAGTATATTCAAAAATGATTTATAAACATGCCTTTTAATTAGTACAGTATTACAGTGCATGTACATGAATGTGCTGTCTTATTACAATACCGTATATGAGGCATGTTGTGGCAAAATGACTAAGTTGTAGCAAAACTTAAAATTATTGGTATTTTCATATGCCTGGGTGTATTTGAAGGGTCATTTATTTATTGAAACTGGACATTTCAAGCATAAGCTATTGGAAAGTGAATGTACAACACTCTTAGAGTCAAGATAAACTTGATTTTGAGTAATTGCCTTCCGAAGTTATTTGTGCATACATTGTTTAATAGAATTAAAAATAAATATTAATGTTAAGTAAACCATTTGTTGGCCACTTCCTGAACTAATACTTTGGGACATGATTATAAGACATTATACTGTTGATCTATAACGAAAAACAAATTTGGATTTTTAGGCAATTTTTTAGGCTCATTTACTCGATACTGGCCTGTGTGACAACTTAAGCATTTCGCTACAACATGCCTCATATAATAAAATATGGAATCTCCAATATTTGCAAATTATTATGTGATTGACAATGATCATTCTATTTCCAAGAATAAACAATGAAGAAAGTTCAGAGCTTCACTAGAATTTATTTTCAAACTGTACATCATCCTTGAAAGACTACAACAAAAAATATACATACACATGTACAATGACGACTACAAATTCTACAATGCCCTCAAGTATTGATGTTGTCAAATAAGTTTTAAAAATCTAAACATTTTATTAATTTTAGGGTTAACAGTGTGACTTTAAACAATGGTCTATATTTTTTTTTTTTTTTTTAAACTTAGCTTATGAATTTAAAGCTGTCCAATGATAGAGAAATTTTTTTTACAAATAAATAATCAAGATTTTCCATTTATTTACAGTAATCTCAGGGTGTTGAAAGGTTACAGTTGAATTCCATTAAGGGAACATCTTCAGATCTAAAAAACATGTCATCGTATATTCCCAAAGCAGGGGTTCTACTATAATATTCGAAATGCTACCATTATTAAATATATTATTGGTGATAGTCTCCAAATAAAATTAGGTCTGGGCAGGGAAATAGTTCACATGGATCATAACAGATCAGCAAAATGAGTATGGACACCGTACAGAAAGACACTAATGGTCAAGAAGGAGATAACATGTATTCCAGGAGTAGCTTAGAATTACCAGGTTGGAACTGGCACAAAACAATTTTTACTGCCTAAGAGCCTGATAATCATGATGAAAAAAAAATTAATTTTACAGTAGTAAGTTCTATTGAAACACCATATTCATATTCTCAAGATACTTCCTACAGAAACTATTATCCTGACACAGGGTCCTAACAACTGTATGCTTGCCTTAACATCACCTATTGACTTTCTTTGTGGCAAAACACAAGACCCAGGGACCGGATTTATCAAACTAGAAATCAGCTTAAAGTCCTTTTTTTTGCTTAAGTCGAATTTATCAATATTGCTTAGCTTAAAAATTGCTTAAAATTAAGGAGTCAATTGTACGCATGCACCATCTAAGATGATTTTTAAGCTAAGATTTTGTTAAGATGGTTTGATAAATGCTTAGGATATTTGCTTTAGCGACATCTTAACTTTTTTGACTTAAGACATTTGCTAAGCTGAGATTGATAAATCCTGGGCCAGGTTAATTTGAGGTATGGGTAAGTGGAACAAAGATTGAAGTTATTCTATTGAAAGTTACAATAATGAAATGCCTCAACTTTTTTACGCTTAAAATGCACAAATTCTATCAGTAATTCTGTATTGTAGAATGAAATAAAGTCAAATTCGACGTTTAATGATAGGCAGAGGATTTTATTGTCACTTGTAAATGTTATCCTCTTGTAGGGGTGATGCAGGTTGCGCAAGCGGTGCACACTTAATATATCTCAACTGTATGTGCTGCTCACAGTACAAGCCTATCTTCCTGACCATATTCATCTCTGATGACAGTAGCTGAGTCTTCCTTCTGCTTTCCTTTATTCAGGTAGCACTGCTTCTTGCATTCCATCAGCAGTTGGAAGTCCTTCCACATCCGTATCTGTTTCATACTAGGACCGTGGTTCTCCTTCACTGCTTTCTGCTTCTCGCGCAGACTCTGAAATTTAAACAAAAATGTCAAGAAGATAATAGATTACGAGCATAGAATTTATAAATCTTGCGACTTCGGTAAATCATTGAACCTGATGAAAAGAGGAATGACATGTTAAGTGGGATGGCACAGCAGCTGAAATTCAATCAACAACTTTAATGCAACACATTCTCGAGGTCAACCATCACTACGCTGGAAGGACCAAAGTCAAGAAGAAGCCCAACTCCTGACTATCTGAAGCAGAGGAACTGGCGAAAAGAAGACATGAATGGAGGTGGTTAACCAAGGAGGCTAGAAAACCTCATGTTCTATGCCCTTACGTAAGTAATCCTTAGATAGTGTTTGATGATGTGCAGCACAATGGCTGTGTCTTGGAGAAGTGTGCTAAGATGGCAAGTGCCAAAACGATTAAGGCTTCAGGCTAAGTTTATGTTCAACACAGATGCGCTGGTCAAACAGTTTTTTTGGAAAGACAGTTATCTTCGTTTGCATCTCTTTACACAGTGGTATAAATTGGAGCCGGACTTGAATTGGAGTGTCGATAAATATGTAATGATCCCTTTTACCTTGCCAAGATTTTCTTGCTCCTGTATCTTTTTAGAGTAGAGCTCTCTGAAGGATTTCTTCTTGTCTTGTGGATTTACATATGATTTCACCTCATCCTCAACTCTTTTTTGTTGCACCAGCAAAATGTTGCGCATGCAGTTCAAATAATGGTACCGGCTTTCCTCCTGGGAGCATTCCTCCCTGTATGCTTTTACCTCCTGTGGGATAAACAAAATAAAAAAGTATTTTAGTAAAAAAAAAAACATACAGAAATTCAAGAAAGAAGGGCATCATCTACCTAAAACAGAATTTAAAAAGAGAAGTATCCCATATAGAGAAGCAGAATCTGTGGAATGCACTCTTAGATAGTTAACAAAATGCAACTAACTTATACTAAACAAATTTAAGAAGTTGATTTCAAGGTTGTAATTTTATAATGCTCAATTATTAATGCTGATAGTTTCATACTTAAATAATTTTCTAAATAATGATTGTACTTTTAACTTTTAAATAATAATAAAAATGTTATGTTATGTACTAAATGAAAGTGAAATAATTATTCTCTGACAAAGATGACAAAGTCTTAAATTAAATGATATGTACACTCTCTGATTAAGATGGCATAGTTTTGTCAGGGGTTCAACCAAAAAAAAAGAAACAGTCCGTCCAAAATGGAAGACAAAGGACTTGTCGCATAGCGAAGCCCCGAGCGGGGTTCGGTGGGCGCTATTTGCTAAAGGTAAACCAGGCCCAACTAGGCTATGTTGAGCTGAGTAGGCCAAGCCGTCCAAGTCGTCACAGTAAAAGTGGCCGTCATAAATAATTGTTGGCCGTCCAAAAGAGAGCTGGACGGCTCGCTGGCTAAGCCTTTAAGTTCTGTACAAAGTTGGCAAAACTTTGTATGACATAGTTTCTTGACTTTACCTGTTCTAACTTCGAAGAATTACTCTCAAACCCAGCAGCCAGAGTGTCATAGGCACTCTTCTTCTCTGCGTGCATCACCTGCATCTCCTGATGTTTCTGTCTCATCGGCCGCAACTCTTTGATGATCGGTGCCAAGTCAGACTTCTTTGAGGCTATCTTTGCGTTTAGACGTTGAACCTGAAAAAAACAAAGATGATTAAAAAGGACATTTTTGATTTAAATAATTTAAAAAAAACTTTAATGACACATAAATAATTTGATTTAGGGATTTTTGCACAGGTGGTTACCATTTTACCAGCCAGAATTTATGGGGTGAAATATGGTTTAGCCAATAACCAGAGAACCTACAGAATATTTTCGTTTTCTTTTAATCTAGTCAACCCTGATTTCAAATTTTCACTTTACTCAGACTACAGAGCAATATTTTGGACATATACATAATGTAATACAGGGCAGCAGCCAGTGGTATGGTTGGCCAAGTTTTAACCTGACCACATTTTGATTGGCCACAAGTTAATTGATTAGGTTTTGAATAGGAAAAAAAGCCTGCACGTTTAGACTCAATCTACTCTGTCTTGACATAACTCCAGAGCCACAAGTTTGTGTGAATCATTTTTTAAGTAATTAGGATGCATTTTTTTCTTCAGTTGAAATTCAGTGTATATGTGGGCTTAGCTTTTATTTAAATCAAGTAGGTCAGTTACTACACACAGTGAGCTTTTGTAGAAAATCAGCTAAAGATTCCCTTACACACTTGCCTAGGACATTCATTTCTTCAGTAAATTACCTAGTCAATTGACAAGAAAAAACCATGCCTTCATCTGTATATTTATTCCTGATAGTTCTAGTATGTAACATTTTCTATAAATAAATATACTGTAAATATACCTTTTTAAGCACTTCTGTTAAATACATGTTAAGCACAGATTCAGAGTTTACCCTATCACACAAATGGGTTCCCATAGTGGGAGGGGTAATGAGAAAAGAAATAGCTTGTGCTGTTACTAGAAGACAATTTTTAGTTATGGGGTGGGGGGAGTCTTCTGCTCCACCTTCGAAAATTTGTTGTTTTCTGGATGCTTTGAAATGCACTTTCGTGCATTATGAGACATCTATTATGGAATACACTCTGAAGTCATATTTTTCTCTACTGTACTGTACTATGGGCAATTTATGAAGAAGATGATGATGAGGAGGAGGAAGTTAGGTGATGACAGTCCCCTGTGCAAGATTAATAACAGGCCCTATGATGTGAAGTGTCAAAGCGAGGCCCGTAGCCTGAGTTACGGTTGGGAATTTGGCGAAAATATCGTCGTCGTCAAATGTTCAATGCACACAGTCGAACAATAGTTATATGATTTTTGATATCTCTTTTGTATAGAAAGTAATATGAAACCCATAAAATATCAGTTCAGGCATTCATTTATCTGTCTGTAGAAAATATAACAAAATAAAATGAATACAAATAAAATAAAAACATCTAAAAACATCTAGACTAAATCAAAATGGAATATTCACTGCCTGTTGGATCAAAGTTTTAGTGTTGCAGGGGTTCCGAAGTCTTTACAGTATAACCAATCCCTGTATAGATTACTGATTAAAATGTAAAATATTCAAGATTTTATATTCAGTACATTCTCAAATGTCATGTAAATCTCATATATCCCAAAAATTATGTTACATTTATGCACAGAAGTGGAAAGTTTAACCTAATAATTTTTATATGTTTTACGTTGTTTGTTGAATGGTCTTTATGATATTATAGTTCAATATGACCACAACATAAGGAAGTCTCTCTTTTAACTTTTAAACTCTAAACCTTGCATAGCTCACTATACGTTTATATTTCATTAAATCATAATTACCACTTGTTAAATTACCATAGATAGTACAGAGAATTCTGATTGACTGTCAATCTCAGATCAATTTTTTAGGAAATTATGTTTCATGCATGCACCAATGTGAGAACTTTAACCTAATAACTTTGATATGTATATGTTTTATGTTGTTTGTTGAATGGATTTCTTTAATAATATAACAGTCTAAAATGACCACAACATAAGGAAGTCCACTCTGTAAATTTTTAGCATAATATAGTACCCACATTTCATTTTTCAACATTTAATGTTTCATGTTTCTATTCTTGTTTGAAGTGGGAGTAAGCTTTAAAATTTAGATAAAATCATAATATATAATGTCTATATCTAAAAAAAAGGGGAAAAAAAGGATTTATTCCATGATTCAAACCCCAAAACATCTCAATACTGTTGGTTGCTCTACCAACTAAGCTACAGGACGAGTCATGGGTGGTATACATTGAGCTTTCTCTTTATGAGTGGACAATTAATTTTTTAAATTCTAGCATATTCACCATGTCTGATATATCTTCCAAGGTTCGGCCTTTCATATCATCTAGCTCACTCTTCATCGTAGACACTTTCTCCAACTCTTCCTGAGTGTCATGGTAACCAGAAATTCCCTTCTTCGCTTCAAGCACAGACTACATAAAATTTAAAAAAAAACATCATCACTGTGTATTTATTATATTTAGCAAGATTTTGTTTAATTTGATTCATGATAAACATACTTCATTAATATCTGCAAGCAAACATGATAGAAAATGGATTCAATCCAGGGGCGTAGCCAGGAATTCCTGGACGAGGGGTCCAAGCTCCCCGACAAAGGGGCCACACCCTCCATGTTGAGGAAGCCTACCCCCTCACCCATCGAAGAAAAAGGTAAATTTGTCAGGGAATTTTTTATTGAAAAATAATAAATTCTTTTGTTAATGGGATTCTTTATTTAAAAAGAAAATTTGATACAGAATCATGCAAGTTAAGAGTCCACGTCAGGGATACTAACCCCAGGTCGGATGTACCAGCCCCCTGTCAGGGGGAGAACTAGCGGTTTAATCCCTAAAATTAAACAGCTTATTAAGGCAAGCTTGAATTTAAATTTCGGCGCCCGAGATTTGATTTTTCCCAGATGCCCTTGCTGAAAATTCCCCGGCAGCGAAGTTCAAGGGGAAGGGGGTTCCTGCAGGGCCCTGACAAGGGATCCTATGCCCTCAAACCCCTGCTAGGGCCGCCCCTGTTTTATTCAATATAAACACCGAAAAAGACTGTTTCTGAATAAGTTATATATTTTATTAACATCAATTTATTATACAGTTGAACTTGCCTAAGTCGAATCCAAAAAGCCATTCGAATATTGTTCGAATTTAACTTACTGATTGTTAATTAATGAAAACAATTTGGCATGTAAAATAATTTCGACTTAAAACTTATTTGAGTTAGGCAAATTCGACTTAGGAAAGTTTAACTGTAATTTAATTTTATTTGACTGATATACCTTGTAAACATTTTATCATATTTATTTTTTTTATTATTTGTTATTGCCTTTAATGTTTTTTTATCTGTCTCCTTTGAATAACTATTGGTTTTAGTATTGGTATCATTATTACATTATTATAATATTGTAGTGTAATATTTTTTGTGAATTGGAAAGTTGAAGAAATATGTTTGGCATAAATGTGGGTGTGACTAACCCAAAAGAGAAAAAGAAAATCAATATTAATAGATTTATGCAACATACCAGATTTTTCTGAATGGCATCATCTTTTTGTTTAAGTATCTCTTCAGTTCTTGTCAAGATGCCAAGTTCTGCACGAAGTTCTGCTAGGACTTGTCGTTTCTTCTTATACATACTGCTCATGCTTCGTAATTTAGTCACATATCTTTTGAACTGAATAATAAAGCAAATATCCAAATTAAGTAAGGCTTAGGCCCCCTTGTAACGAGGAAGTTTACCACTTCAATCCCAGGAAACTAAGCAAGATGATCCGTACTTTGCAGAAAATGTTTAAAAAACACCAGAGGGTGTAAGTACACTTACCTCATCACCTTTCAAGACCTCTTCACCTTGTAAGCCCTTCACAGTCTCTCTCTTCTCTTGGATCTCCTGCTGGAGAGACATCACCTCGTCCTTTGCCTCCTTCAAGGATTCTGCAGCGGCCTCTTTCTTGCGTGCAATGATTGATGCTTGCTGGCGAAACAGCGACACTTTGTCATCCAGCGGATCATTCCTCATCATGCGCTTTTCTATTAGACCGTTTATTTCCATGTTCAAATTTTTAATCTGTAATATGAAAACATTACAATTGATTAAAATTTATTCCCAGTAGAAGGATGAAATGTAATGTAGTGCTTTATAACAAAGTCTCTTGAAGTGTGGACTAGCTAGTACAATAATTTGTTTCTACCCTAAGGGTCTTGTCTGAGCTACCAAGTAACCCGGTAACAGCTATCTCTCGTCTGTCCACAACAGGAGCTGTATAAACCAGTACACCGGGATAACTCATAATGAATGTTACTGTTTCTAATGACTAGATTAACAATGTAAAGCACTTTAAGATATAATGAAAATTGAAAATGATATACACCATGCTAAGAATCTACCAACCAGTGGTAACAGGTTGTGAGAGCACAGGATCTTTAAAATATGTAGGCATTACCTTGCCAAGAAGAACATCCAGGTCAGCCTGGCCCATGGCAGGCTCGTGGACCACTCTCTCCAGGTCCTTACATGCCTTGCGCTTGTTCTCTATCTCCTTTGGCAGCTTATCTTGACACAGGTAAGCATTCACTTTGTTCTCTTCATCAAGTTTCTGGATGAGACCTAATCAAAAAAACATATTAAATTGGTTACAATGTTATAGTTAGGCGAGACTTTTTTAATACTTTGTTTTGAGAACTTATTTTATTAACAATCGTCAGAGGAGGGTGGGAAAAAAATAATAAAATTTTGTTTTCCCATTTAGCCAAGACTTCTCCCAAAGACATCCACGGACATCCAATAAAATAAATTTTTCCCGGTGAATGTAACAGTGCTTTAAATTTATATAATTTGGAAGAAATATACATATCTATTTTTGGACATTTCAAGGCAGTGGCAGGCATACTAAAAATAAAGAAAAGCTTTTATATTTTTCTGAGATTGTCATTTTTTCGTGGCAGTGGGTGTGCTAATAAAATTGGCCAAAAAAATTGGTGGGTGGCAGGGTTCGCTAAACAAAGCATTAAGAAAGTCTTGCCTTAGTTACACAATTGTATATGTTACAAATATAGCCACCTTCTTTTTTTTATTGGTTGACCAATGTATATATCCCTACTATATTATGTTCTATTTCAATCAAATGATAAAGCCACAGCATTCACTGCTGGTGAAAGCTGGTGAAATAATTTCATCTATCACGTTAGCCCAGAGTGCTAGACTGTTATTATTTGTCTGATAATACAATGTATAAATGTAGTAGAAACGAACAAATCCAATGTAGTAATTAAATGACACAGTCAAACTGCAAGATATCTTATTATAATTCTCCATATCATATTCATAATGTTTTTTTCCAAGAATAAAAAAAAGTCCAATAGTGCTATACCTATGCTGCTTGTGATATGTTCGAATGGATTAAGTAGAACTAAATGTATAGCTAGTGTAAATAATATTAATAACAGTTAATAAAGAGTCAGCACTCTGAGACAAATTTAAAAAAAGTAATTTATTTAGCATGAGCTTTTGAAAGCAGTCGATGCCGGCTTCATCAGGTGTAACAATGGATGTTTGAGGGTTTTCAGCGTTTTTATCAGTGTCTCATTAAAAATCAACCTGTATGAATCTCTGGATGCTTCCAACTCATGTCATGTACAGCAACATAGAGCCAGTGCTTTTTTTTACATCTGAAGGGACTAGCAACCTCAAATCTGTTAACTGCTGTGCTTCATGCTATTCTAATCCCCAAAAAAAGTAGTAACATTTCAAATGAAAGTGATTTTCAATTTTAAACCTACCTTCAGGTGTGGAGCCTACAGTTGACTGTTTAAGATCCCTCAGTTGCTGCTGTATACGTTTGTATCTCTGCTCTGCTTGTTGAAGCTAAGATCATTAAATGATTATCAATATCAAAATTAGACCAAAGTACACAATAGCAATATTGTAGTAAATACAAACACTTGCACCATTGCAAATAAAGACAGCAGCCCATTTTCATCCTAGTTTTATTACAGCTAATCTTGCCTATTCGTCGTCTTTGCCTAACTCGAATAATTTCTAAGTTTGTCTTCATTTACATCTTTAGTGTTTCACATAGTGCTATGGTAGTCTTATAAAATCTGAATACACATACTTGATTTCTCTGATCCAATTTCTGCTGTGCTTGTTGTCCTTGTCGTTCCTGTTCCAGTCGAAAATTTCTTGCAATCTCAAGATTCTTCTCATAATGTGGTATGGCTTCAATCTGGGAAAGAGAAAAACAATTTCAAAAATGCAAATGTACATTATGCACTGGAGAGACAGATAAAGAACTTCATGTTTATTAATTATTTTATTAATTATACTTAATTAATTAATAATACTGAAAAGGATTTGAAAGTAGAATTTGTGTATTAAGGAACACAAATGAGTGAACCATGTTTAAAAAAATTAAGTTTCAGGATGTAAACAGCATAAAAATTGAATTATCGTATTTCTTTGAATAAACGTCCCTCTTTGAAAAAAATTAGGAATAAACGCCTACCACAAACACCGCCCCCCCCCAAATGACTGTAAACCAATCTAATGGAAGCAACATCATTCTCAATACATTCTATTAATGTTTTACTCCAGTAGAAGTACATTTTTCTAACCTGTGTTACATGTTACATGGTAACACATTTTCACAGTAATTATGTTTTGTAGTTGCCACATTTACAGTGAAATTAAGGGGCGTTTATTTGAGTATATACATTATCTATTCTACACCAAAAAAATAAATGCTTCCTTTGAATAAATGTCTCCCTCGAATAAAAGCCCTCTCCAAAAACCCTTCTCAACAATAAACGCCCCATGGCATTTATTCGAATAACTAAGGTAAATGAATAATAAATTTAAATTAACAGCTAAATGATAACAATATTGCAAATTAAATTTATCAACTTATAATTACTTTTTAGAAAATAAGCACAGTAAGTTAATGAACAATTGGATTACTGTTCTTGTGTCTGTTAATACACACAGGTAAAGAAAACATAATGGATGCTAGGAATCTCCATGGTTAATACTGTCCATAATAGCCACCTGAACTGTGACGCCCTCTAACAGTACCACGTAAAGGTGCTCATTTTACCTTTTTCTTTAGCTTTTCAAGTCTCTTTGTTAGTTGTTCCTTCTCCTCGTCTATTTGTACGATATCCTTCTTGATATCAGACGTTGAGAAGTTTGACTTCTTTAGTTCCTCTGCTTCTTTATGAAGTTCCTTGAACTGTTCCATCATATCTTCATACTGTGTAAAAAATCAATTACTGATAACAAACACCACTGGAACTTCTATTATCATTGTTATTGTTATTATTATTATTATCATTATTATTATTACTATGATGTTACTAAAACCTACCTTAAGGGGAAATTAGGCAATGGAGAAATTAGAGAAAAAAAAAAAAAACAATGTTATGGGGAAAATAACACAAAAGATATTCCCCTTAAGTCCGACTTATCGCATATTATAATTATTATTATTATTATGATTACTGCCCTAGGAAGGGTTTAATGGCCATCTAATGAAGTGCAAATTTTTTTATTTAAAGACAAACTAAGAAAAAAATTATCCTACCTTTAAATTTTTAATTCTTTTAAATTATTGACAGGGTTAGTTACTGATTAATAATAATGAGGTTGATGAACACACCTAACTCTTAAATAGGCATGCAAATAAATAACTTAAATAACTAATAAGTTAATCATCATTATAGTCATCACTAACAATAACCATCATTAACAGTATCATCACTATTACCTTCATCCTCTATATCATCTTCATCATCACATCATCAACTTTAACAACACAAAAGAACCTCGATTTTAGGTACGGTACGGGAGCGGAGGGTGTACGTAAATCGAGGATTCGTAAAATAGAGGTTGGGTTAAATTTGTGGTAACCTTTGACCTAATACGTATGTAACACTCAATAAACGTATGTATGAACGAACGATGTTTACCTACCTAGGCTAGACCTAGCCTCTAGGCCTACGAATAAAACCATGTGTTTAGTGTATTAATTCATCACTTTATATCTTTTATTTAACTAAAGAACATGAAAATATTGTAAGATTATCTATACAACAAAGGTATAACTTGGGAATTCCCCTTCATGCCTATTCTAAACAACAGAGCTGTGATGTTGTCTGGGCGTGTTGAGACCAATTGAGACAAACTAAAACCATGTGCACTGCACTGGGCGAGTCAACCAATTAGCGTTCGTGTACGTGAAACAGCAACCACGTGCAGTGCACTGGGCGAGCCAACCAATTAGCGTTCGTGTACGAAACTATGTCTACTCAGCTTCGCGTAGAAAATTCGACCAGACGAGTTTTTCCATGGTTTGCCACACGAAGCTAAGGAGGAAAGCAATTATTTTGAGCACCATCGGTAGTTGTTCATCTCACTTAGATCACATGATTTTAGATTGTAACAACCCGGTATAAGACTCAACGTTGCTGCTTAATGAAAATATGTTGCATTATGGTTTGTTTATTGTTATAGTCTTTTTACTTATGGTTGCTCTGAAAAGGGTTGTTTGTTTTGAATATTTTCGGGGTTTTTGATGACGTCATCGTCGATACGAGGCGTACGTAAAACCGAGGGTTCGTATAACTGGTGTACATAAAAACGAGGTTCTACTGTACCATCTTTTTCAAAAATATCATAATTGATATCAACATTAAAGAATTATTATCATCATCAAAGTCACCATTGTTATTATTATCGAAATCAAACATCATTATCAACATAACATATATGATCACCATTGCCATCACCACCAACATACCTGTGCCATGGCCTCAGAAACCATATCGTCTTGACTAACATCTGGCGGACATTCAATCTTGACGAGATAACGTGCTAAGTAAGCTCGTTTCTTCACTTCCACCATCTTCTGGAACAGCCAAACCAGTATGTCGTAAATGACCGGCTTGTTGGCCATCACCAGTCCTTGGCGAAAGACTTGTCTGAATGGAGGACATTAGGCGCTGCATATTAGTTTTAATCAAATTAATACCAATCATTATCAAAAATTATTCTAAAGTTGGATCAAATTAGATTATGAGTGCTGTACAAACACACGTTTTAGAAATTTTCATGTGCATCAAACAAATACCAACATCCTCTCGAAGTAACAGGGTGCAATTTAGATGACTTCAAGATTGAGAACTCAAACTGCTTTGATCAATGGCTGCTGCCACCATCAAGGTTAAAATTACAGAGAAATTAGTTAAAGTTATATTTTGCTATTTTATTTAATACCAAACAGTGGCAATCCATAACCATACAGACTTAACCAGGGTTTGGAATAACAATGGGTCAGAGGGCTAAAGTGAATTTTGGATTCAACATTGAGGTCTGCACACAAACAACATGCATGGAAAACCTTAATGCATTATAATATCACTTCATGCTCAGTTTTAAAATTACTTTTTACAAGCTGCAACCACAAGTGATTTTTAGCCAAGAATGGTAGGCGGGAAGCACAAATTGTTTTTTTTTTTTTTAAATTTAATTTTCGTGAGTTGTAATAAAATTGCTATCGGGCATCATCGTTGTCCATGGGACACACTTTGCCTACATGCGGTCTTAACTAACTTACAGTTCTTGTTTTGGTTTGTACCGCAGGTACTTCAATTCAGTCATTATCCTTACAGCTGTTTGATCAGCTCCTTCTTCCCGTATATCAATCTTATTCTGCAATAAAATAAATGGAATGTTTATAACATCAATGCACCTGTAGATATGTTTACAAACTCTCCTGCTGATTAGAATGTATCAAGTAGAATTTACAAGGTTTTAATATTATTATTATATTTTTTAAATTTTCACACAGCATTTTTTCTTTGTAAAACTGCAATAAGTATTTATTATTACTGTATTATTATTATTATTAATTACTACTTTTGTATCAATTAGGTTAGTCAGGTAGTACTTCACTCTTGGGAAAGTGATTGTAATTATTATTGAATTTACCACTTCTTAGGCTACTGTAATGAATTATAATGTAAGCCCTAATGTATGGTAAAGTTTCTAAAACTTTTTAGAGGTGCCTTGCCAAGGAGGTAATAATATTTAATGTTTAATAAACAGTCTGCCTGTCTGTCTTTTAGAAAGATTACGCAAAAACTAATGAATGGATCATCATAAAATTTAGTGGAATGGTAAATAATATTCAACGAAAGGCCCCTTTCAATTTTCTTAAGAAAATGTCAAAGGACAAGGTCATGGAAAATCAATTTTTTTACCATCGAAAAATAAAAATAATAGAATCGCCCCTATTCAAGCAGCACTCAAGAATGGGCCTGAATACGACAGAGGATCCCATTAATTTCTTAAGGGTAGACTAGAGGTCACTCAAGAAAATAATGTGCCTGAATAGGATGGGCGATTCAATTATTTCATTGAGGGTATGCTGCAGTTACACCCACTGTATACAGCCACATATTGTTAGTATTCAGGCACAGGGTGGAGGACTGCTCTAGCTTTTTTTTCTCTTTTGTGGGGTAACCCACCTTTATTCAATATCATTTTCATCTTTGTATTTATGTACAAACAACACGATTCCCCCTAAATTATAAAAACAAAATTTTAAATTACAAATGCATACTGTACATGGATAATAACAATAATATTTTCATTTATGTGAATTACAATTATCTTTTTTCTTTAGTTGAATATCCATCTCTTTTTATTGTTATTTTATTTCCATACATTATCTCAACTTGTTTCACCATAACCATTCAAAATAATTTACACCATTAATACCTTTCTAGAATATTACCTGAATGCAATTATAGCTTTTTCTTTAGTTGAATACCTATCTCTGCTTAAATTGTTTTTTTTTTTTTGTGTGCACATTTTCATTTCAATACATTTATTACAAGAGACAGACTTTTCTCAATCTAAAGATGACCTGCTCTAGTTTCTTTATGTTCACATCTTAATCAATTTCAAATATTTACCCGATTTTTTTTAATCGTACATTTCTATTTTTTTAAATATTGCAGTATATTTTCATGTGATAAGGTTGAATAAGTCAAAATAAATATATTTGAAATATTGCTCCACAAATGATAGGGCTTTGATGTGAAGAGAATATAGCCTAGTCCTTGCCATCCATCATCTCTAACCTGAGGATTTATGTCTGCAAGAACATCATTAAGAACTTGTAGTAACTGGAGCGGTTGCAGCGAATCAAAGCTGATTAAATTGTAGCTACGGCTGAACGGAGGCTTGTTTAGCTGCTCCACAATATACTTCAGTGATTCATTCATTTTTTTTCAGTTTGCTGCACTGAAATAGTTAAAGAAGACAAAACAAGTGGATTATACAGTCACCAATAATGGTTATTTCAAATAAAAATACAATGTTATCCACCACATGAAATAAAAAATTTCATAAAAAAAAATTATTTTTATTACATCTGGAACCCTGAAGTTGGCAAAAATAAGATTGCCTTCCCCTAAATAAGAAACAATGCCATAGGCCTACTGTAAAGTATTTTAATTGGGGGAAGACCTCAATTTCTGCAGAATCATCCTTGTTTAACCATTCATACGAGTGTACTGTACGTTTCTCATGAAATGGGGACCATCAGTTGCGGTGCTAGGAGGGGCTACAAATCTCTCAAAGAGGCTTGCCCCCCCCCCCCCCCCTTTTGGCAAAGTTAAGAGAGTTTCGTCAGGGGATTAAAAAAATATTATATATTATCAAATGTTGGCCTGTCCAGTGGATAGGCCTAGCTAGGCCTATGCAAATTATTAGTTAGGGCACAAAAAACAAATCCTTACTATACTTATTATTTTTTTCTCATTGAATGAAGGGGCGTCACCTTCCTCCAAAACCCACGCTAAATTACTAGTAGACTAGGCCTAGGCTAGCTTAATACAACTCTTCTTCCCTGCCTGTTGTTGGGGCCTTGCCCTGCCGCCAGGGAAATCCTACTTCTACTAGCGCCGCCACTCACTGGTTGGGGACGACATGATGAAAGGAGTAGGTCTATTCGACCAGTGATGTAAGCTAGTAGTAGGCCTACACTAGAAGTAGTAGGCCTATAGGCCCAGGCCCAGGTATAGGATAGCTCGCGTCCGCTTCGACCCATATCTGTTAGGGGCCTCCTAACTAGCTAGAGCCTAGGGTAGGGCCTAGCTAGGTTTCTAATGAATTGCAGTCTTAGCAAGGATACTAGGCCTAATTAACAGTCAGTATAAGTACCTTCTCAAAACCTCGAGTTTATATAGGTACTTATAGACACCACTGAACTGCATAAGTGTTAGCTTTTTGTAGAACAATTACTCGTCACTACACACACAATTGATAGCTTTATGTTTCCATGCGAAAGGTATTTGGTTGTCCGGAAGACAAGGGAATGACGGGATATCATCATTCATTGGGCTTATTCGACTGGTTCATTTCGTTGAGTACAAATTTTCGTTGAGAAAGTATAATATATGGAAGGCAATCGCCGCCAAAAATACAGTTACAAACGAACAACCTACTCGCAAAAACGTACAAGCTACACGCAAAAACGTACAAGCTACACGCAAAAACGAACAACCTATTCGCAGAAACGAACAACCTACTCGCAGAAATGAAAAACCTACTCACAGAAACCTAGACAACGTTAGACTTTCACAGAAACGTACAACGTATTAGCAACAAAAGACACTCACAGAAACGAGCAACGTAGTCGCAGAAATGGATGCGCACAGCGCTCTCAGAAAAGGACAACGGAATCGTTCATTTCAAGATAGGTCAGCAAAATATCGCATCTTGTAATTTCCTTCCTAAGCATAGCCCTCTCTAATACTTGGCTCTCAAGATAACAAAAGCTAATTATTTTAAGCCAACTTCTCCCAAAACAACGATGGATAGCAATTCACTGAAGGATGCCGGAAGGCTTCTAAATCAAACTGCGGATTTGCTGCAGGGTCAAGGCACTAACCCCTTTGGTGGCATCTCGCACACCATCACTAACGGTAGGGGAAAGCAAGGAGGTATTAAATAAGCTTATTTAATACCTCCTTGGGGAAAGTCATTTTCTGAAACAATTTAAAACCACCATTTGGTGACACCAAGGAGGTATTAAATAATTATTATATTATTATAATTAATTATTTAATACCTCCTTGGTGACACTACCAAAGTATTATTTTTTAATTATTCATTGAAGCAGATATCATTTCAGTACTGTCGTATATTTCATTCAAAGTACTGTAATATACAGTATAGGGACAGTTATACGTAAATAATAGGCATCATGATGATTATAAAATGTAGCCGCGTTAGTCTGCTATAAACAATATAAAATTAATGACAGCAAGAATAACTTGTTTCAAATTTAATATCTAGATTTCTTCCATACATAAAACTTTCATGACACAGGGCCGGATTAAAGGGCCTTGGGGTGCGCTGTAATTGGAAGTGGGCCTAAATACTCCGTGGCTAAAACATAAAACTAAATTTTTCCTGGGGTTCGGTTCGGGGGACTAATTTTCCCCATTGCGGCCTCTGGGACTGTAGCCACAAAAGCCCCTTTTATGATAAACTGGTCCTGGACTTTCATCAGACGAATAGACTGATGATTTCCACTGTGTGTACAAAGAGAGATGAAATTGTAAACAACATTAACCCTTTTTAAAGTTTTTCTGTAATTTCTTTTATAATTTCCCCTATTAACATTACACCAAAAACGTTAGGCTTGTAAGGGATACATTCAGCCCCGACTGTGGTCTCCCAATCTCTTGTAGACTAAAGCTGTATCGGCTTTGATAGAATTTGGCCACACTAGGCGCATGGCACCATGTTGTTAAGTTACAAACAGCGTGCGCTCGTATAAATTTTATAACACTGGCATGAACTTTATATTATTTAAAAAGTCACATTATTTTTTTTTTCTGGAAATATTCTTTAAAAACGAAGCGAAGCGAATTTGTAGATGTTGGTCTGGCCCTATATCCGAAAACACCTGTAGTAGGAGGATCTTCACTTTCTCGCCGCTGCTGATTTTCTTCTTTTAAAACTCTTGCCGCTTCAGCAATTAAATATACAATTTCAGGGGGTACACTTAAATGTATGCACTCCCTACATATAGCATCGATTTGATGCCATGCCGGATGAATTAACCCCTTCAACTTCTTACAAATGAACTACCGTACCTCTTTAAGGCGCAAATATATAGTATTCTGATTCTCCTTGTTCATCCCACCTGCCGCGCACCCTATTTCATTTTGCCTGTATAACAGTAACACAGCCCCGGAATTGTTATCCATCGGTGTTTTAGGACAAATGGCTTAAAATAACGAGCTTCTCATATATTGAGAGGCAAGTATTATAGAGGGTTTTGTTTTGGTTATGCTATTTATCCTTTTATTGTTTTTAAACTGTCTTTTGCTTTCCTTTGCTTATGTTTTATATTGTTAATGGGTGCACCATCTAAGTGATGGGTGCCACTGATCTTAAAATGAACCCAATAAATCGTATCGTATAATAGAGGGGGCTATGTTTAAGAAGAAAATTACATTCAGCCCTTAAGACGCGAGATTTTGCTGACCTATCTACGATTCCGTTGTCCTTTTCTGAGAGTGCTGTGCGCATCCATTTCTGCGACTACTTTGTTCGTTTCTGTGAGTAGGTTGTTCGTTTCTGTGAGTGTCTTTTGTTCCTTTTTTGGCTAATACGTTGTACGTTTCTGTGCAAGTCTAACGTTATCCTTTACAGTGTGTACGTTGTAGGTTTCTGCGAGTAGGTTGTTCATTTCTGCGAGTAGGTTGTACGTTTTTGCGAGTAGATTGTTCGTTTATAACTGTATTTTTGGCGGCGATTGCCTTCCATAATAAATCATACTCCAAGTATTGAAATGCACGCCATCGTGTTGGGATTCAATATTTCGACATTAATTGTCATGTTATGTTTTCGTGGAGTACCGTATCATTTTCATTCGACTGGTTCGTAAGACTTTAATTCGTTGACAACGAAAATTAACGTAAACCAGAGTGGTGCGTTAAGTTATCCACGTGACCAAAAAACATGGCCGATTGGTGAGTTTATAAACAACATTTGCGTTAATATAACTTAAATTAAATTTCATAGAATAAAAATTATAATATTTATCCACATGGAGTCAAAAAATAATTGTAGGCTAACAGAATTTCAAAAACTAGATGAAAATATTTTTTTTACGAAAAACTCATACTACCACAAGTTGAAGCAATCTTGATTACGCAACGTGTATCGCGATAACTATACAGCCATTTTGTTTTGTCGAGTATTTACAAGTTTTCTAATCGACTGGTCGTCTTCCTTTTGAGTGGGATTTTACCGCTGCGCAGGTGGGCGTGGCTTAACGAAGAACGACGAGTCGAATACGGCCATTGTAAACAATTACAATTGACGCGTTCGTATTGGTTAAGGGTAACGCGTTACTTATTTTATTTCGGTTTGAAACAAGTTTTGTTTACGTTTCAATTTTATAAAGTTTAATTTTATATAAGGTATGGGTCTCAATAATGGCGAAAATATAATTTTAAATATCTACAAAAAAACATTTCATTGAATTACTTACCTCTCAAAAAACGTAGGTAGGGGTCCGACTGGTCAATCAGGCCTACCCTGGCAGTATGCTTTTACTTTTTGCCGTGGCTAGGGACGGTGGTACCGTATAAATCTATATCAGCAAAAAGGTAAAATTAATTATAGGCTTATCATCCTTTCTTATACGAAAGCTAATACAGTGTCGTTGGCCTAAACGCCTCCTAAATGCAACCAGGGAACAGTTAAATTACTGCATTACAAACATGATATGCATAATACTTCGTTATTTTTATTGAATAGAGACAGTTACTCAATTACGATATATAGGTCCTATAAGCTTTAAAACTATACTTTTATATAAATCTGTAACTAATGCTAGCCTATGCACGGCAAAAGTGCTCATTTATTATTATTATTAATATTAATATTATTAATATTATTAATATTAATATTAATATTAATATTAATATTAATATTATTAATATTATTAATATTATTATTATTATTATTATTATTATTATTATTTAATTTTTTCATTAATTTTGATTGATTTCTTTATCCTACTCCTTATTAAATGCAATAGATTAGTCATACTCAGCAACGGTACAGTTCAACACGGTAGCCTTATTATTAATATGGGTTTTTTTTTTTTTTTCATTGATGTAATCCATCAATCTAATTTCTTCTTCTTTTTTCAAAATGTTGATGATCAGAAAATGAGCTAAAAATATATGAATTGTGAACCTTAAAATGTTTAATTTTTTGCTTAATTTTGATTGATTTCTTTATCCTACGCCTTATTAAATGCAATAGATTAGTCTAGTTTTTTAATGGTCCAGAGTCTCCAATAGTGCATCCACCTATATTTGTAATATCGTAATTTTGTCAATTATCAGATCTTATTTTATTAAGTATTTACATAACGACATGCAATGTATTACCTTCATAATTTTCTAATTATATTTGTACTTTTTGGAGTTGATTTGTTGAGTAGGTCCTTTTAGATTTAATTTCCGATTTCGTTTAGGCCTACCCCCCCCCCCCCACCTCCCTACAAAGCAAAAATAAACCCTCGTACAAAGCAAAATAAAGATAAGCACAAAAAAAGAGGGTGGGGAGGCGAACAAAAGTTAGAGAGGGGGGTTCCAGAAAGTGAGCTAAATCTCTATCTAAGTTCGTCTCCCAAAACACTGTTATCCATGAAACTTTTAATATTATAAATAAAAATTTAACCCTCACGGACCAAATACTGTGCAATGCCCTTGAAAATAAAATAAAAAAAACCCGCTGGGGTAGCCAGCCACAGTAGCGTACAGTTAACTTTTAAACTTTCCCTTTGTGAATTTGAAGACCATGGTTATCGAAAATAAACTTTGGATGTGGCCAGTTTGAATCTTAATAAATCCCTAATATTCGTGTATGTGATTTTGTTTTATATTCATAAAAATATATATCACTTTATAAAGGTATGTTAAGATTCTAATGAAAAAAGAAAAATAATTAATAGGTCTAATAATGCGGAAAATAATAATAACAATAGTAATAGTAGTAATGAAAAAAAACAAAATTATTAATGATAATGATATTAAAATTAATATATTATTATTATTAATATTAAAATAATAATAAATATAATGATAAATACTTCGGCAAAGCACGGAAAAATTCTAAGCATGGGAAAATACCAAAGTGACGGCAAGAAAATAAACAGTGCAAAAAGATAGGAAAAATATATGCAAGAAAAAAGGGGAAAAAAATCAGAACAAACACAATGGCTTTTCGCAGTACTGCTGGGAAAAGCCAATAATAACACTAATAATAATAATAATAATAATAATAATAATAATAATAAAATATAATATATATAATAATAATATGATATAATTGGGGTATCATTTAAGTATCATTTGGTAATTCTGTATCATTTGGGTAATTCCGTGTATTATTTGAGTAGATCGTCAGAATGCCCAGACTGCAGCCTTGTCCCATAATTTAGCTAAGAGGAGTGGTAAATTAGGTCGTGTTCTCACTTATTTGGATGTAGCCAGTTTGAATCTTAATAAATCCCTAATATTCGTGTATGTGATTTTGTTTTATATTCATAAAAGTATATACATCACTTTATAAAGGATGTTAAGATTATAATAAAAACAAAAAACACCAAATAATTAATAGGCCTAATAATGCGGATAGTAATAACAATAGAATAGTAGCAATAAAAAAAAAAACTAATAATATTATTAATAATAATGAAAATAATAATATTAAAATAATAATAATAATAATCGACTGTTTTTGTTTTAATTTATATTTATAATAATAATAATAATAATAATAATAATAATAATAATAATAATAATAATAAAATATAATATATAATAATAATTATAATATAATTGGGCTCATTTGGGTAATTCTGTATCATTTGGTAATTCTGTATCATTTGGGTAATTCCGTGTATTATTTGAGTAATTCGTAAGAATACTGCAGGCTTGCACCATAATTTAGCTAGTGGCGGACCATCAAGGCAAGCTAGGTATGCAGTGCATACCTAGGCTAAAACAAATAAAAAATATATATAAAGTAGTACAATTTCTTAGTCAGAATCTTCTATACAAACCTTAATTTTTCGAGTGGATTGCTACAGTTCATTGGAATTTCAAATTTTTTCAATTTTTGGCCTACTTTGGTATCTAGGATAAGTCACATTTGGCCTATCGCATCGTATTCTCAGCTGCTTAGAATTTCCGTATGGTGAGTCGATGGGAGTCAGAGCATATCCTACAACAGTTAAATTTGCTATTGTGACAACCATGTGGTGCAACAGAATAGCCAATTTAACACTGGAATGGAAGCGTGCTTCCAAGAGTTTATACAAATACTGTTGAAAAATATAATTTACCATACAACTTAAAAATAAAGACACAAATTCATAATTTAAAATTTGTTATTTACAATGCGTTTGAAGTATAAACACTGCAGTGATAAGTGCTAAAACAATTTCTGTTATTGTCATTTTACTATATGCCTTAATGCATTTTGCTATATATTAAATTTGAGAAATGTTGATGTCATTACCTATAATGGAGATATTATGCTTAATTGCATTATTATTCAGATTGATGCTTGATAAATCAGTGATCGTGTTTGTTCCACCACCATCTTAATACGCGTTGTATTTTACTTATTCTGTAACAGGCCTCGCCGGACGATGATCCTCAGTTGACATGACACCCACCACCCCACCCCACTTCCCCGCACCACTTTTTGCAAAAGTTATATATAATAAACATTTCTACCAGGGTGTATTTGAGCATGTGTAGAACTTGCCTTAAAGAACCAAAGATCCCAGTCAGGCGTGCAGTGCGAGATCAGTGAACTATATCCTAGTACAAGTCCTTGGTAGACCATGACATGTTTTTGTTATATTTCAACAGAAGCCGATGAAGCTTAAGGAAAAAATCTATGATTCCAATAGAACAAATTACTATGTGGTGGTCAAGAAGATTTTAATTCCTTCACACTAAATCTGTCATTTTGTCCAAGAGGTTGTACTAGCATACTCTGCTTTCATTATAGAACCTGCAGCACTAATACACAAGTAGTCAAACACCACCATTTCCAACTCTGCAGAGTATCTACACAATTCAGCCAACATTCTATACCCACGAATCCTGTTCCTAATGCAGTAAATCCTCTTTGGCCTTTGGGTGCAAGTTCATTACATTGTTCTTAAGAATGGTCACGTGGGTTCATCAATGACTGAAGAAACGTTTTAATCTTTTTCATAAGATAATAAATTAATAAAACAATTTCCCCTTGAACAATTTAAGCATTGTACTCGTCCAAATCTTTTGCAGCCAGAAATTAACTCAAGTCAACTGATGACCCTTTCCTCAACCCATGAAATTTTAATTATTGCTTTTATTCTTGTAGTACACACATTTGTTTTCTGCAATCATTCAATTATGTCTCTCCACTGTTTTTGGCATTTTTTATTTTGTGTAAAGATATACATTTTCAATACTGTTGAAATGAAATTGGAATGTTTTAACCTAAAAAATCTGTATAACAAATCAGTAAAACTCATAATGGCCATCACACCGATTAATAGGGGTTTATACTGACAGAATTATGTACTTTCTCTTTTCTTAATTATGTACACAAGCAAACTAGTATCATTGATATTGACCTACTATATTTGACTCGAACTGAAAGCTCGAAATATGTAATTCCAGCAACTTTGTATATATGGATGATAATGATCAGGTGGAACGAAAAATGTTATTAATTCATTCTTAGTATAATACAAATTAAATTATACTGTGATGTTTATAGGCAGTTAAAAAGCCCATAGCTTGCAGCGATGAACATAAATGAATGGGTTATTTTTGGCTATGTTTAGTATTCACAGTATTTTAGTGATAAATGTGGTTTTCCTAATGGTACTGTATTTAAACACGACTTCGTTTAGACAGTCATAAATTCATTTAAGATGAAAAAGTGTGTAATGGGTCTCCTATTTTGAGTTCTCATCCCAGAAGACGGGTCTACAAATTTAACTATAGGCAAGGATGGCAGGAACGCGTGTATATCCAACAAAGACAAATTTAGGACTGGACGTTAGGACCGTCTTTTTTTTTTCGGGGCCATAGTGAGTGACAATATGCATGAAGCCAAGCTCACACTATTTTAGAGTTTGAGAGAGCAGCTTAGCTTAGTCGGCTAATCTGGTGGTAGCCACTGTGTGTGCGCTGAACCGTGGAGATCTCTAGGTCCCCGCTTCAATTTCCATCGCTGCCTCTCCTTGTGTTTCAGCTAGAGGGCTGAAATACAAGTTACAATAGCGCACCGTCTTTCGGATGAGACGTTTAAGCCGTTGGTCCCGTGTGCATTTATGGCCCATGCGCACGTTAAAGAACAAAGTACACTCTTCGGAAAAGAGTAGTGGATTGTCTCCCGGTGTACTGTCCAATCACCACCTGAAGGACCCCACTGGAAATAAGTCTTCTTCTAGACTTTCGTGGGCTGTCCTTGGTGTTTACACCGAATAAATCCAACCCAATCCAATTCAGAGTTGGACTATACCACCAATCCTACGAATCAAGCAATTCATTACAATTTTGGTCTGAAACCTTCACCAATGTGTTATCTATTATAGCCTCTATAAAAAGTAATTGTGGTGCATTTTCTTTATTCATAAAAGAGTAGTCAGTGGCTCCTTTTTCATATTGCTATAATCTTGCATTGAAACATAATTAATACAATCATCCGAATAATCAGAAAACGCCTACTTTTTTTACAATAACTTTAAGAATTATATGTTTCTTATCAGTCTCATTAAATTTAGCATCTTGAAGTCACAAAAGTTACTTAAGTGTAGGCTACGCTTTTGAACAGTCCTCTTTGCGAAGTACTGCGCACAAAGATTAGTTTTGTGGCTACCTAGTTACCAAAACACATCAACTTCAAACGACAAAGCACGGCATGAGATGATGCCAAAAGATTGACCATCAAGATTTAACAGATAATCGGTTGAAATTGATAACGTTTTAAATATGCAGTTCCCACTTAAATTTGGCCAGTTTATTATTTAAAATATGGCGTTGGTGTCGTCTCTCGGCTTTACTGGATTTTATAAGTTAATCTTTTGACGAGAACATTCACTTTTTTGCAAAGTAGTTTAAGCAGTAATAGCAGAACTGAAAATATGAATGTGATTACTCTTAACCAATTCCACGCTGCTGCCTGTTTCACGTCAGTAACGCGTTTCGTTGGATAAAGATGTATTTCAAGTTTTTCTAAGACTGTCGGGTCTTTAAGACGTTAAAAATTTGTCATACACCTCCCATACGATCCCATTTTATCAAACCGGGTACGTCCACAAAAAGAACTTCATCTAATTATCGAGTTTGATCTGATGCCGTATTGATAGTAGACGTCTCTGTAGCTTGTGATGAGCGTTTCGACATTTTAATGTCCACTTTCACTAGTTGCTTATTACGGATTAGTTTCAACATTTTTTTGACCTGAAAAATATATTAAAAAAAGATAAACTAAGTTCTATTTTATGTATAAATTACCAGAAGGGACCCGTCACAAGATTCTGTTGGTTAGACCAAAGAACTTAAATAGCAGAAGAATGAGCTGCTCCGCGTATTTGCATTAAAATCGATGGAACATTCGCCCTCTTGCGGTTGCAGTAAAATTTAAACATTTTACTAAGTGGAGAAACTAAAGGAAACAAGCGAACAAAGCAGCTCCTTTATTATTTTTATATAGCGCCGCCGCGCGGTTGCAGTAAAATTGCTCTCCTTGTACCCACAATGCCTTTTGAACGGATGTTCCACTATATTGGGAAGCTGCTTTATCTTCTGCTATTTATTATCTTTGGTTAGACTTATTGTCATTGAAAATAGTCATACATTATTTTTACTTCTGTCTTGGAGCAACAGAACTGTTTTGATATTGCATTTTAGCACCATATATTTTTTTTAATTGATCAGAGCGCTTATGGGATTTACAGTTTAGAAATATAAAAAAAAAAAACATTATTCTTTAGTCATATATAAGTACAGTACTATCAGGGTATTATATTACTGAGAACAAAATTCTGACTTTCTCTACTCCGTGGTTGTTATATTGTATAATTGCATTTTGTGCAATTTGTCTTTCTTTCATACATACAATATTATTTGCTATATCTTATGGCGCAGTGGTACGTGTACGTAGCCAGTAAAGTTAATTAAAAGTGTTATATTAATACAAATTACCTAATACATGTGACTTCACCGTCATCTGTTCCGCATTTAATTTCCAATTTTTGTAGATTTAATTCCATACACTTTCAAGTGTGTTTCTCTGATTTCCTGAATTTCGGATATTTAAAATCGATGATCGAATTGATGTGTTTTAATCAGTGTAATACTTACCTCGTTGTTATCCAGGCAGTGAAAGAGAAATATGAATAAGCCCTAGAAAAGAAAATATATTTTATAACTTGTAACTTACGTTTTATAATTATTTCAGAAAGTAAATGTTTTTTAAATTATAATTTGAATTAATATTATATTGAATATGAAAACATTTGAAAAACTTCCTAGCAAAGAAAGCATTATTATACAAACTATTACAACGATGTGAACACTGTCGTTACTTTTAATGTCAGAAAATTATGTCAATACAATGTCGCAGAGTGCTATGGTATTTGTCATAGGATATATATATATATAAGATGTGTATAAGAGACAGGCCTAGACTAGGCCTTCCTAGGCTAGCCTTAAGTAAGAGAACTGTATCACAAAATAATAATTAGGCATTAAATAGGCCTGGGCCTGGGCCCAGCAACAAAACAAGTCATTTCGACAAGATGTCATTCGTATCAATCAGCCCTTCACGAAAAGTTCCTTTATATAATGTTATACTGTACAGATGTAATCTAATGAATTATGGATACATCTGTCTCTTATACACATCTAGATGTGTATAAGAGACAGGCTTAGAACCGTAAACACAATCTAATAACTAGACTTACTATGTCTGTTTGAACAACAAATCATATAGGGCTTCTCTCCATTGCTTTAATAAGAAATGAAGTTGAAATTGCAACAAAAAGAAAAGTCGTTAAAAGGTATAAAGTAAAAAAAAACACGGAAAACCAATATAATTTTAATGAAGTGGAAAAAATGAAGAGGAAAAATAAAACAAGTTCACCGCGACGTTATTAGTGAGACTTTTCTGCAATGGTAATAGGGAGGTACATTGTGACTCATAACCATTTCCGCGCTATATGAGCCGACATTGCATAGGAAAGTGAATTTTCAGTTCATAGCGCTTCAATTACTAAAAGCAAAAATTGTTTATGCATATTACGGTAGTTTTGAGTTTAACCTAGCTGTAACTGGTTTAAGCGCTTTAGAAAACGCAAATTGCATTTAAATAATTTAACCAACAGTCAACAAAAAATCTTTAAATGGTTCTTATATCCACACCCTACTGCGGATCGTCACCAACATTGGATCATTTCTTCATTTCACCATGAAAAACTATTTTGCAAAGTTTCATTTTATCCATCTATAACTGGGACGTAAGCAATTTAAATCACCCTCAAATTTACACCCTAACCTGGATCAACCCTACACATAATAATATCTTTCTTGTAACTTGAATTAAACTTTCCCGAAAGTTTCATTCAGATCAGTTGACCCGTTTTTGAAATATCTGGTCTGGGACGTTTCCTTTAAATGGTCATCATATCCACACCCTACGCCGGAATCATCACAAAAATTTAGTCATTTGTTTACTGGATCTTTACAAACAATTATAGAAAGTTTCATTTACTTCCATTGAAAACCTTTTATACATATTTACGTCTGGGATCTCAAAAAATTAAATGGTCCTGAGATCTACACTCACTCCGGATCGTCACAAAAATTTAATAATTTCTTTACTCGAGCTTGACAAACTGTTATACAAGGTTTAAATTATACCCATTGATTTTTTTAAAGATATATTTAGCTCTGGGTCCTCAAAAATTTACACTCTTCAACGGATCGTCACTAACACATAATAATTTCTTCCTTATAACTTGGTTAAACTTTTTCCGAATGTTTCATTCAGATCAGTTGATACGTTTTTGAAATATGTGGTCTGGGACGTTTTCCTTTCAGTGGTCCTTAGATCCATACCATACTGCGGATCGTTAAAACATTTTAATCATTTTTGTACTAGACCTTTACAAAATATTATAGAATGTTTCATTTAGACCCATTTGTTTTGTTTTAAGAGATATTAAGGTCTGTTACCTCAAATATTGAAAAGACCCTCAATGTTACACCCTTCACTGAATCGTCACAAACACATAAACATTTCTTCCTTGTAACTTGATTATAATAATAATAGGCCTAATAATAATAATAATAGGCCCATAATAATAATAGGCATAATAATAATAGTAATAGTAATAATAGAAAATAATAATAATAGTAATAATAGTAATGATAGTAATAATAATAATAATAATAGTAATAATAATAATAATAATAATAATAATAATAATAATAATAATAATAATAATAATTATAATAGGTTTACCATACCAAGATAACCAGCACCACAGTTGACAAAAATACAAATATGCTACCACTATCGGCGGAGAGCCAGCATCTAACGATATACAAAACAATAAAAAAAAAAAGGATAAACAAGATACAAGATACAATATTCTATATTTGTCAAAAACAAAACAAAATATTATTGACATGTATGGATACATCGTGTACTTACAAAAAATTCATGAGGGAGTCTGTGATAATGAGTTAAGTCTGACTAACGCAAGTGTACTGCATGATTTTAATAGGCGTACTTTTCTGTTGGCTGAAAAAGCGGATCTGGCAGGATTGAATCTAGATGATAGCAACATTATTCCTTGGTCTAGCTAGAGGTCACAGGTTCTAGCACTTTTTCATACAACTGATAAGGAACATTTTTCGTTGAAGAGCTATAATGCTCAGTATGATTATATCATTTGCTCTTTGTTTGAACGATGTTTGTACCATTTATATCTACCTTTAATGTTTTGAAATGTAGGTTATAGAATCTTTCAATTATGGATTCCTTTACCAATCATTCTTAATGTGTAATATTTTAAATTCCAATTGAAGATTATATGTGTTTTAATGCGCCTATGAGCAAATTTATTATTTGGATAAATGGCTCAATAAAAATGCTTTTATAATAATAATAATAATAATAATAATAATTATTATTATTATTATTATTATTATTATTATTATTATATATATATATATATATGTATATATAATATATATGTATATATAATATTAAAATTGAGTCTACTGTTTAGCACCGTAAACACGGTAATGGTTAGAGACAATGGTTGGAGACTTATATAGCGCATAATACATGGTCTCTATGCGCTCGGGACTAGATCTGTCTCTTATACACATCTAGATGTGTATAAGAGACAGATATATAGGCCTATATATGTTATTGCACAAATATTTTGAGAGTTCACATTCATGTATAATAGTACTATTATCAATAATCTTACACTTCCGTTGAACGATATCGTCTATTAAATATTCCATAACTGCAGACGACAATAACGAAAGGAGAAGCTGAAATGATTTAAGTTATACCAAAAAAGCTCTTTAATTCTAATCGATGTACTTTATGTTGATACGACATAATAATCGATGCAAAGCAGTTGCGTAAGCCTTACAAATGTATAATTGAACATGACAAAAAGAAAAACAGTCTCATAAATATAACTTGCTCATTTGCAATACAGATACAATTTATTAACTTAAGCATAGAATTCAATTGAAAATAAAACCGTGTGTACTCTGCATTTCTGGATAATGATCCAAATAATAAAAACACTTCTGATGGCTGGAAGTGCCCCTTTTCCGCTGTAAAATTTATGGGTAAGCAATTTTTAAATACGCATTTTCTATGTTCAAATTGACCATAATTAATGTTAATTCAAAATGTGCAAGTTAATTTCAAAACAATTTTTTAAAATTTTGTTATGGTGAGTTTCATGGGAAAATACATCTTTAATATTGAACTTTTCTAATTACAAATTGTAACTGATGAAATGCTCTGCGTGCAGACAATTACATTGCATATGCGATATTGTTTATTATAGCTGACTGATGTTCTGGCAATAGTCTACGTGAAGTAAATTAATTATATTTATGTAATCTTTAATAATAGTATAAACTTACCCCACCCAACAGCACTGAAGGAATAAAAACATTTTTGTGTAAGATGGTAATTCCTTGAGGTCATATACAGATGAATACTCTCAACTAACATCCACATCAAGGCTGACGTATAGCAATAATGAATTGCGACCGCCATCGTGTTGCATATACCCTGAAACAGATAGGATCAGAAGCAATAAACAGCTTTCATGTATATGTTATATACCAATTTGCATATTATATGCCATTTTACTGATAAAGATAATAACAACGGTAACAACAAAAGCAACAACAACAACAACAATAATAATTATAATAATAATAACAATACTAATAACAATCAAATTAATACATGCTAATATTATTAATATAAATAATCCTAATAAATGTTATATTAGTGGTAATAATAATTTAATTTTAACAAGGGCCTTTCTCTTGCATGTTGAATGCGACACAAAACACAATATTCAGAGCTTTCATGGTAAATATAATACCTAATTCAATATTCAATATTTAGCTAACATAATGTTATGTCTTAATCTAAACCTCGCTTTTGTTTACGTAACCGAATGAATATAAATATACAAATTACGTTTCAATCAATCTAAATTCTACATGTATTGGAAAACCTTTGTTAAGTTAACATGGGATAAAACATCTGATTTATTTATTATTATTATTATTATTATTATTATAATTATTATTATTATTATTATTCATGGTATATTTTATTCAAAACGATACAAAAAGGAGAAAGCAATTGACAAAAAGTGAATTGTAGCCAAGGCTAAATTGCTCACAATTTACAATAAATTAAAAATTAAGAAAAAGGCATTAAAAATTCACAAACATTTAAAAATTTTAAAGAGAATATAAAAATATAGCATATATTGAGAAAAAAAAAGTGATAACAATAAAGACAACAGGATAAAAATACAAATTTACAAACTCGTGTAAAAATCGATTAAATAAATATTGCAATAATTATTAAAAAAAATTACCATAAAAGTGAGTGATCAGGATGAGTAGGACAAATGAAATAACAAATTTGTTTTGCTTTTAGGAATCATGATATTGTTGCTTCGTTTCAAATTAAATCTTTTCTGGACATCAAGTTAATTATTATTGTTATAATTATATTAATCGTTATTAAATGTTATATTATCGAATTGAGTAATCTTGTGAAGTACGGGATAGGACTATTCTTACATCTATTCGTTTCGCTTTTAGGTATCGTTATTTTATTGCTTCGTCTCAAATTATATCTTCCTGTACAATTCTCTCTTCAGGAAGCCACTGTCGAAATTCTGGGTGATTGTACAGTTGTTTGGCAAATCTTGTGCATATCATAACTCGGCGATCGGCAAGTTTTTCAAGTTTAACTATAGCAAGTGCTTGGTCGTAATTATTATATTGGTTTCCAATGATTATACGAATCGCTCGTTTCTAGAGATTTAAAACAGGTTAAACATTTTCACTGTCTCTTTTATTTTTTGTTATTTATTAAACTTACTTAACTTTTAGTTACGTTTTTTTTTTTTTTAATTTTTTGTTACTTTTTTTTTTTTTTTTTTTTTTTTTTTTCAAGCTGCCACTGAAAAGTGAAATGACAAATTAATTATCATGACAGATTTAGACTCTTTTATTCATCGTCACATACATACATGGTATTCAGTCTCCATGTGATACCTTCAGTTAAATACAAAGGATACTGCACAACAAAAAAGTCATACAATAAGATGAGATAAAGAAACATAAAATATAAAAATTCTTGTAAAAATACAAACTGTACATATTTTTTTTTTTGGAAATTTTCTCGGCGTTATTAAAAATATTAAAAAGTCCGAGAGAGTTTAAGGTGCATTTGAATACTTCGATAAGTCAATTATTAATTAAATTATTATTATTTTAAAAAGGTAAAAATTACAACTTAACTATTTATATATAAGCATTTAAATGGGACAAAAGTTCATTAATATGCCAGTTATTGCACTTTAAAAAAAAACTATTACATTACCGTATGTTATTGACACTGAAACTATTTAAACAATATTACCTCGTTCTCTGTTTTATCAATTCCAACCAGAAACAAAAAATGTGCTGATGCTAGTGCCACGCACAAGCAGAAGTGTACTTTTATAACAAATGTCTTGCGTAACCTACAGATAGAAATGACAGGTTAATGCTTATGTGTTTAGTAGGTCTATATGAAAATATATATAGCTTAACAATTTATTTTATGATATATTTCAATTCAATTCCTTACAACATCGCCAGGTTGATGCAGTGAGGAGTTTTATTTAAAAGATGGTTCAATTATATAAACAAGTATTTGTTATGATAGTATGTAGACGTTCATACCAGTGTTAGCTCTGCATAATAAGACGCATTTATGGCTTCGGATGTGCCACTGCCATAAAGCATACTGAATAAATATAATCAGTACGGTACATCTCAACTCGCATGCGTAAAATATCAGTAAATTGTAATGAATTTATTTTATGTTTGAAAGAATATTTGTGATGTTTCTTGAAGTATGGTGATAAAACAGTAATGTAGTGTGGTACGCGAATGCGTGTGATGAAGAAATATGTGTATTATGTCGATTGATTCACAACGTACCCAACATAAACGAAAATGCACCCAGCAGCAACAAGGCAAAACAGTGACAGGCTTAGAACAACCACAGACAAAATTGAAGTGGACTTATCAGCTGCTAAATCAGCCTGTATGTGCACATGAAAGAAATAATTTCATGAAATATTATTAACAAAAGTCATGATTTAAAATATACATAGGCCTATGCCACTACCCACATATACTATCTACTACATAACTGTTATAGTCTCAATCAATCTGGTATTCGTCTCTGTGTCCCTCAAACAAAACATTTCACTTGAGTCGATCTTTCATCTCTATCTCAAGTTATGTTTTCAACAGTATAGTTTGCACTAAGTGTTTGGATGTGGTGTGCCAACCTGTGTGGTATTATTTTTGTAACCAATTATCTATTTTGTAATTACGTAATTTCATATTTAAATTATTTTTAATGCCGCTGTAAAACAAATTTCTGTATTAGTTCAATCAAGTGTTCTGAATCTTGTACAGTATATTCCAATTGTAAAACATGAATAAATTCTGTATTCTTCACGACAACGACATCGTCACATGTTCACAAACTGAAATCTTGAACCGACTAACAGTTTACTAAAATCCTCTGCATTTTAAGATATTATTTAAGTTACTTGATAGTAACTTAGGTATGAATAGTGGAAAAGCACCTGGTGATAATTAAACACTTTCGTTCCGAGTACACCATGAATACGTACCGTGGATTTCAGAGCGAACAACACTGTGAAGCTCGTTAGATGGTTACACCTGCAGATGGTGCTTGACGAGTTACTGAAACTGACGAAGCAACCATGTGTCGACCACGTGTTACTGATATAAGAAACGTAATTTTATAAACAATAATTAATGGAGTTTAATAATTTCATCAAACATGTAGTGGCCTCGCCCTTGGTCCATTTACAATAATTTATTTTTATCACAACCTGAAATCTTAGAGAAGAGACTCTGGCCAACTTGGAGGTTCAGAGTGATCTTTGGAATTATCCAACGAGATCTTTCGGTCACAGACCTTTATCAAGTTATGATATATAACATACATACATATATAATATATATATACATATATATACACACATATATATACAGTATATATATATATATATAAATATATGTGTTTGTATATATATATGTATATATATTATATGCATGCATGCATTACATTGAACAGGTTTATATATATATATATATATATATATATATATGCATATTGATACAAACTATTCATAAAGGAGTAATTGTATACGTTATAGGCTTACAGTACATATATAAATATATATATATATACAGTATATATATATATATGTGTGTGTGTGTATGTATATGTATATGTATATATATATATGCATGCATGCATTACATTCAACAGGCCTATATATATATTTATATATATATATATATATGTATATATATATATATGCCTATTGATACAAACTATTCATAAAGGAGTAATACGTTATAGGCTTACCGTACTTTTATTTGAGTATTGCAGTGCACAATGTTACTTACGGAGAAGGGTTATTGTCCCAAAAAACGCAATATGCATCATACTGATCTGTGTCCAACACCTATAAGGAATTGTATATACCATCATATATTCTGGTTTTTTTTTGGTTTTTTTTGGCCAATATTTTGGCATGATAATGTCATGGGACATGTCGCTTCCAATGCACATTATGCGTGCGCAAACCAAAGATTTATCACATACACTTAGCATAATTGGAAAACATCTTAAGTATAATAGCTTTGATTTACGGCACTTTAACTAAAAGATACGGCATTTTATGGCGATACTTAAAGGAAGTGATTTTCTTGGTGGAATATATTTACTGTATTATAAAAAGGGTTATTATCGTGATTAATGAGATCATCATAGAAATAGATATGGCGCCTTTAATACGTTCGCGCCAAGTAAGATTCTTAGACTACTCCATCAAGATCAATTCATTTTAAGAGCAGAATATCGATGTAGAAATAGAAAAGTAAAAATAGAATCAAGACTAACAGTAACGAAAGATTATGAATTTATTTTATGAAATTATTCTGATATATGCAAGCAAAAAGCATTTCAAATACAAAATTTAGAACACACCTCAAAAATTTCAAAATCGATTTCAATATAAGATTTTTCGCTAATCTGTATCTTCGTATTGTTTGATACTAATTGAATGCTAACGATGATTGCCACTCTGGTAGCCTCTGAATATTGTAACTCAGTGAAGTTCGATGGTGTCCTTATACGATCACTACTTTCAGATATGACTTCTGAAGATATATAAACAACCACATCTAGCAAAAAATAACCCATAATTATTATAATATCTTTACTTTCATATTATAAATACATTATTATTTAACATTATTATTATTATTATTATTATTATTATTATTATTATTATTGTTGTTGCTGTTGCTGTTGTTGTTGTTGTTCTGATTATATATCCTTCCACTGGCCTTTTTTGTTTGTTTTTAGTTTAGTTTTTTGTTTTGTTTTTTGGGGTTTTTTGTTTTGTTTTTTTGTTTGTTTGTGTGTTTGTTTTGTTTTGTTTCGTTTTGCTTGTTTTTGCACAGAATTTTCCTAACAGGCAATTTAGTCACTTTCCATGCTTGGATCTTCGGGTGTGAATTTGAGGGTCATTTAAATTGCTAAGGTCCCAGGCCTAAATATCTCTAAAAACTTATCTAGATCTAAATGAAACTTTTCATAATAATTTGTGATGGCCTAATGAAGAAAAATTACATATTGGTGGCAATATAGGGTTTGAAGAATAATAAAAACCGAGGTTAAATTGAACTATATAAACATAATTTTCTTTTTCTAAGGCGTTAAAGCAGCTGCAGCTTAGTTGAACTCAAAATTACCATGAATTGAATGAATTATTTTAATAATAATAACAATTATTATATCATATTTTATTTATGTAATAATAATAATAATAATAATAATAATAATAATAATAAAAATAATAATAATAATAATAATAATAATAATAATAATAATAATTATTATTATTATTATTATTATTATTATTAACATTACCATTGTATGATTCATTTCTCAATCCACTTACCATTAACACCAGGGATCGCAGATTGTGGTAAATAAATTCTCGTAGTATAATCTCCGCCTGAAATGTCTATTGTAGTAGATTTATTCACCTCCACAATATATTCTTCTGCTACAACTAAATAATAATGATATAACCTTTCAATATTAAAGGCAAATTTGCATTATAAAAGTATATTTGAATGACAGAACGAATGAAGTAGAGTTTATTTGCACACAGTTGCATGTTATTTTTATCAACGTATAATATAATAATAATAATAATAATAATAATGACGATGACGATGATGATGATGAATAATGATAATAATAATAAATAATAATAATAAATAATAATAATTATTATTATTATTAATATTATTATTATTATTATCATCATCATCATCATTATTATTATTATTAATTTAATTTAATATATATTAAACGGAATTGTTCTGTTCTATGTCAGTACTTCGAAAGGATTAGAGCTGTTCAAAAAAGTGAGAACAATTGCCTGTAATAGAATTTCAATTCACCAAAATATCAATATGGTTTTGTCACGTATTATCTCCGGTGAATTACAATTGTAAAAAATACTATTAATTAAAACATAAAACTCTAACTATTATAGATTTTTAAACGTGGCCTACCTTGTGTGCACTCACTTCCATGTCTAGAGTTGTCACTATACTGAAAGCAACCATCATTCACTCAATGGTAAATTATAATAATAGTATTCATAAAATTAATAATAATAATAATAATAATAATAATAATATTTCTTTTATGTATCTATTTTTGGTAAAGAAGGAATATTTCACGCATTAGTACTGCTAATGATAATGGTAATGAAGATAATGAAGATGATGATGATGATGATGATGAAGATAATAATAATAAACATAAATAAAAATATACTTGATAATATAATAATAATAATAATAATAATGATAATAATAATAATAATTTTAACTGTCAGTCATCACACACCTCGCTATATAAAATGCTCAATAATTCTTCATTGTCCCCAGTTGCATGGTGTGAGCTGTAACACGGGCTCTGTGTAGTTGCAGTCGGGTGCATTTCCTTATTGGCTGTTGTCATTGTGTTTGCGCCTAATGTACCGGGAGGTCTTAAAGTAGTCCTGCTCGTTTCTATACTACTCCCATGTTGACTGGCACTTACAGAACCCATTGATGTCGCTGGCAGAAAAGTGGTCAAACTCGATTCTATGCTACTTAAATGTTGGCTGACACTTGAAGAAGCCATTGACGTAGCTTGCTGAAAAGTGGTCAAACTCGATTCTATACTACTTCCACGTTGACTGACACTTACTGAATATCTTTCTGTTGTGGTCAGAATGTCCTGTATACCTAGACAATTGGAAGGACAGAGCCCGAATAAAATTATCAATGTCAGATTAGCATAATTCTTGAATAAATTTTGGCAGTACACATGGATACACGTGCATTAGGACGGC